TTAATTAGTAGTTCTGGCCTGACGATTTCCCAAAACGGCTCAAGTTTCGTGGAGTGGATTGAGAACGATTCAGATCTGCCAGGTCACTGGATCACAAATGAGTGGGAGCTAACTCCGAACCAAGGGGATGGCAAAATGTGTGGGATCGAGTAGAACTAGTGGAACAGGCGGAAGGGGTAGAGTGGGCAGTGACGGAATAGGTAGAAGAACGGAACAGTGGAGTGGAGGAACAAGTGCAAAGGTGGAGTGGTGGAATAGAGAAAGTGATTGAGCGGCGGAATGGCTGAACAGACGGCGGCAGACGGCGGATGGCGGCAGTAGGTAGATGGCAAATGATGACGGTAGATAACTAATGGACGGCTGATGATGGCGGATGATGACTGAACGATGGCAAACAATGGACAGCAGATGGAGGACGACGACGGTGGATGGTGGAAGATGGCTGTGGACGATAGATAGATAATGACCCTCATGGCCTCTCCTTCACATAAGTCATGATAGGTGACACTTACGGTCTCTCCCTCACAGAGCAATAATAGATGACCCTCACAGACTTTCTTTCCCTCACGGAGCGATGGTGGATAAACCATAAAATCAAATGATCGTTCTTTTCTCTCCTTCTAGAGTTATAAGAGGCTATTTATAACCTCCTTGATCTTTAAAATAAATAAATAAATAAATAAATAAAGATTTCATAATAAATCAAGTCAGTCCTTAATGGGCCTAGGTCGATGTATTGATGATGTAGATGGTAGCCTGAGTCTTTGGTTCTCATCATCTTGCTGTCAAAATCTCCCTTTTTTCTTTCTGGTGAAGAACCAGGTGTTTTTTGGGTGTCATTCTCCTTTGTTTTTGGTGATGAATAGCTTGATTTTAATTGTCGACCTCCTCGTTTTTCTTGGGCAGTAGATGAGTTTTCTTCCTCCAATTTTAATAGCTTGGGAGACAGAAGAGATTTCACCTGATTGGTTGTCGAAAATAAATATGCTTCTGGTGAAAATCGCATGTTCATTTTTCTACATTCGTTTCTCCTTTTTCCTAGCGATTTTTCTTCTGTTTATTCCTCATTTGTCCAGTAATTTCCATCGTGATTTCTCATTCGTTTTCGTCACAATCTTCCGTCTATTTTTCCTCGCTCATCCGTTGCTTTCCGCAGCTATCTCTTCGAATAGTTTCTCTTTTTTTTTTTATGTTTCCGTCGTTATTTTTCTTCTGATTATTCCCAGATTTTTCCAGTGTTTTCCATTGTGAAATTTCTTCCCTTTCTTCCTCGTTTTCCCTTTGATTCTTCGTCACGATCTTTCAATCGATTTTCCTCTTTCGTTTGTGATTCCTCGTCAAGATTTCCGTCCATTTTTCTCTTTGTTCATCCTTTACAGGAGAGAGAACGGAGGAGATAAGTTATCGTTGATCCGTAAACAAAATAAGAGAAAGTAAACGTAATATTAAAGAATAAAAAAAGAACGTATATTTAATAAGAGATAGGATCTAAGATTAAAAAATAAGAGAGAGAAAAGTTATCGTGAAAAAAAAATAATACATAATAATTCGGCGAAATAAATATGTAAATATTTCAGATCCTTATATCACCCCCTCTAATTGGACCCATTACGTCTTTTAAATCAGCCTCAATAAATAAGTCAATTAAATTTAGATTCATGCCCAATAATTAATTCAATTTAACCTTAGATTTAAGCCAAAAATGAAATAAAATTACCTTAAATTCTTGTCCAAAAATTAAATCAATTTAAACTTAAATACAAGCAAAATAACTAAAACAAATTCAACGTCTTTCAAACTGAAATAAATCAAGATGACATATATAAATATTGTAGACTTTATTTAATGGAAAATACTTAAATCTAGATGCCCAAATAATTAGAAAACCTTAAAATTAGTTACAATCTTGAAATCAATACTTGAGCCAATATGATGTGGCTATCATCAAAATACCTATGGCATCTAATTCATCATCGAGTTTTCCATGACCAAGGTCTATCAAGCTGTAGACTTCTTATGATCCTTACTAGTATTGCAGCTTGACATGTCTAGTTGTGATTTTGAAATGCCCATCAGCTCGTCTCTTGCTACCCCGCCCGGGAGGTGGCCTGGCTTAATCTCGTCTAAACTTCGCAATAAGCTTCTCGAACGCCTCGTAGGTGCTGCCGCCGGGGGCGATCCCAGTACTGGCCCCCTTCTGCACCTTCACTGCCGCGGCTGCGACGGCGGTGCTTCCCATAAAGTCCATAATCTGACGAACAATCTCATCCCCTTTCACCACTGACCCGTCCACAGAGCAGCTCCAATGCCTGGGCCACAACCCCAACCCGCTCCTCTCCACAGCCCTGTGATGGAGGAGACATCGCAGGGCGGTTGGGTCAAGGGCAGCCGTGACGGAGTCGGGGTTGCAGGTGGTGTCTCCCCTCGTCGGAGTTGCCTCCTATTTGAGGTTTGGAGGAGACTAGGTATCACCGTTGGATGCACCTGCCGGGTTGGGGACGATCTGTACGTAGACCTCCACACTCTTCCCATCTCGTGCAGAATGGACAGTAAAATTTGACGGTTAATAAAACCATAATTACTGGTAACCCACCCTCGCACTGAAAATTCGAAAGGTAGGTCAACCTTGACTATCTGCGTCTGAAAATGGGCCATCCCAAGCCTAGGCTGTTGGAAAATGGGCTGGAAATTTAATAGTACTGCTGTACCCTGACACAATTATTATTCAACACTAGCTCACATACTCCAAAGCGAATATAAATAACCTGACATTTCTAAAGAATAAGCCTCATACCTTGTATTTACCATAGTTTAAAGGGTAACATAAGTCAGATATTCGAGCCTGCTCACCACGTCTGAAATTTAACACGAGAGATGCCAAGGTCGAGCTAGTAATTGACAATGTCTACTCAAGAGCGATTGACCTGTGTGGCAGAGAGACGGTAGCATCAATGAAGTAATAACATCCATGGGCTTTCTGACGACATGATTGGCATTCATCCATTGAACATTAATATCAGCGCCACTTTGGAAATAGTTCTTGTTATAATCCCTTTGGAAATAAAATATTTATCGAGTCTTTATTAAATATTAATAGACGAGAATGGGCAGCCCATAGCTGACTCGCCTGATTATTTTATATATATATATCATTTAAACCAATAAAAACTTGGGAATCTTGGCGATGCCCAACACATTCGGTTCTGTGTATGGACGAAATTACATCTTCAATAGATGAAGACGGCTTAATAAGATTTTAGGGTACAGATATGGGCCCTCTTGGTAGTAGTATCAGAGATTAACCTAATCCCATCATTATAAGGATGCATATCAATAACATGCACATCAGTCATGGCACACTTGAGTAGACGAGCATCATAAGCCTGAAAGTTTAATGGCATCTATCGGAAAATGTTGAAGTCGTGGTCTTCTATGAAGCATGGTTGACATTTATTGTCCTTGTTGACCACTTCATGCTGACTCATAATATGGGTATATATGCAAAAGAGCATAGATGTGGATACCCCAAGACACGAGCACATCCGATCCCAAGAAAGAAAGTTCACACTAAAGTAAGAACAGATGCGTAAAAACCATGAATCTCTGCAGGGAACGTGAAAGGTGAGGAAGGAATCCTGCAAACACCAACGAAGAAGGCACGAAAACACAAAAGTCAACGAGTTGCTTGAGCAAGATCCATGTTCTTGACAACCCGCCAGTCAGCTGGGATTTCCAGTGTCTTAGCGGGAACCCAAGAAAAGTCAAACCCATTTTGGGAAACCCATTTGGTCAAAGAACGTTTGGGGAGCTGGAGTCAACTCTTGTCGGGGTAGTAGAAGAACGAACGATTAAATAAATAGGCCATACACAAGTCTATTTATTTATTCTTTCCATCCAGCTGCTGAAGGTGGCTTTAGACAGGTTCGCTCTCTGGATGGGGGAAAGGGGGGGGCATATACAGATAGTGCGAATGAACAGCGAAACCCTGATAAGCCCTAGTTATGTATTGACTCACAGGTTAGAACCCACCAAAAATAAAAAGAAAGAATATATGAATATCGAGCTCTTGGTCCCGGGCCTGGAACAGGAACCCATATTCCTACTAGAAGGAAGGAAACCCTACTTTTCAGAAGAGTGTCGAGGCTGCGTGAACCCTCTGATATTAAATCGGCTCTTAAAATGGTAATTAGTTGGGCAGCGAGCTACTTTGAACCAGAGTATTGATTGACCGCCTCATAATCTGCAAAGCATTTCAAACGGTTAAGGATCTAAGCAATATTCTCATATAATACACTGAATGAAATATAGGTTATAGACACTACGGATAACCCATAAAATTATTTTGGGATAGTGTAAGGTGAGCTGAAAAACTGGGGTAGTGGGTAAACTTTCCCTAATATAATATTATGCGCCTGTGTAAACACGCATCATATAGGATTTGATCGCGTGTGGGTGACTGATAATGGCATATAATCTAATACTATTTTTAGTGATAACTCTTACATGGGTGGCATATCCATGGTGTTATGCAGCTGTTCAGCTCAACTGAAGGGGTGCGTGGCAATATTTTGGTCAAATTAATAATAATAATAATGGCTAAGAAAAAATATATATATGAAAAGAAGAGCATGCATATTATTTCTTTAATGTTTGCCAAGCTTCGGCCCTCGATGATGGAGAAACGAGCGAAAAATGATTGCAAGTTGGGCTTCACAGTTTATAACCATGAAAAAACGATCTATATGCATGTGTACGTATGTGCGTGAAGGATTTGGACCAAAGTAGTCAGCTTACACGTTTCACGTGATGATGACAAAAGACTGATAGATATATATATATATATATATATAAATGTATACGTGTGTGTGCATTTGTGTGTTGTCTATCTGCGAATTCAGAGAAAAGGAATTAATGGACGGATGGCTAACCTGTAAGTGGCAGATACTGAAAACATCAACAGCTGGTTGCAGCAATTTCCCATCAGAGCAGGGCAAAATGTGTCAACCAAAGCCAAAACCTTCACTAGATTCATGGATGGCCAGAAGAAGACGTTCTTGAAGCTGTTCCTTGGAGGAATATTCGGGCAAATCCAGTTGATTGAAACTGCCAAATATATTGCACCAAGATTTTTTTAAGTTAATGCATAAATATACTTCCTAAAGCAGATTATCCCACCCAGCCAAACAAAGCGAGTGAAGAAGCATCGGCAAGCTATGAGAACTAACTAACCAAGTATGTGCGGATGGTAGCCTTTCAGGAGCACCATATGCCTTGTGAATCTGAAATCTTTGAGGGCCGGAGATTCCCTGCAGCGCTTTGAAACCTTCAAGAGGAATCTGAAACACATAAAACGTTTTCCACTCAGATGTATGATAAGAAAAAGGACAGAAATATTTGGCAACATAGGCAAGAATTGTAAGGACTTGTATTGAAGAGCCCATACACCTACCAAACCCACCATACCCAACCCAGGGTGAACATTTCTAGAAGCAAAATTTGAAAAGTTTCTAGTTTGTAATCAAACTGGCTACAAATCCATGACAGTACCCTCACCAAAAGCAATGACATTTCAAACCCATAGTTGAAATTTTTCACTGGGAATACAATTATTTTAGCAAAATATATTTATTTCTTGCTCGACATATGTATTGTTTCAAACATGATGTTGTACCTACAAACTGGAGGAGAAGCCAGAATAACTGATAATCCTCGCAAGACCTCACTTTATACTTTAGGGTTAGCTAAATCTCGCTATAAAATAAATACCTTTGATGTTCCAGTTACAAATTGTAAAAGCCTTGCCATGTCCTCCTTGTTGAATGATTTAACAACCTCCCAGAACCATTGAACAACACTGGAAGCAGCAGAGTACCCAGTATACTCTGTATTGGCTTGCAGATCATCCACTGCAAATGGCGAGAGTAAGAAAAAGGCATGATCGTACGTACAAGCAAGCGGATTATGTAAACTTACCATCAATTTCTGGAAGACCACTAATCAGAAGCTCAAGCTCTTTATCATTAAATATTGAGATGAGCTGTCGAGGAATCAGTTCGTGGAAACCCTCTAAGAAGGAATTGATTTGAGGACGGATAGCTGTTGACAATATATGGTCAGCCACAAGATCCACATACTCGTGCTTTGTTTCTTCTGTAACCCTGATATTTCTTCCATCAGGTTTGAGCTCATGGTCGGTAACCTTGAAATTGTTGAAGTTCATTGCAAGAATGGTATGAATCAAGTTATAAGGATCAGTTCAAAAGTATAGATTCATAAATTCAGATATTCTAAGAAGGTATCGAAAGCTTCATATTAGCTTGTACCTCAGTCTTTTCACATAGGATGTGCTTCTCCTCATCAGCATCCATACTGAATGTCAAGTCAGGAATTTCGGTGACATCGTTCTGGTTTATAAATGAACAAATAGTCAACGGCAAGTATTACATCGTCCAAACCTTTGTCCCAACCTTAGAAACAATAAATCACTGACCTCGAGCATCCATTTTAGGTTCTTGTAGTAATCAGGATCAATAGCTTCAATGTCATGGTAAGTCACCTTAACCCCAAGAATGTGCTTATAAAATGAACGTGTGAAGTAAACATCCAATAATTGACCATCAAAAAGTGCCTTGGCAACCTGTAAATATTTAATGCAATGAAAAATCAGGATGAAAAAATACACCAAAACCTGAATTTGCACAATGGTCAAGAAAATATTACCACACGACCAATAAATTTGAAGTATGAAAGATGTTCTGTTTGATAAACTGAATTGGGGTTGGGTTGGAATGTCGCACTGTTTCCAACAGTTGTGAAAAGCAAAGCTCCTTTATCAAATATCACTCTTGAAAGGAGTTGATACCACTCCCGTGTTAAACCACCTGCATCAATACCCTCCTCACCTTGAAAATGGAGGGTTAACCGACCCTTCAACTCCTGGCTGGAGCGCATCCGCAACTGGTTATACGAGTCGTCCAGGACATATCCCCTGCGGACACTAACACGAAGAGGAGCAGATGGATGCTGATCATGCTGCTGTCGGATCCTTGAACGGAAATATGCCCTCTTATTGTCAAAATCGATTAATCTCGGCACCTTTAGCATCATAGAAAGAGACTTTTCTAATAGACCAGGATTTTGTCTGATAAAAGCATTTAGCAGGCGTCTATGCTTTTCAGCAACTCTTGCAAACGTTACAGTTCCACTGCCACATCTCAGAGGTGATGAGGATGAGTTCCCAGAAATTTCTTTTATCTCTCTAGCAGTCACATTGGTATCCATCTGTGTGATGGAGTTGTTAGACTGTAACTTCTCACAAAGGACGAAGAATGCCTCTATGAATGGCAATAATCTCTGAGTCCCAGGAGGAAGAGGTGGAGAGAGAGAGGAGAGACCTCCAGGTTCTCTGCTGTTTGGTCTTTGCAGAGAAGAAAAGGAGGAACTATGCCCCAGTTTTGTCTCAATCGTACTTATGCAATCACTTAATTCCTGCCATAACGGATCGAGTGATACATTGAGCTTCCACACAGTGGACTGTTCTCCCTGTTCACATTCATACTCTTGGTTCTTATTCCCATCATCAGATGAAGTGAGTGAACTGAGCGTTTGTAGTACTCGTAGGAATCCAGCCCCAGCCATGGAACCAGCAGATAATCCAAGCATCCCTGTTCTCTTAAGAGTTGTGAGCTCATTGACAGCAGAACCACTTAAACCATGAGCTAAACTTGCCAACTCAGCCATGAAGAATTTCAAATAGGGATCAGCAACAAAAGCTAATTTCTTCACAACTTCAGAGGAAAGAGAGTACACTTTGTCTGAGAGCCTGTGCATCAACATAACACATTAGTTACCCCCTGAAAGCTGAAAATATGCTGTTTTAAAAATAAATGCAATTGGATTTTTTGAGCATCCCAATGTAAAGGAAGCTTCCACCATAGTCCATATTAGAGAGTTTTTTGCATAATATATCAACCAGAATATTTTTCGTGTGCAATGGAAGACGGCCCAGATATGTTGTGGTATTATTGTATTGTGTTTTATCCCCACAATCATGGCTTGCCCATTAGGAAGATGGTAACTGGGGACGAAATCTCTAAGTGTCTTTTGGCTAGATGCAGTTTTTAAAGTCCGGCAACCACCCCACAGGTATTAACCCTGCAATCCTGGCTAAGGCAGATGATTGCCATAGGAAGATCTTCCCTTCAAGATTGTCATAAACATAGAAATAGCCAGTTACCAGGCACAACAGAATACTACACCATCTGAAGATGCAAAAACGTATGTGAAAATCAAAAAAATAGTGCTAATAAAAACCTATAGGCAGCTTAGAGTCATCATTGAAGCATTTTAACGGTTTTCCCAAAGAATGCGTCTTTTGTAATCCACCCAACTTGCAACAGAATTACATTAACCAAAAATGACGAAACATAGTCATTGAAACAGGCATTCAAACTGAAAAGGGAAAAACGTCAGAAAGGTTACTATATGTACGGAGTACAGCAAAGACAAAGCAACAAGAAATAGCAATACAAAAAGAATCGCAACAAAAATGGTATTCAGCATTGGTAAACAATAACATCTAATTTAGAAATGCTTAAGAAAACACACCCTTCATGAGAGAGGAGACTACAAAGATTCCTCAAATCAGATTTAGGGAGCTGCAAAAGAATCTCATATGGTTCACTAGTTCTCTTTCCCAGAGAACAGGGCGCTTCGGACTTGGTGGGGTTAGCGTTATCATCAGACGTAGAAGAGCCTTTCTGAGTGTTATCTGAAGATCCATTGCTTGCTTGGGCCTCATAGTTAGCTGCCTCTCTAGAACGAGGCTGACATTCAATCCTTGACACAGCATTGTTGACTACTACCTGAATCAAACTCATGACCTGCAAAAATAAGTAGAAGTCAGATAATCATACATATTGCGAAGGAAATATTCAAATATATGGCTTATAAATACCTGCTCCAGATGGGCATTACTTCGAAGAAATAAGGGCCTGTTAAGGAGTTTCAGGAATAAAACTAAAGGTATATACGCTTTCTGGGATGTTTCGAGTATATTAAGCACATCGAAATTTTCAGGTGTTTTCCTTTCATAATGCTCCTTGCTCTCAAACTGAGTACTTTGAGATTCAAGGTCCGATGAAGGATCAAAGAAGAAAAGAATGTTTGCAACAGACAAATGATTTGTTGCCAGATACGTCAAAATTTCCAGAACACGACGTGAGACAAGAGGTGGGAGACCTACAGAACAACAAAAGAGATCACTTATGTAAAATGTCATTATAACTGGATTAAATGTAGTATGTATGATTAAAATAGCACCTTCAGTTGTCTGTGATCGACCATAAACTATGTTCCACTGGCATCCATACAGCCTATGTGAATCAGGTGTGGCTGACTTATTAACTAGAGCTTCACCATCTGGTTCGATTATATCAAGCAAAAGGCGAATTAAATTAGCACGTGTTGTGCTATGTGCACATAGGTTCAGCATAAGTCTTTGAAGAAGACCTTTCCCAAGGGGCTGCCAACAAAAATAAATAAATAATAATTAATCATGAATGATATACCACATTTCACATAACCAGATGCACCGAATTGAAAAGAATTGGCATATACAACATAAGGGACATCAGCAAGGGCTACGCTAGATTGGAGTTTTTGCGTTTGCCAAGGTAGCCAACGCTGCCCACAACCTGGCCAGTAAATATTTCACATGCACCATGATTGCATGTGACCTAAGGCTGCTGCTCATAGATGACTGTAACCATTCATTTTTCCAGGATGATAGAGTAGGGTTTAAAACAGGAACCGTTAAAAGCGTGTCTTTACAATCTACATTAAATTTATCTTCTAGATACCAAAGATAAGTAATTTGTACACACTACTCACTGATCTGCGTGTTTGAGGCAAGATTTAAACATATATGAGCAATGGTTCTAAAGAGAGTCACCTGAAATTGACTTCATTAGGCAACCTTACAGATGCTTGGCATTAATTAAAACTCAAAACAGTTTCCAGAGAAACATGCCATTATAGCTTCTCCCTTCTCTAGAATTCATGTTCGCATAAGCTACACATTTCTGAGTTTTCACAGATCTAAACTCAAGCTATATGATATAAGCACACTGCACGTATAACACCTAGCACCAAATGACACAGGACTTGACTGAAAAAGAGCAATTTTGATAGCAATGGCTCAAAGGCATCCTGTTCCATTTATTTTCGGGTGAATTTGCCAGCAAATGTGATCATTGCATACAATAATCATACTAATTGCCAACCAAATTAGATTCACCAATCCAGATAAGCATTGAATTAAGACTTTACCTGAGCTAATCTTAATAGACGAATTAAGGCTTTTAAAGCATCCATATTGAAAAGAGGCTCTCCTTCAAGCTCTTTGATATTTAAGTTGTTCGCAACCAGAGGCACAGTTCTTCGACCAATCGTAACACCGACACCTCGATCCATCACTGCCTGACGGACAATTGCCAATCTCCTATTATCAAGCCTATGGTTCCCACTGAAGAGGCTACCGCGTGCATGATAGTGACTAGCTGCTCGATCCCTAAGCATTTGTGCCTCAGCCAGAAAATTTGATGGCAATGATGATAAAACTGCTTCTGAAGAGGTCAAAAGTACCTAGAAGTGCAGGCATAGTACAATGAGAAGAAACTCTGTTACATAAATAAATTATAGAAATACAAGTCAAATATCTACCTCTTGACGAAGATCAGGAGGAAAAGTAGCGATGATTGAGGCATTATCCATGTCAACAGGTTGTCCTTCAGCCTGTTGAGAATGTACAAGCCTCTGTGCTTGCTGCTGAGCCAAAACTTCTGCTTGAATGTCAGGTGGCAGGGCAGCTAAAAACTCAGGATCAATTTCCTCAGCAAGTGGTGGCGTAAATCTCGCAGGTTGCACGGGTTGAGCCTGCTGTGAAGCTAGAACCTCTGCGCGCAAATCATCAGGCAATGCCTCCAAGAAAGTTGGATCAATGGCATTTGTACTGGTAACTTCATTAGTCATATTAACCGCAGCAACCTGATTAGATTCTAAAGGGACTTCTACACCTTGCCGGGCAGACAAATCTTCTCTATTAAATGAAGTAGGATCGTTACTCTCAGCCTCATTCCCAATGGCATCTGTGCCATTCATGTCTACATCAATGCTTGTGTGAATAGAGCCCATGTGACCATCACTTGTATCTGGAATTGTGGATCCCGAATCAATTATGGCATGGCTGCTGGAGTGGCTTTCAGTTCTAGATGTCCCATCAGCACCACGACTGGGAAATCCTGAACGTTCATTATCAAGATGAAGTTCAGGACAATCTTGCATCTGAAGATCATTCTGCAAATAAATGGGTGCCACGCCACTCTCAGGAATTGTTTCCAACAGTCCACTGCCAGAGCTAACTCCCTGAAAGATATGCATGCTTTCGTTTCCATTACCTGTGCCATTGTACACACTGAGTAAACCCGACATCGATTCTCCAGTGACCTGACTCCCCTCTGCATTGCCAACTGTCGACTCTCCATCACCTGTTCCACAATGAACATCATGAAGTACTGAAACTTCTCCAGTCGCTACGTTTCCTTCTTGCTGTGAAGTCGAAATTACATACTCTTGATTTTGTACTTCAATTGGTTGAACAGAAGCATCATCTGCTGCCACTTGTAATTCACTGTTGGTAGCCAATGACGCATTTTGGTGATGTTGCTCCTGGTTAGATTCCCCAGACTGTCTCTGAACCGAAGAATTATTTACAGAAACCAGACTACCAGCCAGCTGAGAAACAAACTGCTCCTCCACAGCCTGTGCAATGATAGCAGCCTGACTACCAGCTTGTGGTTGTCCATCATCAGTCCATCGGCCATCACTCAACCCCCTTCTACCACCAACATGAAAAGGATCCATTCCTAGCGTGAAATCAATTAATTGTGGTGGCGCAGAACCAACTAAACGGTCACCAAAAAGAGTAGTCGCTGTATTTTCAGATGGGAAACCAGAATCAAACATGTACAAATGAGTGACATCAAAGCTTCCAACTGAAAAAGCTTCTAAGTCTCTAGACGAGTTTGCAGCAGAAGGCCACAGTGAACCATTAGAATCCACTGCTGGTGATGGTCTAGTGAGCAATGGATGTTGTAAAGCATTGCCATCTAAGCTTGGACGTTCAAGGAAACCTCTGCCACTTTGTCGTCGGCGTTCAATGCCCAATGGGCGACGAAAATGGAAAGTATCATCAGCATTTATCCCTTGAAAAGGCTCTGTGGCAACATCGATAAAACCACCAACATCACCAGATCCCCTTAAAATTCGCAGGCGATCCAAACCATCTAAGCCTTCCCTCCACCTTACTTCTATGACACGGTCTTGACTGAATTCATCATCCTCATCAATATCATCATTATATTCATCTACTAAACCACTTTCATTATGATCCTCCACGTCTGTGTCAGCTAGAGACATAAGAGCAGCTCCCTCTTCTGCTATATCTTCATCTTCCTCATCATCATCATCATCCACATCATCACCATCATCCCCCATGTCTTCATCATCTTCATCAGCCATATCATCATCTGTCCTGTGCTCAACCTGGAAAGATATCCCAACCCCATCTGCTCCTTGCAAGACACTCCCTCCATTCATCTCTTCACGCATAAAGTCCTCTCCATGCTCCAGAGATGGATCAGTGACAGCATTTTCTTCACTTTGTGCTCTCAGATCTTGTTCCATGGCCTCATCAGGATGCTCATTATGGTCAGTTCCATTATGAGATTCCTGAATCTGTGATTCCTCAGGCTGATTGGCATCAGTTTCTGGTTGAGAGCCAACAATGTAGCTCTGATTTAGGGCATCATCACGTGGAGATGCATCATTACTGTCTTCAATTCTGTCATTTGTTTTTTTCTTGTTGAGTCCATCTGCCTTGAATAGCTGATCACTAGCATTCGCAGCCCGTGTTAAGTTCTCCAAAGCCTTAAGCATTAGATTGACAACTTTTGGAGCATTGGGGTGGTCAAGGTCAATCACTTGTAGAACACCAGTTAATGATTGCACCATTCCTCCATCTATCATAGTCTTGGCAATGTCCGGCGAACACCCAGGAGCATGTCCAGGAAAGCTACTGGAAGAAATACTTTTAGACAAAATAGCATTTATTAAGTCCGAAAAAGTCAGAACCTTTTTATTTGGCAACAGCTTCCCATTAGAAGCATTGTTCACAAAGCTTGAGAAAGAGGAAAGGGCTTTCACTAGTTCATTAATAACTCGTCTACGCCCCTCACTAGAACGACCAGACAGCATTACCAAAAACGAAGATGCTTTGTCAGACAACTTGTCCTTCCACTCGTCTGAACCTCCAGCTGGTAGATCAGAAGATAATGGAAGCAGTTCGTGAATAATATGATGCAATATCCCACCATGTGTAGAGCTATCTGGATGACCAGATCCTCGTAGCTGACTAGTTTCAGAATCACGTTTCAGCACAACCCCTACAGCATGCATATACATGAGAAGAATATGACTCATCAATTTCAGGGCAAATGTCACCTTTGCAAATGCAGATCCTTCAGAGAGGTTGTCACTGTCCAAACTCATTTCGTCAACTTTCGATTTGCCTTTGTTCCTCAATGTAGATTCATTAATGTCCATCAGTGAAAAAGAACCCACATCATCCTCATTTTTTGAGGATTGTGGATAGCTCATAATTATTTCCAAAAGCTGATCAATGACTACAGACAGAACTGCAGGAACTTTCTTTTGACTCCGGGAATACTTAGTTGGTGGATCATTTAGTCTGCCGTCAGACATCTTAATACATTCATTTGAAATTACCACTCCCTCAGCACCAGAGGACTTTGTCTTTTCCCTCTCTTTTTCCTTACATATGACTACACTAATTCTCCCTCCTGAAGACTCCAACTGGCAAACTGCAGCAGCCGCCCTCATGAAAATTGTGGGATCTCTAGATATCACAGGTGCCATCGAAGTCAAAAATAGTCGTGGGGAAAGCCGACCAGCATGCCGGCTAAGGGAGCCCATTAAAGTCTGTTTTATCTCCAACTCCATGGCAGTCTGAAGAGTGTGTGGATCTTCAAGCAGATGACGAACGATAGCTGATGCAAGGCTTTCAAAACCAGGGAAAACACAACTTTTTGGAAGGCTAAAAAGAGCAACCAAACCACCACTGTCAAGAAATTGCAGGGCGAGGGCGTGTGTTTTTGTAATGCGAGCACATAATTGCAGAACAGCATGCATCACAGGAGCTGGAACATGCTGTTTCATGAGATCACAAGCAATTGCCAGTGTCCGCTGACTCTCCTCAAGAGTCAGATGACCAGTGGATAGCCCCAAGATTCTCTCAAACACATTGCTGGATTCCTTCTCACAGCCATCAGCTGCAGGTTTATTCTCACTAATTGGTTCTGTGGCAGGTAGCAACGTTTCCTTTCCAAGTAAGTTGTTCACGGATGCAGTTCCTTCGGCATTTTCTGTGGGAACCTTGGGTTTACACTGCAACATGTTATCCAAGACAAGCAACAGTGCACTAATGCATTTTGACACTGAAATATCATCTCTGGATTCATTCTTCATACTGAAGTTTGTAAGGATATCTAGTGCAGCCGAGACAACACCATTCTCTGCAGCAATTTCTCGAGTGGCAGCATCTTCAGTTAGTAACAGCACCAATATATGACATAAGCCAACAATTTCTTTAGAGAAATCTGTCAAACAAAGTTTTAATTGCTGGATGAGATAAGAAACTACCCTTCGTCGATTTTCTCCCTTATCACAGTTGCAGAGAGTTACCAGTAAGTCTGTTAATTGGAAGACGACTGAGTCACTAGATTGAAATAGTTTCATAGATGCAGAAAGTATATCATCAACTGGGGGTACATTCACCGCTCTTTCTTCAGTAAATATATCTCTTGGCTTATCAGTATTATCCTCCTTTGATGTTTCGGATGAATTTCCAAGTGATAACGCAAGGGCTTGGGCAAGCTGAACATCCTCCTGCACAAGTTCCTCAGGATGACTAAATAACCAATCCATGGCCATTTCAACACTATTTGTACCAATGCTTCTCAGAGCCTCCTCAGCTCTGACCCTACTAAAGCCCATCTCAACAATGGAAGCAATTGAAGATTCATCTAAAGGAGGGAACAAAAGCCTCTGGCTAGTGCTTCCAGTAACATTATTACGACCACGCTTTGCATCTCCAACACCAGAGTATACAAGAGTGACAATAGAGATGAGAGAAGTAATAAAGGATGGGTTGCAGCAAGGAAATAGTGGATGATTCCAGATAGGAAATATCACATCCAAAACTTGAGATTGCAATATTCGAACAAACGCCTCAGGATCCCTTGGAACAGAAAATAATCCAATAGACAGCCCATCTGCAACTGGCTGAACAAGAAGTTGAGCTTGGGATGGCGAAGGAGATAGGAGAAGAGAAGAGTTAGCAAAGTATCCCAACAAATGGCAATAGCTTTTCAACGTATCAAGCAACCAAGAGCTATGAGATAACTTATTTCTGTCAGTAGCTTTGCCTTGATCAGGACCTGACATGGGGATAGAATAAGGTAGCGTCCAAAGTAATTGGCTTGTGGCCTCAAATGTAGTCAGAAGCTCTTTAAATGTTCCATTTACATAGAAACTGTTCACAATTGCTGTATTACATGAGCGCCGTCTGCTATCAAAGGTAAGTGCAATCATGTCATCCACAACCTTTCCAAGATACCTGCACTTCACAGAGAGAGAGATTTCAAGGCCAGTAGTTGAATGCCCTGAGTAACTAAGAGCTTCGTGAAAAAGCTTTGCAAGAGCTGTAGTAAGATTCTTGGAAGCAGGACTCAGAGAACCATGATCAGCTCTGCGACGGGCTGTCAGTCCTTTCACAAGAGAAGCATGGAAAGAACGAATAGATGAAACAAGTCTGGGCAAAATTTCTGATATCAGGACAGCTGGGCTTTTCTTTTTAACATCTTGGACCGAGGAAGCCTCAGAAGAGTTCATAGAACCTTCTGCATCAGTGAAAGAAGCATCAAGCTGTCGGCTTGTCCTTCCACCACGAGTCCGTGAGGGTACTTGCCGGCCATGCCGGTGAAGATTTTCAGCTGAACGAACTGCTGAGAAAATCTCTTGTGCAAAATTCCATTCTGACGCAGGACCATTTCTTACTGAGACTGGATTCATATATCTGACAAGTGGAGCAATATTTGTGTCATCATCACTTTCTCTACCAGCAGTAGTTGGTAAGGATGCATCAGCTGCACCAGGTTCTTGACTAATATCCTGCTTCTCATCTGCCTTGTAGTCACAACATAAGGAAATCTGCCAAAGCATTTCCTTATAAACCTTTCCCAAGTCTTTCAAGATGTCAGCATCTGCAGAGCTCAATTCAGATGTCATTGTAGTCGTCCCTTTCAACAAAAAATTTGAAAGGGATAGTAAACCATCCAGATTGAAAAGGTGTCTGAAAAATCTTATCTGCTTTGCAGTTTCAAGCTCAACAATTTTTGAACCACGGACAGAAATCATCAATTCATTGGTTAACTTAAGATGTTCCCTTAAAAAAGAGCAAACTGCCCGAGAAAGAGAGGCAGAATGTTGAGGCGAAAAATTTTTGAACGCAACAGCTATATTCTGACCAATGGACACAGAAAAAGGCATCAGTTGCAGCGTAAATAATTGGAGAACGGCTTCAATACCCTTCCTCTCAATGAATTGACGGCAGGTGTCAGCATTTTGGAGGATAGTTTCAAGCAGTCGAGCAACATTGCTCACACATTCTGGAAGAAATAGCTCAACGTTCATGGATAATCCGTCTGAAGATGCCTCAACCATCAGTCCAGATGTCTTGGAGGATTCTCCTTCAACGAGAAAAACTGAACCTTTTTCATTGAGGTCGGCATCCATGATAAAGGGAGTTGAAGAGCATGAAGAGTCCAGGGAAGGAGAAGCATCAACCCCAGATCCCATTTTTAACACTGTATTCAAAATCTCAATCAGCATATCCACACCAGAACTGCGAAGAGAGGAAGCATGCCTTAGAAGTTCATCCAAACCACTGGACAGAGATCCTGGAGTATCACCAGAAAGGGCACGTAAATATGTCCTGCAAGTAAATATTTTGACAAAACACATTAGAGCATTACGATCTTTGACTTCTTGGAGACCAGTATTATTCAGGCATAGAGCATCCAGGCACTGTGGTATGCAACCAATTGCTTCAGAAGAGCAGATGACACCCCCAGTAATAGCATCAAGAAACGCCTGAGGCACGCCAGCAGCATCTAGGACAGGGAAACAGGTAGGATCTTTGTGAATAAGATCACTCATCACTGTCGCCGCTAGAGAAAACACTCCACCACCAAAGTCCTTGGCTTTTCTGAAAATAAGGCTTAAGCAATGAGGCAACAAACTCTCTTCTGAGCCATATATGCGAGATGTAGTTCCAGGGGCATATGTCCCAAGTGATATTGCACGAAGTAAGGCTTTGATAAGTAACCTTCGATGATAGCTGACCAAGGATTCAGAATACAGAGGTTGTGAATCAAGGTCAAATGAAGCACTAACAATTTGTTTACCCTTCTGATGAGAGAGAGATTCTTCTCCAAGTTTCTTTGGACTCTTCTCAACAGAAGACACTTCAACTTTTAAGCGTGTAATAGTATCATCTAAGCCCCCTAAATCTCTAAACAAACTGACTGCTGGGTTGCTGTAGTCCATGAAATGCTCCAGGACATTGACTGCCGTACTAACCAAGTGTAAATGTTGAGGGTTTGTATCTTTCAAGAGAGGTAGAAGTGTGGGTATAAATCCCGCTTCCCTCAGAGCTGAAGAACCAGGTGATGAAGAAACCAAAACTGTGACAAGAGATAAAAGTGCCTCACCAAAAACCACAGACCATTTTGTAGTTTCACTTGTAATAGTGTTGATGGTTTTCTGCATAAGACTCGCAAGAATTCCTCTATGGCCACCAGATGTTACAGATGTTACCACAGTTGGTTGGTGTGATCGTTCCTGACAAAGAGCAACAAGTGAAAGAACGCCCAATATCCGAATTTTCTCCGGAATTAATTCTTCATAGCTCATTAATGACACTAACTCATTGACAAACTCTGGTTCATTGTTAAAGAAATTAGTCAAGTTGTCAGTATCACTACTTGCATGAACAAGAACAATAAATGCATATAAACGGATGCAAATGTACTGCTGTCGAGAATGTAGAGAACCAAAAGCCCTTGCAAATCTCAATCTCGTCAAAAGTGAAAACCTCAGGCTAGGAGAAACTTTGTACTCATCCACTAAGTTCTTCAAGAGTTGAAGATCACTCTCCTCATGTGAACTGATATTTTTCACATGAATGATTTGCAAACCTTGTGCAGAATGGTCTGCATTATTGCATTCATTTAGAGTATCAGCAGCTGCATAGAATTCAAAGTGAAGTGTAGAGCCAATATCATAGGCAACTGAATCACAACCGTCTTGCAAAGAGCAAGCAATTAACCCTAGTCCCTCTTCTTTGCTTCCCCAACCTTGTGAAATAGCAAGTAACTTTGAAGTCAAACTGGCATCTCTTATACAACATTTCCCAATTGTTTTCTTCAAAAAGGCTGCCAATGTCTGCAAACTAGACTCAACTACATCTCCATCAGCAGAAGCAAGCAAAGCAGAAAGATGCTGCTGCATTCGTTTACAATAAAAAAATCGTCAATAAGCTACAAGAAACTAACACAAGACTTTTCATTTACCAGAACAAAAACGTGTGCAGCTTAAACAAATGAGAAAGCGGGAATGAAAACAGATATATTTAGCATATTGGCCATCAAATTATGAGACACAAATTTAGCAGATTCAAGATTTAGAGAAAAAAGTAACTCCAAGTTAAGAAACGTACTTCATAAGAGCTATAAAAGTGCTTGTTTGCGCAATTTTCCAAGATAATCCTTACAACCCGAAGAATTTGAAGAACTGCTTCTTTAGGGAAAGTAGGATCAGCTTCCAGGAAATCATCCTCAAGCCGCAAATCCTTCCTTGGTTTAACACATTTCTCAAAAAACGAATCAAAATGATTAAAAAGTTCGACCCAGTGATGAAAATCCCCCTGTTCACGGTTCAGATGAAATTGGTCAGATATTTGTACATAGCTTGAGTAAAATAATCATAATATAATTTTACTTATCATAAATGTGACCATAATAAGAGGCGCCGATATACCTTGTCAAACTCCCACACAAAGCCCTTCAAGGGAGTTTCAATATCCTCAAATGGAACATAGGTGACACTATTGATAAAGGATCGTATCTTGGAAGGCTGCAATAAAAGTAAAACCAGACCAATCTTATCGTTTCTCCCATAATAAAAGTGTAAATTGCCTTATTTTCTCAAGAGTGAGGAATTTCATCAAGGACAAACATTAAAATGAAAGCGCATTCTTGACAAACCACAAGAAATAATCATAGTCTTAAGATGCAATGCTGCAGATCACTTTGTGGAAAATAACAAGGATCACATACAAAAGACAGTAAATATAAATATTTCGCTTTTCCAACTTCTGAATTTAGAAAAGTATTCACCTTGTTTTTGTATGGAAGAAGTTTTATGTATTAGGAAAAATTAAAAGCATACCTCTTTCAGATCACTGTATTGACAAGAGACAAGTCACAGCAAGAATTAACTTGCGGGAGACAAAAATGATCACTTGAAAATGGCTCAATTTCAGAAAGATAATAAATCAGCCAACTTGATAGCATAAGTGATAACCTACATAGCCGTGATTAAGTGCAGTCCTCACTCGTTACTATAACTACGCAGGTGTCCACTTTCAGATCATTGATTAAGTAAGTACCCATGATATAGTCAAGTAGATTCTCTGCACCAGCAGTACAAGTATAGTTGAAAAATGTGGCACCTAATTTACAAGCTTCCCATGGCCTACACTAATGCTTCACGGCTACTTTGTGCACATTACTACTTTACAAACTAAGCTGGCGTATTCCACCACCTAATGGCTGTGGAGATTCGAAATAGATAAATGCATGTCACATAGAAAAAGAAAAAACACTACTTAAATTCCAGCGAATAGTGGCAGCTGAACAGAGTTCAGTAAAAAATTACAGCACTATAGATGAGCAGTTTTAACAATCAGAATGTCAACATATTCCACCTTGGCCATGCAAAATATCTTGATTTTAGGAAGATGGTCGGCGCATATGTTTTGATATCAACTTTGATATCTTATGTTTTGAAATATGATGAATAAATAACCATTGGACAAATCAAAACTATAGGTAGAGAAGAGGGATAGGTTTAATTTCACCTCTGAAGAAATATTACAGAAACTAAGAATAAAAGTTAATGCTTTGGAGGCTACGTGTTCATATTGAGATTGATAACATTGAATAACAAGAAAAGATAACAGTTGACTAATTGAGTGCACCATCATGTGCAATCTAGAAAGTAATATCCAAGAAGTTGAGATACACTGGCAGAGAATCTAATCAACGCAAAGCATTCTGACATGGTGGATTGATTACAATCAACTAGAGTAAGAATGGTGAACGATTCTCTCACTACCTTCTGCCTCATATGTGAGAAGAAAAAGGCAGGGATGTTTAAAGAGGACTCTATTATACATTTTGACCTGACCAATACAGATGTAACATCTTTAAAGATTAGTCACTGGAAGGAGAAATAATTGGAAAAAGAAGTAATAGGTCTTTTCTTTAAAAGTGACTAAATATGTTAACCTCATGATTCAGTTCAACCAAATTTCGTGAGAATTCAGATTTTATCATCCAACTTCCAGTCATGTTATGGTTTACCAGCGGAGGTCCATGTCATTAGATAACGCATGTCATTGTGAACAGGTAATAGCTTTGTTCCACACACTGAACATGCAGTGTTATCCATGCACCGAACCTGTCTCCTTGGTAGCAATACTAAATAAATGGGCCTAACATAGAAACTTCCTAGTGAACCAATACGTTGTCAGTCAGTTGAGAGTGTTTCCTAGAAGAACCGTCCAAACTATATCATTGCAATCAAGAAAAAAGGTGTAAACGGTGAAGATAATTATTTCAGCCATATATCTTTCAGACACAGTTTTGCATCAGCTATTAACAATAAAGAGCACACAAAAAAAAAGCAGTCAATTATTAGATTAACAAAAGGCATCAAAACATACGACCAAAATAATCCATATGTTACTGTAAAAATGACACCAGTCATGACACCAAAGTTTAATCACGAAATAGGACACCCTAAGAAACTGTGGCAGATAAAAAAAACAGCTTGTATAGAAACACTAACAAACAATGGCCGATTGCATGTACAGTATATTCCGAGATTTTCAACGCAAAATGATATAATCTGGATAATCTGGCATATCCAGGCATGAAAAGGATTGACATAAGAAATTCCAGACCATTCAAAGATCAAGAAGTGAATCTCAATGACACCAAACTCGCATCAATAGCGCATCTTTTAGAAGTTCAACTACCTTTTAAGAGTACATCAAAGAAATTTTGAGTATCAAAGATAATCCATAATCACAAGAAAAATCAAACATAAACCGGCATCTTCATTAAAGCAACATAATCACAAGCAGGCAAAGCTGCTTAGAAAACTCCAGTAAAGTATTTCCGAATCCAAAAAACTCTCAAGAACTTTAAAAACGAACAAAAAAATTCAAAAAAGAGCTTTTATTTTTCTCATTCACAGAGTATCATCCTGAGTCTATGAAATAAGAAAAAATTAAAAACAACATTGAGGGGTCAGTCCGATCGTCCTATCAGAGGACATACACTGCAGTTTACCTTGAGCAGGATTGCACTTCTGTTCCAATGCATGACAAAATTTTGCTCCAAGGAAAGATAAAATACATATATAAAAAGGTTTACATGAGCGAGAACTAGAAACTGAATCCTAACAAAGACAACGCAAAAATTCCTTCCCTGACAATGGTAAAACAAGATAGAGGTGCAAGTCCCCAAACTACCTTAAGAGCATGCCAACACGAACCTGAATCTCCGAAACTAATTTAGTTCCCATCGAATCCCATAGAATCTTATAATTTGAGAAAAAATATCTCAATCATGGGAAAAAATTGAAGCGTAAACAGAAAAAATGCCAACAATACTACATTTTCGAACATATTTAACTTCATAATTCTACAAAAGAAGACAACATAAGAAAGAAAAGAGAAATTAAAAAACGAGTTTGTCCATCCTCATTTCCTCGTAGAAAATAAAATCGTCAAAGAAACATCAGAGGCAACACGAATCTTCCCAAAAAAATTACTGAAACATGCTCATAGAAGCTGCACTATCCCCTGCCCTTAAAAATATTGAGATACTTCTTCCAGATAATACCGACATCAAATCCTCATGGTGAAAAAAAGAGAATAAAATCTAAAAGTAAACTTTAATCAAGGGCGTACCACTTCCAAAACTCTCCTTCTTTTAAGCTTCATCTTCAAATTACCATCGCAGGGCCGACACCCCCGCGGCAAGCACAGAACTCCAGCCCCACCCTAACAGTGATCACCGGAGCGGAAAAGGCCTGGATAGAGAAGGCGATGTAGGAACGACCGGCGCGCAGGGCAGTAGGGCTTCTACCGCATAAATCGGGCCGATGGCGACGGTGCAAAAGAGAGAAGGGGCAACCCCTGGTGTCTGGCAGGCCGGGAAAACGAGACTTCCCCCATCGAAGGGAGAATTAGGGTTTCTTCGTCCCTCCGACGATCGGCTTCGGTGAAGACGAGGACCGGATGGGTAGCGGGGAGGGTGATGGAGTGGGGTAGAATTCTGAAGGAGAGCCAACGCTGTGGCGTCCCCGTATTTATATAACAGTGAGAAAAGAGGAGGCACCCAAAAGTACGGGACGGCTCGAGAAGAGAGAGAGAGAGAGAGAGAGAGAGACCCTTTGTGCTGGTTCACGGAGGGAGGGTATCTTTCGAATGGATAAAACTTTTCACAAGCTTACTTTTACCCCTATTTTATCACAACAGTGAGCACACATCCAAGGAGGAAGGATATCTTTCGAAGATATATAACCTTTTCACAATTTTACTTTTACCCTCCCTATCACGACAAGTAACGTCATCTTTCAATTACGACGTGCCCATTTGACGAGAAAGTCCCCCAATCTTCGGGGAAACCGCATGCAGCACCCATTTTCTGCCATATTTAGGCACATCATCTCCTTTTTTATGATTGAAAAAAGGGGAAATAGGGGATTGGTAAATGGATGGTGTTTACCTCGATATTTATTAGAAAATCCCACTTTTTGAGCATCCCACTAAAAAAAATCGATTAGAAAAAAATAATTATGAGACATTATTTTTCTAATTTTTTATAAATTATAGCTATAAAATATATAAAATAAAACATTTTCCATTGAACAAGATTGCAATTATATCTGTGTAACAATCTATTTTCCAATTTAATATAAGCAGAAGTCATTTCATTGACCCACAATGTCCTCGTTGACATTGTCATGAACTATGGAAATTATCAGAGCACAGATAGAACAAAACCGGGTGGGGGTGTTTTTATATCTACAACATTAATTATAAAAATAAATAAATAATAATTTAATACTCGGATGCCATGAACTGATCAAGACAATAAAAGGAGAAAAAGTCGGATTATTTCGTCATGAAAAGAGGGCCAGAGCACTCATCATATAAGCGGAGTATATGCACAAGACTCTGTTTATTTACCGGAAATAGTAATAATCAACTCTCATAAACAATAATCCTCATAATTTATAGTCAACTGCATTCATTCATCAGATGAGATTCAACCACATTCCAGCATTTCAGCTCATATTTCTTTTTTGGTCTCCCAGCTCAATCAATCCTTCCTGTCTTCCATCCCTGCCTGAGCTTTAGCAGAGATTCCAGTAATGGTTACAAGAAACAGACAGAAAAGTGAGCAGATGTCTTTCTGATGAACTTGGTTTCTGTGGCTTCGCCATCTAGAGAAGCAGCCAAGGATGGGAAGCAAGCTGCCAGTGTTCATTAGGAGCCCACCCACACCGGGCAGCCCTCCACAGAACAACGTGCAGGGTGTTGTGGGAGCCCATACCAGGAGGCCCTGGCTTCACGCAGGATGATGAACTTTGAGGCCATCTCTTCAGTTTGTCATGAACCGAGACTCAAAAAGGGGCAGATAGCCAGTCACCAATGGCATTGCAACCACCAAAATGGAAAATGACACCAGATTTGATTCACTTAATCGTCACCATCAGGGAAGTCAAATATAGTATTGCTGACAGGAGAAGAGGGGTCACCTACCAGAGGCTTCCCTCTCCTGGAGGTGAACATGGAGACCCCTGACGTTTTCTTACCTGATGAAGGCCCAGATTTGCTTGTTGCAAGGACAAGACGCTTCCCCACTTCACTTCTTCTGAGCTTGTCTGATGATCCCATATGAGAATCATCTCTATGACCCTCGCAGTTATCACCAGGGGCTGACAATGGAGCAGTTCCTCTCTCCTTCTCATGAAAAATGACCTCTGATGTCTTCTCCGACTGCTTCAAAGAACCATCGGCACCAACTGAAGCTGACCCACTGCTCTTAATACGGCTTTCTCCAGTCCTGTCAGTCATACCGACTCTCCCGAATGCTGTTGTACTAATAGTGCACGAATCCACGTCGTCAAGATCAGAGAAGTAACTTGAAATGATCCCTGTGATGGAGACTCTTCCAGGAAAGCTTTCGCTTGGAGTTTCAGCAAGCCATGAAGGTTTCTCATCCTTTCTACATATAGCATCTTCAGAAGGCAAGCTCCCACCATTTAGGCCAATATCCAGGAGTTCAAACTTCATGGCACCACTGCCATCTTTTCTTCTTTTCTCTTGCTGATAATCTAAACCAGCAATCGTCTCTGAGGCTACCATCCCTTTGCCCGATAATACATTTCTTGTTCCGATATCATCCAAAGTTCTCCCAGAAGCATCATTTGAACCAGTTTCAGGGGCACGTTTTCTGAGTTGGCCTCTCTTTTGTGTTTGTTCTTCATAGCCCTGTATTGTGTGTGGCATAGTTGCCGCCAGTCCCACAGAACCCTCTAAAGGAGAGATATCCATGAACAGGAACCATGTGATCCGCAGCCCACTAAAGACATTCCAAACAGGCATTGAATCCGGGAGATGGTAGTGGTGGATTTTTCTTTTCACCTGTTTAATTGAATAAAACCTGGGAGCGGTCACCCAAAGTCCCTTGAGTTAAATCTTTGCGAACAGAACGATGACCAGGAGAATAAAATCAATAGGGCATACCAGCAAAGCATGGACCTTGATCTTTCCAAGTTTTGGGAAACAAGCAGAATGCTCCCTTCCCAGTTTTTCTGCAGAAGTCAAGGATGTGTTATTCCAAAAAGCCAAGAAAATAGAAGGACAATATATCCTAAAACTTAGATACATGAGGTTGATTATGATTGCAACAGACATCATCCCTTTATATATTAACCATCAGGTCTATGGAAATTTCAAAAACTATACACAAAAATCGTATTGACCACCTTGGAAAATAACAAAGATATTGTCTAAACATTTAAGAAAAGCAAACCATATATTGTTTTCGTCAAGAGGATCACACAAGTAGACCCACCTGTGTATCATCTACAAGGAACTATTATCGATAGTTTTATGAGTATTATATGAGCTCCATCATATAATGAGCATTCCCCCAAGAAGAAAATGGGTTTCGATTGTAGAACATAAATCTATTAAGTCAATGTAAACATTAGGTTGTTCCAAACTAACCACTATTTGACCATCGTCTAGGCCGTGCAAAATATCGAATTAACATCTCATACCCTCTTTCAACTGAATATCCTCGGCATATTCATTAATCCATCCCCTTGCTGAAAAAACATACATCCAAGTTCCCTGGTGCATTTATGTAGTGACCAAGTGTTGATCTGCAGAAAGACGCTAGAAGCATAGGTGCTGTCCCCCATGAAGAGACTCGGTTCCTATGCTTCCCTAAGGGTCAACGGATCCAAGGAAGAAGAAAGGGCTAATCCACCGCAAAAAGCATACGAAAATGAAAATGGTTTAACATCTGGAGAACCACCGGTCCCAAGATGGCAAAAAAGCATACCAAAAAGGCCATTTCTCGTGGAGCTAAAGAATAGTTCCTAGAAAAAGACTACTCATCACGAAGCATATGAAACGAGACGAAAATAAAAAAAAATAAAGAATGAAAGAAAGAACGCGAGGTTGCGACGAGCCAGACAGGAGCGGAAGGCGACCTTTCTTTCCCATCACTTACTCTTCAGATTCCCGACGGTGATATCCGCAGGAACGGCTACCGCGAGACGGGTGCCAAGGTTGGTGTCCGCGAACAATGGCCTCTGCGCCACCGGCGCCATCGCCGGAACCACCTCGAACGTCGCTCCGTCGTCTGGAATTTCCCGCAAGCCTCGCACTCCTACGCTCTTGTTGGCGGGACGACAGTTCCGAATATATTATATCTGACCGACAAACTGACTTCTCCCTCTCCTATGGCCCACGGGATGGACGGTAAAGATAACCCACTTCCGAGGAACCCCAGGATTCACTGAAGTTTACTGTTCTACCCCGGTAAAACTAAAAAATGTACATTTCTTCCCACTCCGAGCCTGAAACTCTTGTACCAAGAATGAGTGCTCATGAGAATGGATTTTGTGAATGCATCATTCCATTCACCAACGTCCAATGTCACACTAATCAAGTTTTTTGACTCATTTTTTGTGGTGGTCAATCATGATTTAGGAAAGGAGATCTTTCTAGAATAAATTTCAAGTGGATTGAGATCAGGTGAAGGATACATTAATCAAAGACCCATTTTCTATGGAGATAGAACACATAGAGTTCTTGATTGTATATTTACAAAAATGGACGAAAAAATATGACTAAGAGCACCAAGTGTTGACTTTCCGGTCATTGACATTTTGGGATTGGTAGAGAGAACGTATAAATATGAAATTTTCATTTTACAACTATATGCCATTGATGGTTTATCACATAAATAATTGATGATAATGTTTTATTTACTTTCAAAATTGAAATATACATAAATAGTTGACTAATCTTATTTGAAAAATCTAGCATGATTAGAAAAGTCATAACATTACTGAAGTGGGATAAATCAAGGGGTCAACTTGGATCGGATGTCTTCATGGTCCCACTCTAATCAACTCCATCATTCTTGTTGACCAAATATCAATCTAGTGTTCTTGGCACTAGAGAGCTCGAAAAGTTGCTTCTTCAGCCGTTGACAGCCTAATACTAAGAGACTCTCCAAGGAAAGAAACAAGGTGTTGACTTTCAGGTCATTGACATTTTGGCATTGGTGGAGTCAATATATAAAGATGAAATTTTCAGTTTACAACCATGTGGCATTGACATCTTATTACATATACAAATGATGATATTGTTTTACTTACTTTCAAAATTGAAAAGGACATAGAGTTGACTAATCTTATTTGGAAAAATAGCAACACAAAGACAATGAAAAGAACACAGAGTCATCAAATAAAAAGAGGTGAAATTATGGGTATTATAGTTACAATAAATATATTATTATAAGGTGACTTTCAACCATTTTGGGATATGGAATCTAAGAGTAAAGTAGCATTTATGCCCCAACCTATATGGATGGATATTATTGAAAATTTATAAAAAATATTTATTTAGGATTTTCTATTAGATGACTTTCTTAAGCATACATTATTACTCAAATCATCCAAACTATGAAAACAATAAGTGCTTTGATTTCTTTAAGGGTTCTTATTGGCACCCATTACTATTTAAATTGTAGGTAACGCGAGTGGAGAGGGCTCATTGAGAATGCTTGTTAAGAGGCCAAAATATGCTCACCAACCCATATAGTCTGCAATATTTCATTTATATCTTTTTCATTTTTTAAAACCTTAATTACATACTCTCGTGATTATATGACATAACCTCCATCTAAACTTAATTATGTTTCATAGGTAACCCCCTTTTATGATGGTTTAAATGAAATTTTGTAAAGGCTGCAATTTTCAATAATTACGAGGCTACTTATATATATTATTTTATATTTTTTTGTTATATAACGATATTAATTTAGGTGGAAAAAATTAATTTCCTATTTATTCCGAATATATGCAAAAATTGCTATTTCCTTTTATCCAGTCTTTTATAGTATATTGTACGACAAACCCATTTTCTGAAATGAATGCTAGAGCAAAAAAAACTTTTAAAAATCATTTGCATTTATTTTATATGAATATGATCATTTTTTCATTAATTATAATAATTATATTAGAAACATAACCCCATGATTCGTACTTCACCAGGATGATTAATTTCTACTATGAAACAAGTAATAGAACCTTATGCTACTATACACATGAAGTCGAGGAATATTCCGTATTATGGATGTTGGAAATATTTTATTTTCTGTGAATATTCCATATTGGGAATGGATGATTTATTTTTGTTATTTATTTTTAGATTAATAATAAAACTAGAAGGGTCTCCATCCCAAACCCCAACCCACAAAACCCCGCTGCCAGAGCGCCGTTGTCGCCCCCCACCTCCCGCTCTCCTCCACCAGTTCCAGAGGTCCGGAGCCGGCGAATCCTCCTCCTCTGCTGTCCATCGGCACTCCGGCTTGCTCCTCCATTATCGTCCACTCAAGCTTTTCTACTTTCCGTGGCCCTTCTACCCATTTTCCTCCCTCCCTCACCCCCGCATGTGTCACTACTCTGTTCCCAGCGCCACCGAGTACCTTTATCTGTCGTCCTGCCTCCTCCCTCCAATGTCGTCCCCATCGTCTGGCGCCGGAACTTGCTGACAACTGGAGGCTGGCTTCGTCTGGTGTCGTTTGTGCTTCGTGAAGGTTTGATAGGTTTCTCTGCTCCCGCGTTCGCGTACAGGTTGCATGGGCTACTTCTACCAGTGTTCTCATCTCTCGCCGCCCTTTCTGTCTTCAAAAAGTGGCGCATGAGGTGGGAATGAGGAAGCCGCTGATTCTAAGGGCCTTTTCTGTGGCTGTGACCTTGACGCCGTTGCGCTCATTGCCTCCGTCCCGATGTCTGTTCTCCACCTCGGCGTCGGCGGCTACGGCTGCGGGTGGCATCGTGGCGGTGAAGAAGGTGACCAAGTCGAACTTCACCTCGGCTTTGGAAGAACTGCGGGCCCAAGTCCGCGCTTCAGATTTCGTCGCCGTGGACCTAGAGATGACAGGCGTGACGAGTGCCCCCTGGAGAGAGGCTTTTGAGTTTGACCGCTCCGACGTACGCTACTCGAAGGTGAAGGACTCTGCGGAGAAATTCGCCGTTGTGCAATTCGGGGTTTGCCCTTTCCGGTGGGATGATACAAAGGAGTCTTTCGTCGCCCATCCGTGAGTTTCCTCTTCCTCCCGTCATTGTCTTTGCTTTGTTTTATGCAGTAACAATATTTCGTTACTCGACACTGACAGTTATTTTGTCATGAACGATTATTCATCGTAATTGTTGGAATTATTCGCACGAAGGCCAGTGTTCTACAATGCTAATGCCATAATTTGAGTTTAGTGGGCCAAGTTAATTCTTTGAGTGAGATTATCCTAGCCTTTTCATCTCACGTTCCCTTGAGCTACTTAGCATTTGTCCCAGCGTTGAATCAAGATTCTTCAATTTCATCTGCATGTATGTGGATTTTTCTAGAGGTAGTTATTCCATGGTTAATAAAATACAAACTTTGGAATACACTGAGGCTCATTCTGGATGGCACGATGGTGTACATAAAAGACAGCATACACTGAAGGAGAAACTAAAAAGGATCTCAAAGAACCTGCACCTCCTAGATATCCCCAATGTAACTTGTAGCCTTAATTCTGGCCCAGATGCAGGAAGTTTCCTGTCCATGAGTCAGTGAGCTATCATAATCCCCCTCTTCTTTAAAACTCCAACTATTCGTTTCACTGAGCATGCTTGCCACTTTGGTTTGAGTTCCATTTTTGCTGCAGTTTGATGAGCTTAAATTGGGGTATGGTGAATGGACTGAATAGGTTTAAGTAGGAATGCCCGAAGGATGTTAAACTGCCTTTTGGGGTTACTAATTAGCTCAACTATGATTCAACACAAAAGTTGGTGAATCCCAACCTCAAAAGAAGGCCGAATGGATGTCAAACCTTTTTGTCTACTCAAACATGCACTTGGTATGGAAAGCAATTGATCCTAGCTTTTAATGAATGCATGACAAACTATCATGCGTAATACAACTCAATTTGGTGACTACTTTATTATTTAAATGTCATGCGCATTATATATGAAGTTTGTGAAAAAAAAAGGTTTCATGCACCTACTACAGGTTCTACTGGCTTATCATTTTAACTGCATCATGTGCTATTCGTTACTGTATTTTTCTTGTAGTTATATTCCAAGGAATGAGACCTTGTTTATCCTATTTTTTTACTTTTGACGGCTAATACTTTTGCAAGGTTTTTCAATATAGTTGCATATTAAAATGGACTGCTCAACTACATATCTCATTTTTCAACAGGCACAATTTCTACATATTTCCTCGGGGAGAGCTTTCAATTGATGGGCCATGTAATGAATTTCACTGCCAGACTACTTCGATTAACTTTTTGGCTAAATACCAGTTTGATTTTAATGCATGCATTTATGAAGGTACCATCCCTATCTTGCCTGCACGTATTTTATGACAGATAAAATATGTTTTTTGAACAAAATTCAGTTATGACAGAATATTGCTTAGTTGGCCAGCATTATATAATGGTCAAGAGAGGAATAGAACCATAGTTGTCTGAAACTTAAAACCCCCCTCTCCCCTGGACAGAGAATGAAGGGGAAAAAAAAAAGGGCAGTCAGATCTGTTAGAGAGTGCATAAAGCTATTCGGATACAGCAGGCTATGTTTAGGCTAATTCACTGGTGTAATTTGCTGATTTTTACAGTTGTGTACTAGTCAGCTCGGGGTTTTCATCTAGTGATGTATGTGGAAATGTAACTTTCTATCATTTGATTTGGAAGATATAACCAGCATCAGGCCACATCTCTACCGAATCAGCCAAATTTAGATTGTTAACATTAACAATAGTGGCTTTATTTATAAAATGTCAATAAAATATTAAAATCCATGCCAAGACAACTCTCCCATTGTCTCCCACCCGTTCACCAGCTGATTGATGCTGGCGGCAGTGGTAGTAGGCCTCAGTCACCCCTGCTGAAGCCAAACTGGCTGAGGATGTTGCTGCCTCCAACAGCAAAGGCTGGTTTTCTTTCATTTTTTGAACTTCCTTCTCTACCTCTTCTATCTTGCTTTCCTTCCTTCTTCCACCACCCCAGAAGGCCTCTTAGTGACTGGGGACCTTTCAAAGGCCAGTTGAAGCCCTAACTAGGTTACTATTATGGTTTTATTTTTTTTGGGTCCTGCAACTCCCACATTAATGCCGTTCAAGATGATTTAAACCTAGGTGTGTAGAAGTCAAAGAGAAAATCTGTCACAGTTGGTCAGTCTTGAAGGGCGACTTTTGTTTTTAGTGATTGATTTGGTTTGACCTCTTTGGGTGGAAGCACGAGTTTCCTGGAGAGGTGCACTGTTGTGAGATCACTCCCCAGACCCCTCCATGCATTACCCAGCAGAGGTTGTCCTGTTCCCGTTTTGAAAGATCCCCCTGATTGCGGCTGCTGTTGGTTTCAAGAGCTGTGGGAATCTGGTTCTGGCCTTCAGTGCTGCCTTTTCGTGTTATGGTTTATAATTCATTGGAAATTTCGGTAGATATTTAATGTTTGTTGTTGCTACTACGTACACAGTAGCTACGATGCATACGTCTTTGTATGATGAGTGAAGATCCTAGATTAATTTTCTTCATAATCGTAGTATGTTTGGAAAATTTGGTGTATTTACGTCATTTGAATAATCTCAGGAATATCATATTTGTCAAGAGCACAAGAAGCCAAAGCTCTGAATGGTATGTCTGCGGAAACTGAGGGGAGATTATCAAATTCCATGAAAAGTGGAACTGAACCTTCGGAGATGCCCTTAGTGCGTACGGCTGATGTACTTTTTACAGAAAGGATGAAGATTAGATTCCATGAGTGGCATAACAGTATAGTAAACTCTCAAGGTGTGCACTGTACTGAGGGAGGAAGTAACAGCTTCAAATCTCAATTTCAGACCAGCTTCTTCAAGATGCGTCCAGCTATTACATTGAGTGGATTCAGCTCTCGTCAGCATAAATTAATTCAAATGGTATGTGCTCTTTTGTTTTAATTCAGTTTTCACCAGCACAAACTTATTCAACTGTTTGACATCTTTTGCTCAAGCTTTCTAAAGCCCCCCAAAAGTGGGGTAAGATTACATGCTTGTGGGATACCAGATATTCTTCATACAATATCTTGTCACTTCCGTCAGCCATATGCCTTTTCGATCCTCTGTTTTTGATAATTTTACTTTAAATGTCTTATGAAAAAAAGAATGAATGACTTGCCTGTTTCAACTTTGAATCCTCTGAATTGATGTGATTTTGGATGACACTTTCGTTTTATATTTTTTTTCTGAGAATCAGATCAAGTAATGCTCAGGAAGAATTTTTTGGATTTATTTTTATACTTTCCATTGTGAATAAATATTCACTTAATTGCTCGTAAATGGTTAAATAACATGGTTTTTTTCCATGTCCATGACCTAGTTTCTGTGTATACAAAAAAGGGATGAGAAACCATGTCAACCATCTAGCTACGATTCATCTATTATTCCGCCTTTTGTGTTTCTCATTGATTTTTTTTTTCCTGATCTTTCTTCTCTTCTAACTATATTTTATGCTATAATATGAGATGTACTGTACTAAGCAGATGATCTTGCTCTAAATAATGAAAATTTGTTTTCAGGTCATTAGAAAGAATTTTGATGATCTTGTATATGTCTGTGCGACTGGTGACAACTTGGAAGATCAAAAGAAAGTGGTTTATGCAGCTTCCAAGGATGATAAAGTTTTGCTTATGGTACGATACAGGCTGAAAGTGGCAGAAAGATCTTTCTCCGTTGTAGTAACAAGCTGGATATTGATTAGATTTTGCATCTGGTCCTCACCATGACTTAATATTTTTCCATTTCTTTTCTCCCATAGTGATTGCTTTCACATTTATTAAAAAAAAAGACATAGAAGACTGTAAAATAATTGAAGTCTAACGGTCAGAATTGTGCCATGTCTGACCTAAATCTTATTAATGCTAGACATATGTTAAACCTATAACACAGTCTAGAAAAAATTATGGTTGACGATCAAGCCAGAAAAGGGAGACCAAATAAAACCAACTCTTTGCAAATGTGATTATGGTTATGCACCCGCCCAAGTTTTAACCCATTAAACCGTTGATCTTATTTTTGGTGATTTTGTCTAGACTTATTTGGTTTTCAGTCATATGAACAAAACACCTTAGTCAGCAATGGTGTCAAATCTCTTCTTAGAGGGCTTGTTATTGCCTTCATCCCCACTCTTGTTCTTTGTTGGTTCAACACTATTGCATGAGATATCTGTACTCCTACATGGTGCCGCAAAGATTCACCAGATTTTGTGGTGAAGACCAGAAAGCGATTTATTGATTCCGTCCTCTCTGTGTACGTCTCGTTTGTCAGCGTTTCACCATCCCTGGCATGGAGATGTTTTCTGGTTGAACCCCATCATATTGCAGCAGCCCAGACAAAGACTGTATTATCTTCAGTGAAATATACGTGCTTTCTCAACAATGTCATTGATCCGCAGAATTATGGACCATTCACTCAGCACCAAAATTCTGCTTGTTGTTGCACAGGTTTTATCAAGATTTATATGTTATCTATTAGCAACAGTTTTTTTTTATACTTTTCCCATTGGAAGACCCAGAAAAGATGTTCTTTTGTCACTCGATATTATTTGTTCCTTACAAGTGGCGGACATATATAAATACAACTGAAGCAAGGGAGTTGGTTTTATTCTTGCAACAAGAAAAAATAAATGATTGTATTGACTTGTGACTCGTAATGTGGCAAACAATAAATAATATCTGCCTTTTCTTTGGGAAAATAAAACGATCCCATCTGGTCTAATGCTATACGCATTCATTAATTCGATAAGATTCTCCAATAGTCCCTGGAAGTATGCAGTGTGCGTTTCTGGAATATCATCAATCATCTTTCTTTTTTTCACGTTAACTTGTGCATCAAAAACGGTAATTTTTTTGTTCTATTCATTTTCTTTCCACAGGAAGAGATCCGGAATGATTTATTAAATATGTCTAAGGAAAAATTAGCATGTGCAGTGGGCTTTCGACAAGTTATTGATCTCCTTTCGTCAGAAGACAAGTTGCTTGTGGGCCACAATTGCTTTTTAGGTACATTTGCCTGATAAAGAGTTTCCTTCACTTATCTTAAATACTGAATTTTCCTTTTCATGTGATACAGATTTTGCACATATATACAGCAAATTTATTGGGCCTCTCCCCTCCTCAATAACTGAATTCGCTTCAGCATTACACAAAACTTTTGCACACATTATTGACACCAGGCATCTCTTGAAGGCAAACCCTGTGATTCGTCAGCTAATAAAGAAAAACAGCACTTCTCTCTCTTCAGCTTTCTCTCTGTTATGTCCTCACATCTCCCTTGCCTCTCACAATATCAGGTCAGCTTCATATTCAGATGTGAAAGTTGAGGTGAAGGCAGATGCTACTGGGTATGATTCAAATATCTAATGTCATTTGATCCTTAATTTCTGCATGTGGATTTTAGGCTTCTTTCATTATCACATTGGTATTATGCTGATCTTTGCAAAAATTCTCTACTTGTGTGATTTTGCATGCCTGTGCATAGAAAAAGTATCTCCCTGTGAAACTCTTGATTGAGAACATTCTACAAAGCATAATCTTACAGTGGTCATGATTTGCTCTACATTTTTTTTCTAAAGTTACGCTCAAATTTATGACTGCTTAAAACGACATGGAATTATGCAGATCATTTATTTGAAACTCGTACAACTTCAATTAGAAAAAAAGAGAACTTGTAGGGATAAAAGGTGTACTCGTGTCTCTACAAAATACTGAGCAACCTCTGGATGAAAATCCTTCTTCCCTCACCTTCGAACATATGTTTCCTCCTGAAGTTTTAAGTTGACAATTAAATTCGTTGTTGTGAAAGGAAACTAGGCATGTGGATGTCTGGGTAGCGGTTCTCTAGTTCTTGCCGACGACAGAGACTTTACTAATTTATGTATAGCTTTAAAAATTAGATGATGATATTTATGATGATAATTTACTAATTAGGTTGTCACTTCGTTATCCGATGTAGCTTAAGAATGGATGAGACATCCTGCTGACAGTGTTGAACATTTGATATTGTTTGTTCTGGAAACTAAGTACATGAAGTTCCATAATTTTGAACTTCACAATGAAAAACAGTTTATCCATAGGATCCCCAACAGTTCGGGGGGGTGGGGGGGGCTTCTGTAGTCCAGCCCAGACGTGGCCATTTCCTACGAGGCCAGGCATGTTGAAGAGCCCTCAAAATATATTCCGTACTAAATGGGGAGGGTTCTTGTGGCAATATTTTTGCACGCTCTTTTATTTTAAAATTTATTTATTTATTATTTATGTCATTGTTATCTTTCGGTGAAGTCACCCCGCAGTAGGTCTCCCTTGGGTGGGGAGAATCGATGGAGTGAGGGGTTGGATTTCAATGCTAACCTAAGGGAAAAAAGTGGGTTGTGCTGGCCTAGGTCCCACTGATTTTATACCTTTCGGTGTAATGTTAGGATTCGCTCATTATATCTGATTACTGCAACGAAAAAGTTAGGAGAAAAAGACACCTACTTAGTTCTGTTCTCATCTTGCAGGTCAAATTCAGGTGCCAAGCATGAAGCTGGCTATGATGCTTTCATGACCGGATGCATATTTGCCCAGTCATGTAGCCATTTGGGCATTGACTTTAAACTCCCATCAGCATCAACAAAACTGGCCGAGAACCCTAATCTTCAGAACCACATCAATCTTCTTTACCCAAGTTGGAATTGTGGGGTGGTCATCAATCTGCAGACTGGTGAAGAGATCATGGAGTCGAGCGCTCAGCTGTTCAAGTGGAGGTACCCTAAGATGATCTTTGATAATACCATCATCCTCTGGGGATTTTCTGCTACGATCAAGCCAAGGGAATTGAAAGAGTGCCTATGCACAGCGTTTGGCCAGGATTCTATCACCTCAATCTTCTACTTAGATGCAACTGCGGCACTCGTTCAATTTAGCAAGCAAGAACTAGCCTCAGATTTTTTAATCTTGAAAGACTCCCTAGAGAGAAATGATGATGCAATAAGAGTGCTCCATCCTCTTTCAAGACTGTTAGACGGAGGTCGGACCAGTGCTGGAAGTTATGAAATCTACAAGAAATTCTGTTGCTCCCCTATTTCTAAGCCTTTGATTGCAGAGCAGGCTGAAGCGATGGGCATTAGATGGGAGACGAGTGCTCCACAGGGGTTTCCAGGTTGCAGTAAAGGCTCTGACAGCAGAGTACAACACCTTACTTCGGCTTCTGTTGCTAAACATAGTGAAGGGGATGTGGGTCCAGTTAGGAAGGACCCTCACCGCATTTCATGTGAAGATATATTGGATTCCTTGTATGCTTCTCATGCTTTGGTCGGGAGATGAACAGGTTATTTTTCAATGGATTGAATTGGAATGATGGCACTGTTGACCAAGAACTTCTTTGGCTGCCATACACTATTTATTTTGCTAATTATAGAAACCCTCAGATGGTGATCCAGGTAAAAGCACCCTGAATAGCAACTGTATATGCGAGCTCCTCCAAGGCAATGGCAATGAGGCAGGTATTTATTTACGTCCACAACCCATCTGCTCGAGCTAGAGACCCTTATTTCGTACTGAAGCTGTCTAATGTTCCATCTAATTTTAGATCTTAACCCCAATCTTCTAAAAACATGTCTCAAAAACTACTCAACCAATTATATTTTAATCGAAACAGCCCATGCAAGTAGATGCAATTTAGATACGATCACTGTCTTAAAAATCAGCGGTTTTATATCTACCTTCATAGTTAGTGTGAAACAATGGATATTTGGTTTCTAGCTTTCCCCAAGGGAATGGAATTATTAGCAAGCTCTTCTACTTTTCTCTTAGATGATTACTATCGTTCAGCGAAATCATTCTATCAACTTTCAATGTCATCTGTTGGAGGGAAGGACAGGGGCGGAGAGGGAGATTCGAACAGGTCCAGTCTAAAGCTAAGAAATGTCAACTAAAATAGCAACTGATAATGTGAAATATCCGGCTGATTTTTGGAGTTTTCATTAAAACCAATGCCTCTCCTCTGATTTTATTTTTTTTAATTTCACAGTCACCTTCTTTTCCTAGCTGCTCATCTTACAGCATGGGTTCCTCATGGGGAGAGCCGAAACTGTGGCAATCATCAGTCAAGTAAATCAGGCATATGAATGAACCCATCTGAAGAGAAGGCGATTATGGATGAGCCTGTGCTTTCTTCAGACCCAGCACTGGAGAATAAGATAGACGCCATCATCTGGTGATATACTTCACCTTCTCTAGTGCACAAGACAGAAAAACCCTTCAGAAAATAGAAATTACAAGAGGCCAACCAGCTCACATCTGGTGGCTTCTGCCCAGCATTCAACCACTAGATGATCACAAAAGAGAAAGAACCTACCCACCTTGTTATTAGGTTTAGGGCTGTTATATCTGCACTTGTCTGAATGTTAGGTTGATCCTGATGGAGCCGGCCTTTGCCCGTTTGGGTATGGAATGAAGCCAATCTCTCTGGGTGAATCCTCTCATGGCCAATAGCGAACCATGCTTCAACACCAGCGAGTGCTGGTCGAGGCAGTTCTCTCTGGGCCGTTTCCCTGATGATGAACAGTCAAAAAAGGTATTTTTTTTTCTAAGAATAGTACAAGGCCATTGATTTAGTATGGAAAGAGAGCTCAGAGTTGCAGGTGCCCAGCTGGGAAGCTTTCTTCCTACCTAGATGCTTACCATGGGGAGCAGCTCTGGTGGGCTTCTTCTTCCTCAGGAGGAAGTCCCTCTCACATCCCAGTGAGACTGATGCTATCTCTGGAGCAGGCCCATACAGCTTCTCATCGTCAGAGTGCCAAGCCACATAGTCAGAACCCCCCTTGTATCTATTTAAGAGCAAGCTGTTGAAGCTGCTGCCTGGGAGAGCTTCAAGAACCTGTGTAGAGAGAGAGAGAGAGAGAGAGAGAGAGAGAGAGAGAGGAAGGAGAGAGAAGATGAACTACACTGATGGAGGGGTAGCTTTTTTCATAAGGCTGGTGGAGAGATCATGAGTCCTTACGGCCTCCAGGATATCTTTCAGTGGCGGGTAGTCGCCCCATGAATGCGCAGTGGGCTTGTACCCGCTGTATTGCAGTTCTGGGAGGCCTTGATCAGCGATGTAGCATGTATCTCGAGGCTGCATGAAATGTATATTTTTAGTAAAAAATAAGGAGGAAGAAGACGAATGGCCTAGATCAACAGTATAATATTTTCTAATTTAAGACAATATATATTTTTTAATTTCAGTTTTTACTCACAGAAAGGTGCTAAGTGAATCACATCAGATTTGTTCATGTGGGCATCAAGTAATATTTTATCAATTTCTATTATAAGTTGATATTGATATTTATTCAGTGAATATTATGGAAACTATGGGAGATTGTAGCAGGGTTTACACTAAAACGAAAAAAAAAAAACTAAGGGTTTATCTGAGCCATGCACCAAGACCGCTAGAATGGAAGGGTGGGTCCTTCTCGTTATATCTAAAGTGGCTGAGCAGCCGCGGAGTAATGGCGGCGTAGATGTTCTTCGGTGGCCCTAGTCCACATTAAACCCTAAAACATGAGCCACATAGAACATAAACCCTGAACCCTAAACATCTGAGGTATGAAGATGATGCATTCTCCTTCAACCTGTTATGTTAGTGCCAGAAATACCTTGGAAAACCTACTAAACTTGCATGGGGGAGCAGCTTCAACCTACCCAAAACAAGAGAAATAATGGGGGACCACATCTCTGAGCTCAGGGTTAGGAGCAGAGACGACAACAGAAGAACCCCCATTAGAGCAGACTGAAGGTCACTGGAGTATGAATCCCCCCAGCTGAAGCACGGGCAGTCCAGAAGCTCCTCACGGCAAGAGCATCCATTAGATGGCGCCGAATGGCCGAGGGGGGGTGGGGCTGGAACCAGCGGAGAGGCTAACCTGGAGGCAAGACCTGCCAAAGACGCGGATGGTAGGCCTGGTCCAGGGGATCTCCCTGTTGAGATAATCGAACAGCGTCCAGGACCGGTGCTGCGGCAGGAATCGAGGGACGTAGATGAGTTCGCTCCCCTCGCCGAGGTCGATGGCCCGCCTCCCGCCCTTCTCGTCTGGTTCTTGGTCGGGGATCTCCGTCATGAACGCCCGGAGAGTGGGATTCATGGCGCCGCGCCGGAACCCGCGAAATGAGTGAACTTCGATTCAAATCCCGCCTTTGGATGCCGAGTATATACTGCCCGGATCATCTACGTGGTCTCGACTTTTGCTATTTTAATAAAAAAAACAATTTTTATTCAAGATCAGGATGTCCCTCGAGCCGAGATAATCTCGAGGATCTAAATCCGGTAATACTGATCGCAAAGATCTCTTGGTAGGCGTATGAATATATCTCACAGTCCATCAAGGCTATGGATGAGGGGATTGTTAAGCTGTGAAGAGAAAGATATGTTGATGATCTTGCTGGGAAAAAGATACTGCTTTTCAGGGGATTTGAGTTGGGTTGATTCCCCACTAAACTGTGTTTCCATTCATATGAATGCCAAATCTTGATGGGGAGGTGAATCGTTCGTCTTGGACTAATAAGGGATGGAAATAACACATGAATTATAGTGATTTAATCTTACATGCTTTTACAATATTTTAAGAACTCATTGCTCTTATTAAGTAGAGCCAATATCACAAGACAAAGTTACTATTTTAATTCAGTAATTCATAATATAAATAGAGTCATATGTTACCCATTTTGGGACCTCAAGCACTCGTTTTCTTAGTTTTTAAGAGATAATTAAGGCGTATAAGTTATTTTTATAAATAACTTATTATATAAGTTATTTTTGTTATTCCTATAAATAATTTATGGAGAAATCAAGTGCTATAACATTTTTTGGATGCCCTTTTGCTATCTTTTGTGGGTTTCTTCCATGGAGGAACGTGGGACAATTTATAGAAGTTTATTTGTATTTAAATGGTAATTATATTCGTAATTTATTATATATCTTTCTAGGGTTTACTTATAAACAATAAGCACATGATGAAAGCATTCTTGAACTTTACTATTATTTCATCACCTCGTAAGATTATTTCACATTTTGCACAATTACTATGTTTAGTACGATTTTCATAATTGTCCATTTTTGCATCCTTAAATTATTATCAAGCTCTGTTGGAAATAATCTCCCTCTTTTTCATAAGACAAAAAATCTATAGTTAATTATTATAGACAATATGGTTCGAAATTTTGAGGGTCAACCTTTCTATTTCATAATATCATAGTCAACTGCTATGAATATGTTATTATGTTTGATAATATTGAATCGATAATAGAAAATGATGAATCCTAAGACCGTTCTAGATGACTAAACTGTATTTTTTAATTTACACAAAAAATAACCAAATAGATTTAGCTATTCATATTTAAATTTACAGCTTAATCATCACCATATTTGGATTTTTCGTGAAGATGTTTGATAATCTAATTAATCAGCACATATTTTTATAAACCATATCAATGCATGTATTGGCTAGAGGCTAATCATATGCGTTTAATGTCGTCATGTAGATATTTTCAAGAGAATCAGATGACCAAACAATCAAAGGATGTACCTGAACATATGCTCATTAAGGCAAAAAAATCTAGTAAAATGAGCATTCAAGTACCATTGCTATTACTAGGTGGTCGTCTTGATAAAAAAATATTTTAATAATGAGCGATTATCGCATCAAAATTTAATTTTATAATTCTCAATTCCTTATCTTAAAAAAATTAAGATAAAATTTTAAAAAGGTTTTTGAGTGAGAAAAAACATTATAAAATGGCAATAGATAAATATTTTCTATAATAATTTATGCGTAATCCATATACCTCTATATTTTTTATAAAATCTTATTTCCCTTCTCTAATGGTCAAGTTTTTTGTGTTACAAATAATCTAGGGTTATAAAGCCAATAAAATGGTTTAAGGATTATATAAGTCATTACATAATAATGAGGGTGCAAGGATGAAAAGACGGAAGTTCCTCCAACTTCCTTGAACTGGGCTAGCCGGCAGTGAGGAAAGAGGTTTAAACCCTTGCTGGGTCTTTGGGAATGGAGGCGCCGGAGGAGGATAGCCAGGCTGCGGTCGCCGACGGCGAGGATGCGCCTCCGGCCCAGAAGCTCTCCAAGAACGCCCGGAAGAAGCAGCAGAAGCAGGAGTTCCGGGAGAAGCGGAAGGCTGAGAGGAAGGCCGCCGAGAAGGAGAAGAAGAAGCGAGAGCTGGAGAGGAAGCGGCGGGAGTGGGACGAGAAGCTCGCCGGAGCGTCCGAGGAGGAGCGAGTGCGTCTGGTGGAGTCCCGAAGAGAGGCGAGAAGGGAGCGAATGGAGCAGAGGTCTGAGGAGCGGGAGATGAAGATCGCGCGGCTTAGGGGGGCCACCGAGGTGGGGCAGAAGCTGGTGCTTGACCTCGAGTTCGGCCACCTAATGTCTCCCAGTGAGATCCACAGTCTCGTGCATCAGGTATGCCGTTTTCTTCGTTCTTTTTCTATCGTCTGCCAATACCTTGACTGGCTGAAAATAAGCGTCCAGTTTGAATCTCTCCTAGGATTCCATATATACTTAGTCTCTTCCTTAGGATGTTACCTCTGTTGCCTGGCTGGCTTTTTGAGCTGCATTCTATTTCATTAATCCCATGTCCAAGACTTCCTTTGGACTTGCTCACAGGTGAATCTAGTGGAACCTAGTAGATAATGTCCTACGCACCGTCCTATATTATAGAACTTGTGAAACATATGCTTGCTCGCTTGAAATGTAGGTCCATAAGTTATGCTGTAACTAGGTTCAGACTGGCATGTAAATTCAACATGAAACTATGAATTCCTTTTTGCGCCTCGGTAGTTCTTTCTGAAGGCCGTGGGAACAATTCTAGAGGAACTTAGTGGTTGATGAAGTTGCCATCAATGTTTCTTCTCTTAAAAATGCGGTTCGCTTTTATAATTCTGTTGAATAAGCTAATGAGAGTTGCAGGTCATGTATTGTTATGCAGTCAATGGAAAGTCTACATCACCGGCTCATCTGTGGTTGACTGGATGCACAGGAGAAATCGACAGCCAGTTGAAGAAACTCCCAGGATATGAAAAATGGATAATTGAAAGGGAGAGCAGATCTTACATTGATGCCCTGCACCATGAGAAGGAAAATATGGTTTACTTAACTGCAGATGCAGAGGTTGAACTTCACGAGCTCGATCTGAAGAAAATATATATAATTGGCGGCTTGGTTGATCGCAACAGATGGAAAGGGATAACACAGAGGAAAGCAAAAGAACAGGGAATACAGTCTGCAAAGCTTCCCATTGGTGGGTACCTCAAGATGTCCAGCTCCAAGGTAATTTAGATTTTTATTCAATAAATATCTGTGCAGAATTGAACTAGCAAAATTTTTTCCTGCACTTAAAACCCGAATATCTCATATAAAATGATACTTGCGTTACCAACAACCGGACAGAATGAACCATGTTGATTCAGGTTGTTTCTAGATCTTGCTGCTACTGACCGTGATTAATTATTAGGTCAGTGAATTAGATTGAGCAAGATTCTAAAGATTACCATATGGTTTTCTATCTCCTGCAGTGGTGGCTATAGCTTCTCGGTTTGGTTTTGGTTTTTATGGACGGGGTGTTTATTCAAACTTTGTTAAATTTTGAAATATATAAAATTTTCTCTAAGAGTTCTTGTATTCATATTTTCTGAAGCAGGTTCTCACCGTAAACCAAGTTGTTGAGATTTTGCTGAAATTCTTGGAAACAAAGGACTGGAAGGCTTCATTCTTCAAGGTGATTCCCCAAAGGAAAATATGTGAGGAGGAACCTGAAAGCAGAAATGAAGATGCCTTAACAGACATAGAGGAGGCGGGTGATGAAGGTGATGCTGATTCTGGGGCGGAGGAGAATGCAGAGGACGAGGTCGAGGGTGAGAGAAAAAGGATGCGCATGGAAGGCACCATTGATGGTTCAGGGTGAATTTAGGGCACGTTTTTAATGCAGTGGCCCTGATTTTTCGTAATTCTTGTGATGTATGGGATACCTACTCTTAATCATCAATCAATCATTAAGAGTTGCCTGATGAATCCTAGTTCAATGGTGTCAGAATCAGGGCTTTCCCTTCAGTATCAGCTGATTACGTTGACATATCCGAGTTGTGAGTAATATCCATGGTTGTCAGCCAAAAGCTGGGATTGGAACATGAGCTTCAGATCAAAGGTTTCTGGATGGAATCCAGGTGTTATGCTATCCCTTCTCACCTTCTTATGGCCTCTGTTGGAAACATTTTTTAAAGGATATCTGAAATTTTCTCTTGGGTTTGTAGAGATGTGAACTGTGATAGATAATCTGCTACCTTGCTCTTCTCCAGAGCTCCAAAGGGTAGATGGAATATTTATCTCGTTTGCTAGGAATCTAGATAGATGTTTAGATGCTAGAGTCTCTCTTACGTTTGACTTTGTACTCCGAGAATGAATGGATTTTTCTTCTTTTCCTTGAGTCGTATTACCTTAACTAGCAGCATTTATCAACTTACAGTGGGGCCAACTCTTGCTTATTTTCTCTTTAACGACCTTTAAGTAGTAAAATGGTCGTATTGTGTGCGGTCAGCATTCATATCCTCGCTTACTGCTGAAACTTATTTAGCCCACATCGGACAGCAGGTTCACATGTTACCTCCTGGTTAATTATAATCTAGAACGTATGACATGAGAGAAAAAAATTAGGATCGAAATCTAACTCGAGTTAGTACAAAATTCAAGCCTCCATTCCCAAGTAAGCCTCATCTTCTTAATTATATGCCTGTGAAGAGTTTAGGAATGCATATGTTTGGATTACAATGCACCAGGGAAATCTGGAGTTAGCTTGAGTCTCAAAATCCCAGCTTAGAAAGAAAAAAATTGCTTGGCTTCATCCAAACCTGTCTTTATCCAGGCCCAGTTTGGACTTTGATAGGCTCCGATTTGGAAGTTTACAGCATATTCTTCTTTCCATGCTGTTGACCAGGGTGTCCCTCTCCCCCCTTACCGTCTCTCTCTTCTCTCTCTCTCTTTCTCTCTCCCTTTCATATATAGTGCATGCTGTACAAGACGAGATTTTCATGGTTGTCTGTCCTTGAGCGTGATTTCCTAGCTTTTCTTTGAGTTCAGAGTTCAAAAAGATGCTTGAGCTGAGCTTGGCAAGGCCCCAGCCTATTGACCGTCCTAAATCACAACATTCTTCTAAATAATGTTGGTTAAATTTTTATGTTTCTCTAAATAATTTTGTATTTTTCTCTGTATTATATTCTGTAAAGCTGAATACCAGTACAATGGTCAAAAAAATAAATAGACTGGAGCCTACCTAAGTTGGTTGTGATAAACCTCCCTATTTTAGGGTAAACATTACAAATGAAGGAATCATGCTATATCCTAGACTTAGAGAAGACTGACATAAGTCGATGCATCAGAACATCTTCTCGATTTTGTTGAGCTTCTGTATTCTTCGCATAGATCTAATTGACATAACCAACATTATACCTGCATGCCATAATTCAAAAATTAGTCACTAGCATTCATATAATGTCAGCATCGTGGGGAAAAACATTGAAAATTCATCAGCTCTGGAAAATACTTGAAATCTTTTACGATTCATTCAATGGGTTGATTTTTCCACTCTAACCGCTATGAATACAAGCCTGTATCATCACTCTTATCTCAACTGTACCAGACATTGAACACGAAATGGTACACACCAACCTTTAGTCATTGATCATTAAATATTAAGTCTTGGTGCCCTACACACATCATTGTTAGATTTTCTTAAGCCCAATATGCTGTCAATGGTGTGAACATTATCTTATAAGCCGACTCTTGATGGGTTTGAATCAGAGCAAGTGATCCAGTTAGATATGCAAAATACTCACCAGCACCAATGAAAGTTCCATTAGCAATATCGGGGATGCCTTGGCTGCTTATTGTGACTCCAATATGCAGCAGTGTTCCTCCCAAAACTGTATAAATAGTAGCCATTTGCATGATTGATGCCTTCTGAGCCGCTCTTTCGGACTGAAAGTAGATTTCATTTACTCATTCAGGATAAGATCAACAAGACTAGAAAAACCTGATAGAAGAGCTACGTTTCTTCTAACTTTGGAAAGATCTATCCTCTGAAGTCATACAGGTTCTGTTAGGCAGACTGGCTGATGAGAGAATAGATGGGGAGCATACCTCAAGTACTCTGACTCTCAGTTTCAAGTCACCAGACTCTAGCTGTCTTATAAACTCTTCTATTTGCTGGATTCTGTAGGGCATGGAGAGAGTGTAATTTCTGGCCTGCAACCAAGCAACATAAGTCTGTAAACCTGGGTGATGAGCCAACAATTCTTATTATCTTTGACCAGAATCAGAAAAAAAAAGAGAGAGGATAATCCATGAAATATTTACTACTAGAGTATGCTGCCTTTCATAACGCCCTAGACTCTGCAGGTTTATCTATCAGTTGTTCTCAATATTGAAGCGAACACAAAGATGAAGGACAGGAAGAGATGGAGTTCAAAGTCGGTACGTCATTCGTTTGCCGTCTTATCTCCTCCACCAGTTCTGCTCCACTGCGTTGTTTCTGTCTTGTGTCTATCAGCTCCTGCATTTCAACCATGTATGTATATATGTATGGTAAATTAGCTTTTCTGTGACAATATACCACGAAAGATAGCATCAATGGCTTAAATCAGCACATACCTGCACATAAGGTGCGGCGACTCTTGCAAAGGAAAATTCTGGATCTAGAATGTACCCAATGCCTGTTGAGGAGAAAATTCATGGGTAAATTGACTTTGATTAGCTATCAACCACTTATTTGAGACCATTCATAGTGATAAGAACCAAAACCTTGGTAATAGAGAGATGATGAAAGAAAATTTCTGTTCCATCAACATATAACATTGATCTGGAACACAAGGCATAATCTTGAGAATCTGATGCTGTTGGACCTGTTGAATCTTGTTTCAGCTCCTCTTGTTTAGTGTTTTTCTTATTTTCTGATCATGAGCATCGATATCCACTATCTAATTGGATAATAATTATCTACTGTCTGATCACGTCATCATCCTCATAAATGTACCACTGTAAGTTGTGCGCACAGACCAAGAGCAGTGCCTCGTAATTCCATTCATACCCCCTTGAACTTGTTCAATTTCTTTTATTCCTTCGTTGCGTATTCCCCTTGACTTATACGGCTTGGTACCCTTGACCAGAGCCCTTTCACTCGAACATTTGAACATATTAGCTTGCCATCTTCATGGTCTTACTGACCTATTCACTTACCTTGTGAACCCACAGATGCTTCCTTTCCCTTCAAGGTAGGGTTTTTTTTTCATCCAATACGATCCATACCCATCGTCTATAATTCTGTATTCGACAATTTACACCGACTTACCATGGAACTTATGCAATGTATGCTAATTTATTAAAAATTAGAGAAAATTGATTGATTTTTTAAATATTATTCATTTTATACATTCATTGAAAGGAACATGGAAGGAATACTTTTTCCCTTTCCCTATAATGCAATATTTTCCTGTGCTTATTCCACCAATAGAGCCAACATCTAAAGAAGTCTGCCCACAAGTTAGGAACATAATATTTCATGCATTGAAGTGAGAACTGACCTTCAATGGTTGTGAATGCCTTCATCACAAAGGTGAAAGTGGAAGGAAATGAAATCGGCTTGTCAGAGGCTATTGCAAACAAATCCTGCAAAACATAGTCCCCATGATTTACCAAGATATCAATCATCATATCCTAATAATCTATAGTTCATGAGGGCATATTAAAATTTAATTATTCACTATTTTAGTTATTTTTTAGAAAACAAAAAAAAAACTTGACTGACCTCACCGATTGCAGCCACAGTCTGCGCCTGATCCGGCCTTTGGTTCATTAAATTGTCCATGAAGAATTGCACAGTTCTCCGCACCTAAGCATTCAAAACTTATATCATCATCCGATATTTGCCCAGACTTCTCTCTACTAAACGGAAAATAAGCTGCAGAGGCACTGACTGATGTCATGTCTCCAGTTGGTTGAAGCACTTCCAGATCAATGAGACTTCTCAACACCTGCATTGATGCGGCCGTGTTATTCCCCCTTAGAACACATATTCATATTTATTTTATAAAATTATCGTTGCAAACCTATTTTTGCACCTTTTATCAATATAATCATATATATTTTTATATATAAGAACTAATATGAGGATACTCATAACAATCACAGACTTTGGTCAAGGTCTGTTAATCTTTCCCTTGATTTATGGACATTTTACTGCACAAAATCATAATTTATCCGTGTTGATTATCATGGGTCATAATGATAAAAAATATTGCACGTTCCTCAAGTCCGATTATATTGTTCATAAAATTTCTTCATATATATCACCTCTGATTTTCTGTGGTAGCAATGAACAATGCTAACAGTGACGAACCTTCTTAGTATCTTTCTCGTACACTGCAAAGAACAGCTCCAGCAGTCTCTCTTGCGTGAACGATTTGATCTCACCCATCATTCCAAAGTCATAGTACACGAGAGATCCATCCCCATCGATAGCAAGATTTCCAGGATGCGGATCGGCGTGGAAGAAACCAGCCTTCAATATCTACATCAACCCCGAACCCAATTGAGAAGGTAAGTGAACTGACATTCGTAGCTTATTTAATCATTATTACTAATAATATCGATAAATTATAATAATAAGGTCAGAAAATATCTACAGAAAATTATTTTTAGAAAGATGTGGAGTTTACCTGGATCAGGTATGATTCTATTGCATTTGAAGCGATCTTAGAACGGCGATAGCCTCTGGCATCTATCTTATCCAGATCAGTTATTTTTATTCCTGCCCACAGAAAAATTGCTGAATCTAGTAAAGAACATGCAAGAACATTGATCAAATCTTTTCCTTCGTTGTGTGCCCATTTCAGGAGAGATATGATTCACTCCAGGTTAGTTACCTGGGACGTACTCGAGAGTCAATACTTTTCTTGATGTGTATTCCCATAGAACAAGCTAAGAAAAGAAAGAGGATGATCGATTAGGATGAAATTATTTTTCAGAAAATAAAAATAAAAATTGGCGCAATCGTTGAGAAGAACTTACTGGCACTCGGACCCACTTTACATTTCTGAAATCTCGACGAAATCTATCTGCGTTCTTTCCCTCGTTGATGTAATCAATTTCTTCATACAAAACCCTTCAAAAAAATAAAAAAATAAGATGCAAGAACATGATCATGGGGGTTCATGTCATAGAATCATGATCGAGTAAATAAGGAAAAAGGGGAAAATGATCAATAATTATTATGTTGGATTAAAAAAAACCCATTTTCAGACTGTTCTCAAAATCACCAGCATTGGGATAGAAATCAAGGAGCATAATCATGGGGGCTTCTGTCATAGAAACATGGTCACGTAAATAAGGAAAAAAAAGAGGAAATTGATTAATAATTATTATATTGCATTAAAAAAAACCCATTTCCAGGTTGTTCTCATAATCACCAGCATTGGGTTAGAAATCATGGAACATGATCATGGGAGCTCATGTCATAGAAACATGATCAAGCAAATAAGGAAAAAAAGGAAATTGATTAATAATTATTATGTTGCATTAAAAAAAAACCATTTCCAGGATGTTCTCGGAATCACCATCATTGAGATAGTATGGATCTAAGACTTACTTTGAACATTCGTCGTATATTGCAACCCAATCCCTCTTTGGCCCTCCAAATGCTTCACTTCTCTGAAAGTACTCGGTTACAATTTTTAGGTTTCCTAGAGAAAATCAAAACGCAGATCTTAGCAAAATATCATATCATCTTATAACTTCCAGATCAAAACCGAAATGAGAAATGCATCGGAAAAAATAAAAAAAGTTCATAGATGAGCAAGCATTTTACATAAATGAATCTTATCCATTTAATTACAAAAAATCGATTTTTTTTCGTATAATGTTGTTAGGTCGCATATAGTGATTAATTGATCCCATACTTAGATCTATGTCGAACAGCTTCTTCAGACCAGGCCTTTGGACCTTGACCACCACCTTCTCTCCATTGTGCAGAGTAGCACGATGCACCTAAGTAAAAAAAAAATCAAACCAATATATTTGGGTACATCAGGGAGAAGCAAGATAATCAGTCTACATTGATAATATTTTTTTTAAAAATATAATTCATCTGACGAACTAATGAAAAATTGCCTGCTCTATGCTCAAGGAAGACGGAGAGTTTCCATGAAAATAATGAAAATTCCGTCCGCGCTTAATTATTGGTAAATAATTAAATAATTACCGGAAAGTTTCTATGAAAAAAGTGAGCGGTAAAATATAGGAAAATAGTTGCGATTAAGTGCTTGCATAGAGAATGAGATCATCAAGAAATGAGAGATGATGCGGTGTAGAGGGGGCTACCTGGCCGAGACTAGCGGCGGCGATCGGCCGGTCTTCGAATTCCTTGAATAGCACGTTGATGGGGGCGCCGAGCTCGGCCTCTATGTAACCCCTCGCCCTGGCCGGCGAGAACGCGGGCACCCGGTCCTGCGGATCGTCCCACCATTTCCAAAAGGCAAGGACGTCAACGACCCATCTCTCTCTAAAAAGATTACTTGTCGCTCGCTCACTTGGAGCTTAGCGAGTTCATCGACGAACTCCCTGGGGAGGTCTCTATCTCTCTCTCTAGATATATATCTATATATATTCTCTCTCTCTCCCTCTCTCTCTCTCTCTAAAAGAGATAAGTGGTCGCTTGCTAACTTGGAGCTTGGCAAGCTCATCGACGAACTCCCTCGGAAGGGCTCTCTCTCTCTCTCTCTCGATCTCGTTAAAGGTGATAACTGGTCGCTTGCTCACCTGGAGCTTAGCGAGCTCATCGACGTACTCCCTGGGGAGGAGGTCGGACCTGGTAGAGAAGAGCTGCCCGAGCTTGATGAAGGTGGGCCCCAGCTGCAACACGCAGTCCCGCAGCCACGTAGCCGTCCGCCGCCACCTGGCTTTCTGCAATTGGTCGAAAGCGACAGTTAGGACAAAACATAGGAAGATAATCGTATGCCCCATATATACGGAAATTGAACAAGAAATAAAAATATTTACATATGTAATCGGCTTATAATTTTTAAATATATGATAAAATTTTAGTCCGAAGCTCTCTCTCTTCCCACCCATCATCAGAACGGTTGATCATGGGTGAGCCTGATCGACGTCGAGGTCGGAGTCGATCAGACGCTAATCCGACCGTTCAATCCCGGGCCTGTCTTGTCGGGCCCGGCCCGCCGCCCTATAATTAATCACGTTTTTTATGCACTTCCACGTCTACGGAGGACAACGCGACGATTTCCAGGGGTCTCGGAAGTCATCATGCATAGGAAGAAGGCGACAGGCGCGGCGGTGGGAGAGAGAGAGAGAGCGAGCGAGAGAGAGAGAGAGAGAGAGAGAGAGAGAGAGAGAGAGAGAGAGAGAGAGAGAGACTGATGCGTGAGGCTCTTTCTCACCTGCTTCTCCTCTGTGAAGCCCCCGCGGTACGTCCATTCGGCGGCGTCCATCTTCACCCGGAGGTTGAGTGTGAGGAGGAAGCTCCATACATCCACCGTCCTCCGCCAGGCATTGTACCCTCCCTGCTCCCACCCGAACGCCACCACCGCCGCCGCCGCCGCCGCCGTTCTTACTTCCTCTCCCGAGCTTGGCGGCACCGGCGGCCGGCGGCGGACCCGTTCCACGGCAACGAGGGGCCCCTCGGGCGAGCTCCTCCTCGCTAGCTCCGTCGTAGGAACCATCCTCGAAGGGCGCCCGTTGATGCGCCGCCCTGCCGCGCCGGGCCTCTGCTGCTGTTGCGCCGCCCGCACCGGCGGCGCCGCCCGGAAAAAGGGCCCTCCTCCGCCGCCGGTCCTCGCCCGAAGAGAGAATTCCGCCCCTCGGAGGCCCATCTTGAGAGATCGTTACTGGGGGGGGTGGGGGGGAGGAATCCCGAGTGGTGCACTTTCAGAGGACTTTAAACCGGGAGGAAGAAGAGGGAGGAGCTTCCGTATGGAGAAGCCAAACCTAGGAAAATAGCAGACCTAGCCAATGGGATCCCGCCACGTAAGCTTGACGTGCCGGACCCGACTTGGGCACCTGCAAAGTGGTTAGCTCGAAGAAAATATTTTTATGAAAATGCCAAATATTTCTTAAATAGCCGACAAGAGAGTAAAAAATGGGAAAGGATCTGACGGTCATGATTAGAATGGAGGGCTCAGATGATTCCACGCATCAGACAATGTGAGGGATCTCGACCAAGGTTTCCGAAGTCAAAAACCCATATATTTATATTGGACGGCTTTCAGATAAACATACCTTATTTTATGTAAGTTTATTTATTTTTGATAGGTCCTCCAGATAAATTATCATGATATATATGCCCCCCTTTCTCTCTCTAAATTGCCATTGCTAAAAAAATGGATATTCATAAATGAAATATGAATATTTTCTTTTAATGTAGCGTACATTTCTAAAATGGCTCAAAGACCATGTAGAGCCATCCAGGGCCAGGCCCAGGCTGCCCAAAAGCCCGTAATTTTCTCCGGGCCCCGGACCAGGCCCAGGCCCATCATGTCTCTCCCTCTCCACGTATACAAGCCCGAGAGAGAGAGAGAGGTTTTTCTGGGTTTGAGTGTGCTTTAGAGAGAGGAATCTTACCGAGCCGGGCCTAGCAAAACTCCCTACCGGCCCGGGCACTGGTTCGAGTGGAGGACGTGGACGGTCAGCTTACCGCCAAGGGTTCGGTAGGGTTGGCGACTGGGACCGCAGTCCGTTCCGTGCACATCTCTACCTCCAGCGGGCCCCCAGTGCACCGGGAAACAAACCGTTAAAGTGTGGGGTCCACAGTGAAGACATGAACCTTTAGAGGCGTATTCATCTAAAGATGCACAAGATAAGGACTTTTTCTGAAATAGCCAAGGAGGGCTTTTCTTAAATTTGAGCTACTTAGTTTTTGTGCGAGTTGAGATGACTTTTATCTAACTTTTCAAGGGAGTTCTCTCTCTCTCTCTCTCTCTCTCTCTCTCCCTCTCTCTCCCCCCCTCTCTCTCTCACTCATTCCCCCCCCCCCTCTCTCTCTCTCTCTCTCTCTCCTACGTGGACGTAAAGAGTCAGCTTAGATATCGCCGAGGTCTGAACTTCATTGGGTCAGCCTGAAGCCTGCTTTATATTTACTTATGTAGAGCATTTTGCTCAATATACAAACTAAGTTAGCTGACGGATTCCATATTCCCTATAAATTGACTGAGAAAATATAATCTTCTATGTTTTCATTCCTTGAATCCGTTAGTTAGACTCTCAAAATAAGAGAGATTACAAACTGAAGATCAAGATTTAGACAGAGAGAGAGAGAGAGAGAGAGAGAGAGAGAGAGTAAAGACGTGTCTTTCTTTCATAGATCCATCCAGCATTCCGAGGCATAGAGAGGGAAAGGACAGGGACCCTCCTACAGAACCAGTCATCACCCACATCTGCGAGCAACTTACGACCAAATATCAAGGAAAAGCTCTCTTCCTCCCCCTACAGTTCTTGATGTCCATTCCATCACCAATCCTCACCAACTAAGAAAGTCCAACAGATGTTGCAGAGGGTTCCCTCATCTCAAATTTTACCATAAAAAGACACTGAGTTTGCCCTTGGTCGTTGACCATGAAGCAAGGAGGCAAAATTTTCAGAAACCAGGCGTAAACATTGAACAAAGTCAACTCCTGGACTGTTCACCTTCAGAAGACTGAGTGAGGAAGCCGCCGTTCACCCAGCCTAAGGCGCCACATAAATCTTCACCTTCTCCCCAAGAATTTCAAGTCTTCATCCATCCTCAGCTTTCCTTTTCCGTGACAGTCAGGGATGTGGGTTTCTGTGCAAACCCACATCCGATCAAGAAGATAATCACCAAGTGAGGGGCTTCTGACAGAGGATTAGGGTTTCTTGGGTCTCTTCGGGGAGGATTGGCCACCATTGACGCCCTCGCCGCCTCTTTTCACTGTGCTGCCATTGTCGCAGGGGGTGGCATCCGGCGACGATGCCTTTGAATCTTCTTCGGAGATGTCGTGTTTCAGGATATTGGTGACCATTGCGTCCACACGGAGTTCAGATCTGAGGAGGGATCTCCGCTTGACGGTCGCATGCTGCCCACATGATCGATCTTCGATCGCAGAGGCCCGGAGGTTCTGGATAATCAGATCCTCGTCGCTGTCGAAGCTCTTGCTTGAAACCTGCACGGGCAAACAGGATGATTACTATTTCTTCTCGTCGTTGGTCTCGGCGAGGACACGGTCACAGTGAATCAAGAACAGTCCGATGGGTTTGACCCACCAAAGATTAGATAATATCAATTAGGAGATAATCCGGTGGGGAGTTGACTTTGATACTTTTTAAAGAAATCTGGGACAAATAAATGAAGATGCGCTGCGTAATAGAGGGAATTGTCTACCTGGAAGTCAACGGCCCATTCGATTATGATGAATGGACAACCACAGCCTTCGATGAGGTTGAACTTCAACATTATGTTAAATGATCTGGCCTTCGTCTTCCTGGAGGAATAGCAAGAAAAAAAGGAAAATAATAAAAAATAAATACCAGTACAGTGGATTTTTCTATATTTTTTTTCACAGGGTTTATCTGTTTTTTATATTCATGTACTGTTCGGAATACCTCCTCAGAGAAAATGGCTGCTCGTCTAAAAGGGCAGTCTTTAAATCCGGCCTGTCAGGGAAAGAGACCTGAGGAGCGGAAAGAGAAAATCCACGTCAGAAAATATCACAAAATGGAAAATCAGCTGAAGAAGGGAAAGCCACGTCAGATCTGCATGGTTCGCTATAAATGGTGGGGGATTTCCTGTTGATGATACTCTTTACATTACACAGTTCACATGTCAGCAAAATCGATAACTAAATAAGAGATTCCAGAAGAAGCGTAAAAGACCCAGATTATCTAGGCCAAAAATAATAATAAAAATCATCATTCTGCACCTAAAAGGGGAAAAAGGAGTAATTTTTCTTGGTAGGAAGGGGCAGGAACATCTCCTGGCCATGCTCTTGTTGAGCTTCTGTGAACTGATCAAAAGAAGCTGCTCCCTCATCTTCGTGCACTTAAATGCCCAGGGAAACCAAATCTTTGATGCTCGAACTCATCTCAGTCTAATTAATCCCCCATTGAAGGGCATGATTCTGTTTCTTGTGGGCACAGCTCCACGGAAGAGTATCATTTTCTTACACGGATGAGAAGAGAATTCGATGCGTAGATTCAATAAATTGAGAAATTAGTGGCACAGTGCTACCTTGCCCTCATCTCGATAGATGTCTTGGGTAATCATTCTCGAATTAGTTCCTGGCCACTAACTAGAATGGGTCATGTCCCACTGACTACCATGACTAGTAGCTCATTTGCAGATGAACCCTAACCACTAATGAAGGAAAATAACAAGTAGAAAGAAATTTTCTAAATGGTCCCGCCCACTAGAGCCACAGAGAGTAGCAAAGCGTTTCCATGTGTAGCTCAATAAAGGTAGCGACCCAACTGAGTGGGCTCTGAGCTAGAGAGCTAAACAGGTAGTATCCATTTTATTGTGAGCAACTCCAGCAGAGAGCTAGAGAGCTAAAAAGAGTACTGGAGCAGAAGCTAAAAAAACGATCAAAGCTGGCTAATGTCTGCAAACTACGACTATAGGTTTCAGTCTTGCTAAAGCCAGTTCGTTCGCCTTGATAGCATCTTAGGAACGGTTCGGTAGATCACATTCATAAACTTGTTCAGTAAACATTCGATACAAAGAGAAGATATACCTAAGTAAACCAGAACTCATATTCATTAACCTAAAAAGTTTTTCATCCAATTCTTCTGTTTCTCAATCCTTAAATAAATCCGTAAGATAACAGAAACCTTCTTCAATGAATTTCAAGACAAAATCAAAGAAGGGTAAATGAGATTCATACCTCCACAGATTTTATGAATGGTAATGGAGCTTTCTGACCATGGATGCTAGAAATCCTCAGTGTCCAACATACATATAGGTTCCCTGGATCATGAAGCCAAAGTAATGTAAGACAGAGAAAACCGATTTGTCCATCAACCGTTCAATTTTTATGTTCTCAATATAATGTCATCCATGAAATATTAGTAAGTCTATCATATGTTAACCAGGTACTAACCTAAAGCACTCTTTCAGGTGCACAGATCTTTACAACTTAAAAAGATTACAAAAGTCTCAAAGAATGTAATTCGCACCGCTATCGTCATCATCAAAAGTTGTCAGCGTTGTGGACGACTCATATCCAAATTTAAACAATTGAGGAGAATAAGATAAGCAAAAAGCCATTGTTGAATCTCCTTCACCACTCCAACGCAAGGTAGAAGATCACATCAGACATTTTTTGAAAATCCAAGAACTCGATAAATCATTGTTAAACAGATCATGAATATGTAAAGAACCCTCATCAGAAAAGTTTGAAATTGAACAAAGAGTACATAAAAAGTTAAAATACATTTTTTGGATGCAAAATCTGACTAAAAATAGACACCAATGCAAACATAAAAATTATCACTTGATAGCAAGAAAATGTTTTTTTTGGTAAGGAAAAAAGTAAACTGCAAGAGATTTGTAAACTGCAGGAGATAACAAGCTTACTTTTGGGGGATTGAGAAAGGGCAAGCTGGATCAGATCAATTCTAACATATGGCGGTATCTGTAGATTAAGACTTTTCATCAAACCGGCAATTACCTGTGCAAGTAGTCACCAGTAAAGAATTAGGCCAAAAATAAATGCGAAATGAAAAGAAAAGCACTCTGCACAAGCAACACACGGAATACAGCACCATCGTTGACATAAAACTGTGATTATTGTAGAAAACGGTATTTAATGATGATAAAAAGTTGTCAACTGCAATGTATTTCAAATTTTGGAAAAATTTGAATAATCTTAAAACAAGCCTGATACACCACACACTTGATTTAAAGGTGCTTTTTTATAATTATAGTGTAAGTTATTTATTACGATGATTGAGTTGTGATGTATGTCTACTATCAATCTGACGTATCACCAACTTTACAAATGAGAAGTGATATTGAAGGGTGAAGACAAAGTCGAATTGCATTCATGCTTTACAGAACACACTAGATATTTCAACAAATGAATGCCCTGATCTCGCCAAAAATTGGTCCAACTAGAGAACTGTTGAATGGAGCTCTGACTATTTCAAATTCAAAATGCTTGTCGTATCTGTTGTACTATTCATGAACATAAAGTATGCACAACATGCTAACACATAATCAAAGAACTACGATTTTATAAAAAAATCATTAACATTGATATAACTCTTTACAAACTATTTGGTTTGTAATATTTACAATTCTTATTAAAAGAAAATGCGCGTAGACATACCAAATTAATAATATATAAAACCTAATGATCTTTGAAAGTTGCAAAAAAAAAACTACTACATAGGCACAATAGATACAAACAGGCAAACATTTTAAATGATAAAAATTGGAATGTACCAGAATTCATCTGCTAATGATAAAAAATGACGCTCAATCCAACGTCACTGAAGGTATATGTGAGGGATTAATGATAGAAAACAATACTAATGGATTTACAAGCTAGTAACATTTAAAATGATAAAAATTTCTCATATGGCATAGTCCGATTGCTAATGAAAAGAAAGGACGCATAATTCAAGGCTGCTTAAAGGTATCTGTGAGGGACTATTCATCAAAAACCATATAATGGATTTACCCATGAAGATCCATAATTTGCAATCCATTCCATGGATTGTGTATGAAAAATAAGAAACATCATCATAAGAAAAATTAATTTCAAAAAGGATGATCCAGTAATAAATACCTACCTTATCAACGAACCCGTGGATCACCAAAGTTGCTTTTTTGTCCTTTGGGGTTGGCTGAAACATCAACCAAAAGGGAATTAAGAAGAAACTCCCATAAACCATAAAATGACCATATACAGTATTATCATTGAAATTATAAAGCTTTCTTGATCTAACATCAATGACACATTATGATTTGTTAAGCATAGAAGTGGTTAGGGATGTTGGGAAGCCAAGTCATCAAAGAAATGGTGTCACCAAAAGTTATGTAACGAAGCAGCATTTGCATGAATATTCAGGGATGCTCTGGAAAAGGAACAAAGCATTTTACCAGACACGAGCCAAACATAGTTCTAAAAAGACACGGGGCTTGTGCACCAACAGTGTGACCAAAACTTTTAGAGATTTAACAGAGCAACATTCTATATGACCAACGAGCTACCGATTTTTTCATCCGCAAAGTAAACTAAATTTTTTAAGTTCAAAACGTAATAAATAATTTTAAAGAAACAAAAAAGAATGAAGTAATATACATTGAATGCCTGTCCACAGTGGTCAAAGGACCTTCAGCAATTTGGTCGAAGAAAATATAAAATAAACGAGTCTTGAAAGCGAAATGATATGCTTCAAATTGTAAAAAGAATTAAAGTGAAGCAAGAATAGTGTACCTGAAGGTTCACGATTACAACCTTCCCTCCACCGCGAATGGACTTCAAAGGCAAGTTGCAAGCAGGAGTAATCTGTAAACTGGACGCAATAAAAAGCCTAAGCAACTAAACGCCATTCCACTTTTAACCCAAGAATGCGGACAGTACATTAATGCACAATAAAATGTAATGACTAAGTAATCAATCCCCGAAGGGAGAAGCCAGAAATAGTTATCACCCAATGAAAAGGCTGATACTTCCGAATCCTATTGTTCAATCAAAAGGGTGATGTAACAGAATTGGTGTTGACACATGTTGGGAAGGATCAGCAGCTGTATACAACTATTCAAGATGAAATATCACTACCCTTCAGGGGTTGACACCAGAACTCTTATAAGCAGCAAAATAACTTGTAAAAAATGAACAATAAAATAAAAGAAGAACTATTTGCAACTGATTGATCCACACTGTGTGGGAGATATACGAGACCTTTAAGTTGAGAATGAAGTGATGCTTAGTGTCAAAATGAAATTTTAAATTATCAGATGTCGTCTAAGTTGCTATTTTTTTCGTTTTATGTTGTTCAAGTTTGCAGTATGGTGAAGACACTTTTTGTAAAGGAGCTACAAAGCACTTTTTTGGGAGCTAAATTCAAATAAGTCGGGAAAACTAGCAGTATTCCCAAGTATAGTTACTTTGGAGAGCGTACAAAAACCAACTATAGCTCCCTCAATTAGCTAAAATTTAATCCTGGAAACTGTTTCTTGAAGATGACCTTCTAAGAAGCCTACTGTTGCTTTATCAATGAACTTTTCTAAGTTGGTTGTAAGCATGTTGACGTTCCTTTCTTTTTGATATTTGATTGTTGTGCTGATTAATATATGTTTGGATCCACTTGACATCTAAGGCGTTGTGGCCACAGACTTCTCATTTAAACCATGTAACATATTTGGCCTCGTCTTAAAAACCAGACTTGTATTAAAGATTTTTATTGATAAATAATTCCTACGGTCTGAGACAAGTTCGGGTTCTTGTTCCACAAAGCCATGTACGGGTTTTGAACTCATTATTCTGTTCATTAGTGCATGAACTGGTCCCCGCTGCAGATGCAGGTCTCGTACCACTGAAGGAAATATATCAGACTGTTGATCCCATCCACATCATAAATGGATCCCCTACCTGATCTATTTCATATCCTTCCAAGTTCATTACAGTCAACACATCAACCCCGCAGCATATCAATTGTGATTCAGATCACCTCCCCAAGCCTACCTTGATCAAAGAAAAGTAGGCCTGTCAAGAAGAGACATCCTCAAGCTCAAACTGTCTCCTTACTTCCCAACCCTACCTTTGATCTTTCTCCAGAAGGTAATCCACCCTGCCTGTATGGCCCTTGACAAACACGACCCTTCAAGTTCCATTCAGCGTTTCTCTATCTTTTCAGTGTATGAAATCTGAGACAGAAACAGGAACGATGCGATACACTACTCAAAATGCTTGACGGACAGGGATGCAAGCTTTATTCTAAGTACGAGAGAATCTTTTACCAAAATGAGCGATGTCCCCTCATAATGATGGGCAACCATATGCTGAAAAAAGAATTGAAGTAAACAATACTTTCAAGAAAGATTCATGCGATTAAATTTAGGAATCAGATTGCTGACTTCAGCGAAGGAAGGATATTAGCTATCAAAAGATCATTTCATACAAGCATATAGATCAAACTTGGATGTAGATCTAGATAAATATCGTAAGGGATACCTTCCATAAGTTCAGTTAATGAAAGAAATTCATACATGGGAACTAATAAAAAATTCATGATAGTTCATTACAAAACTCATTCATTCCTCCAATGTAAATTAGACCGGGTATGAAATTTCAAAACCGAGGATTCTTAAAGAAAGGAAGTCGTTCATTAAATTTCAACAATTAACATACCTGGTTCCCAAACAGAGTACGACATCTGCTATTTTGCAGTGTTTCTCTGCAGCATTCATCTCTTTAGGCGGCAAAGCATCCTGTAAGTAGCAAAACAAACAAAAATTGTGATCCTAAAAAAAGACACATAACAAGCTATTATCCGAACAAACCACTTTCATGAGCTTAATAGGACATAAAAACTGTGAGATACATCATGTACACATCAGATAAGCAGGACGGTTAGCACTTGCATACGTCCAATGGCATGTTCTAAGACATAACTCGCCTGAGCATCAAACAGAATTTTTCACTGCCGTGGCATCCAATGGCATGGACTATGATGGAGAAAGACCAGCCGTGCATTTTCACAACAACCACACCAGAAATTTCCAACACAATGACAATATAAAACTGATTGAAACAGGAATAAAAAAGGACGGGTTAACTTTCAGCAAAATCCATCCACCTGATAGCATCAAATGATGAGGTAAGGAGCCAGATGACACAGCCTATGAACCACGATTCTACATACCAATTATTTCAACATGTAATAATATAAAGCTATTCGATGAAAGGAAAATCTATTCCATAAGTTGCTACTAACTTGGCAACATAATGCTCAAAACTAGGTGGATGAAAACTGTGCCACTCATGAACCATTTGTGGTACAAGATATGATAGGTCAATTATAGGACGAAAACAACAGGCTATTTTTTATTCAATAACCTCTGCATGGCTGCCAAGATGTTGATAGAAAGTGTAAAGAACATTTTGGTGCCTTGACATCAGTTAATTTTGGTGGAGAGTAATTAGACATGTGGATATAGCACTTATGCGTCCCCTTTCTTTTCCTATAAACTGTGTTACTATCCAAAGGAAAAGGCTCAAACTGAAAAGACGTTTATATATTTCTACATTAAGAGATCAAACAAAGCAATGAGAGAATGAGAAATGAAGACCTAGCAGTGAAGCTTTCACAGTGAAGTTTGCGATATTTCTTGATTGATTATATCTGAATAATATATAAAATGTAAGAGCGATGGATGCCCCAATTATTCTAACCGAGAGGTACTTCAGTGGAAAACACAAAGTTGAATAAATGGAAATACCTACCCATGTCTATTCGATTCTAATTCAATGTGCAACATAACAGTGCTTAGTGCCAAACATAAAAAATTGGTATGAACACTTATGTGAACCTTACTTGGGCGTATCGGATTGAGAAATGGACAACACTATAAAGCCAACGCAGTGATCAACACCTCTAGTAAAGTTCCGGCATTATAAGGTAAAAGTGATTTCGAAGCCTCAAAACACCTTTTTAACAGATATCTATGCCAAGGAAAGCACATAAAATACTGCAGATAACAAGCAAATACCAAAAGCTTCCAAGTAAAACACTTTGGTTAATCGGGAATTGTTCTACCTCCCAGTCAAGAACTGTGTCTATGAGCTTTGCTCCACACTTCGAGTCTGAACAGTAGCGTGATGTTTCCTTCATTCCAATAGTCTCAATCTCAAAATCACGAATATACCTTCACAAATGAATAAAAGAGTTGTATTGACTGATGGAATAAATTTAACAACGGATTACATCATGCAGTAGACAGAACTGAAAAATATCAGAAACCATTTGACAAAAAGCTTTGCATCTAATTTGGCCCAAATGATAATTCCATTGATCTTCTACTTTCAAGAGCTGTTTCCTCCATCTAAAATAAACAAAAAAATCCTAGAAAGCCCTTCATTTTGATCAAATTTTCTCTAAATGTTTTTGCAACCCCATAACCACATCCACATCTATGGTACATTATTAAGAAAGAAGACATACTCTAATCCACAAGACGGACAAATCTCCCTGAAAGAATTTCCATGCAGTTCTGCAAGTTTCTCCCGTGGTATTCCAGATCGAAGATGGAGACTGTCCACATTCTGTCAAAAGGAATTTGAAAACAGGTAGTCTCATGAACTTTCCAAATACTTCCCTAACAATATGCACAGCTGTTGCCCAAGTTACGATAATATAGAACAAATTTGACTGAGGCCCGAGCGAATTAAAATTCATTTAAATCATGCCACATTATTCAACTCATTAGCAATGTTGAAATCGTGCACAACATTTGAAAGAGGATTTTCCTTTTCATCTCCTGCAGAACTAGCAATAATGAGGAAATACTTGTTACTCGTATAATGATCATGAATTTAACCACAGTACTTTCAACAAAGCTTTCATGCGAAGAAATAAATGAAAAAATGATATAAACTCAACTGATACACCAAAATAAAGGGAAACGATATAATTTTACCCTAAACATCCAAAATTGTTGCAAATCCTTCATGAAATGCTAAAATATCATAGTATTTTTTGTTTATATACGCCTACCACTCAATCCTAAACAGGTACTTTTCAGGGAAACCTCTAAATAACACTATACCGATGATGGTCAGTAAACTAACATTCATATTGGCACTGCAGCTCGACTTCAGCCACCTTGGTCAAGATTAAATGGATATGCTTGTTACATTTAAGGAAAGCAACAAACAGGAAAACCAGCATGATAAAACTAGTTTATAAGTGATACCAGGAGCACAATAAAATAATGAAGTAAGCGATTTATCAGTTGACAACTTAGTCGCTGACGATTCAAATTACTGAACTACATGTATCTTTAAGTTGCAACCACAAATGAAACTTCAAATTTTCATCCTCGTTGATCTGTGAAGAACTCAACCATGCTATGGAAATGAAATTAGGACAAGTATAGCCCTTAACTGATAGTTCTGTCTACAAACACCATTTTTTTTTCTAAAACGTAGAAGATAATTGGATTTGATAATAATTAATTACCATATGAGTATTTTCCATCATTAAAAAGTTCAGTCACAATTTTCCCTGACTTAGGATCTATCAGGAACAAAACTGGCTGTTGGATGAAAGATCAGAGAATCTACCGTCAACAAATACTAATATTAGAGATTCTAAGATATTTCAATATAGAACGCACATGGGATTATGTTTAGTAAACTACAGGAAAAGACAATTGGCCTGTTTCAAGTGTATACAATGAACACTAAATGTATCCTGTTCCAGATGAGAGACATGAACTATGGACATCTTGCATACTGTAAGCAACTTCTTTTCTTTACTCTTAATCTGAACCCATTATGTTGTGTCATTTCCCATGGTTAAAACCTGTGAATACAAGACTGACTCGGTGTTGACATTGTCAGAGAATTTTTCAAATTACTTAGAATCTGTCCAAAATATAAAACTACTGCGTATCTTTCAAAGCCTTGCGAATCATCAAAAAATAGGATGAGAGCAGGTACAACGGTATTATTATCCTTTTTTATGGATGTAATTTTTTTTCTAAAAGGCATCAATTCCTTAGAAATAATGATGATACTCTCCTTCCTAAGTAACATTGTGTTCACACGGATTCAATATGAGCATATAGTTTTGATTGTTTAAACCGAATATAGGGTGACAATTATATTATGCATTATCAAATTGCAACCTTCAGTGGAAAAAAGGCTGTCAGATGCAATGCTCCGCAGGATAAAAAACACTCAGAAGCTACAAAAGGAAAAATAACGATATTTCAGCTAAAATGCGGGTGCTACCTGGCTAATAAGAAACTTCAAGATACCAGCCCTCTCCAGTTCGACCAAAGCCATGTGAGTAAGACTTGGCATTGCACGATGAAATGGAAGGGATGCTTTGGGTAAATCCTTGCCTTCTCGCTACACAGAACACGAAAACAACCTGAGGTATCCAGCATCCTTTTCCATTGTACTAAGTAGAGAAATACGAGAAATATGACTTTAATCTGTCATCAGATGTAAAAAATAAATAATCCATTGATACTATTTATCTAAAAAAGCGTACACACTGGTAAAGTTCTTCAGTTGGGTTCTCTTCCCAAATGGAAGCTGCAAGGTTACACATTCAGAGACGATCGGTCATGCCTCTCGGCCATCCATTAAGACAGTGTTCCAATGTGTGGCAAACAGAGATCACCCTCTAAATTTTCGTCCCCTCGAGTATGGTGGTAATTTGAAAGAGATTTGGGCCAACAGATCATTTTTTTAAACAGCATGTATACCAGTCAACCAAAAAATAATGAGAATGCAGGCACTAGCAACAACAATGATAAGAGTAATAAATTATTATTTGTCATACCTTAAACATATACAAAGATCTTAACAATAACAGGAATGACAAATATAACAACATACTGTGCCTTACAAATTTCTTAACAATCTGGACAATATTGAGGTAACCTTCATCTTCATAAAAGAAAGTTCAGCCCATTCGGATCAGAATTTTTAGTTCAAAATGATCTTTTTTCTTTATTATCAAAAATCTAAAAGCACATGCATGTGTTGTATGGATTACCTGAAGTGTCCAGATCCCCTTCGGACCTCGAAAATCAGGTATACCACAAGAAGTTGATATCCCTGCCCCGGTGAATACTACCAGGTGTTTGCTCTGCAACCAAGGATGGATCAAACTGAACTTAAAATGGATACGAAAAGTAAATGCATCCCTCGACCCAGACATGTTTATACATCATTGAGCAACATAAATCAGTTGGGTAGACCAAGATTCATGTCCTAACCTTCTTTATCAAAAGGGCAAGCTCTTCAACCTGTATTTATAAAGTTAAAAACCAAAAAGAGTTAGATATTATTGTAGAAAGCCACTTTCACCGATATTAAATAAATCCAATGTAAAATAAACGTGAGGTTGTGATTAAAGATTAATAACGTTCCACCTTCCACAATGTATACTTGTACTATGTTTTTGATAACAGAAGCTGGTTAATTGGCCAGAAAATGTGTTTGGGTAAAGGAGATATCAAATTGCTTTTTTGCTTAAGCTTCAGCCGGTAGACGTAGTTGAAAATAGTTCAGTACAACTCTGTTCACAACGTTAAAATTTCCTATTTGGTAGACTGAGGACAGTATAAAAGCGCCAATAATTTGGTAATTACATGCACTAAGACAGCTATTTTTCTAACTTTTCTCAGACAAAAATACGTATTATTCTAATACCTTGGATGACAATTTCGTTCATAGTCATTCCCCTTCCAAAATATGGTAGTTACAACTGTTAATATGATTGAGCAGGGGAAAAAAAACCTATCAGAGACTAAATTTAAGCTAAATACCAATCATATCACCAAAACTGTACAAACCGAAATTGGCAATAACAGAATGCTGAAATCTCAACGACTATAATAAAATTAAATTTTCACCTGGCTTGACAAAGTGATTTGTGACAGTCAATACGGCAACAGATTGATCGTAAAACTCGAGCCAAAAAAGACGCACTCCTATCTAGATTGCCTATCTAGATTGTCTAGTCTGGCAAACAGTGAAAGATATACATGCTATCCATCGGAAAATTGCAACCACGAACGAAAAGGAAAGATCCTTCATTATGGTTACAAATATATTCCTTGTTGTGTAACCAACAACATTGCCCCAAACAGAAGCGAGTAAACAGTTCAACATGCGTTCTGCGAAACTGATAAATTGCTAGACGGATTCAAGGTAGTTCCTCGTCATTACCCTCGCCGGATGCTACAGCCGATGCAAACAAGAGGGATTGCCGATGAAGGTAAACGGCCAAGAGGAGGATGAACCGGAACAAAAGAACCAGAAATACAAGCGGAGGGAGAGACACAAGCCAAACGAGGGAATTTCCCACAACTCCAAACCTTCTGCTGCAAGACAACGGACGAGTCGAAAATCTCGGACATCCCGACGGTTCCGACATCCTCCTTGTAGGAGAGCTTCTCCGCATAGCCCAGCGACATGCCCCTGTCCACACCTCTCTTTTTCCGTATCCCCTTCCGTCCCAAACCCACAATTCCTTCCTCTTTCCCTCGCTCTGCTACTGTAGAGACTAGTAGTGAACTCTACCAAAAACCAAACTAGCGTCACCCAGTAAGAGAGAGAGAGAGAGGGAGGAGGGAAAGAGAGAGAGAGACGACAAAGGGAGGATCTTTTGCCTAACGTCCGAGGGGAGTTTGGATGCTGCGGATCATTTATTAAAGGCATAAATGAGAGGCGGTGACCTCCCTGAACTTGAACCTACCGAATACCTGGCATTCACGCGCTCTCCTGAGCAATGTCCGGGGGCGCCGGTAACCACACACGAGTGTCGAGACACCGCATGATGGCCGTAGCCCGGCGAGTTCCCTCCCACGCGACAAATAATATTCTATTTTAAATAATTCCCCCAAATATTGTAAATAATCACCCTATCGAGTAAATATTCCAACTAAAATTTATTTTAATCTTCATCAAATAATATGTACGGATCACTCACTCAGGAGAGTCAAATGGGTCCACCCAACCTCCCTACCTTCACAAGACAAGGCAGATTGAATTTAGTATAGTTGCCAATCCATACAATAATTTGCTCATTATGTTTCATATTCTAATCTTACTCTAATTAAAAATTCACAGGATATTTTGGACATATTATTCCATAGGATAATCTTTGTCTAATAGGCAATCCATACATTTGCTCACAATTTCCCATATTTTAATCTGTCTAATTGGTAGTCCATTCTATATTATACTAATATTATTCTGTAATTTATATATCTTCTATGAGAATTAGAATGATTATAACCATTCCATTCCTTTTTAATATTATAATAATGAATATCATTAATATTCTTATTAGTTGAAGAAAATGTGATTGCATACTCATCAACACTAAATATAATTTTTGAATCAATTAAAAACATATATTGACAATCATGATCCAAAGTTTTCGTATAATCTAATTTTTATATAACCATTTAGGTGATAATTAAAAGTACTCAAATAATTACTAAAGAGTCAAACCTAACTATCCCCATAAATAATCTCGCATTGTTATGTAGTGGTGCTGGTCCATTAGCATAACAGCCTAGCCTCCCCCCACATCTCTCAACCTATGTATTATGTAGAGCTACTTTGTCCTAATGTCATGCTGCACATTGTCATTGATGTGCTGTCATCATCCAAACCTAAAATCATGTTGCCATTATCCAACCTTGCTACACCCCCAAGATTCATGGAATGCTCCCCTTAAACCTCCTTATGTGGTGGCACAATTATCCACTTGAGCTGCACACATACACTCGTGTGAGCCTTGTGTGCTCCACATGTCATGTTATGCTGATGCCATGCTAGAGCATGTTTCTTTGCAAGGTTAGTAGAGACTTTTTATGAACCTTACTTTAACTAAATGGTGCCATTTGATGAAGTCGTGCACACTCACACATGATCCTCTATGGCTCATCAATGTCGCATCATGCCACCTCATGTCTATGAGCAAGCACAACATAATATGCCTCCATGTTGCATCATACTGCATAGTGCCGATGCGTGCCCACCATAGGGTTGCCTTCATGTTGGTGATTCATTCACCCTCTTAACCTTTCTCTTTTAGGTATGAGGTGACACAACCCCCCCCACCTCCACCCCACCCCACCCCACTCCTATTTCAGTGGCATCCTTCATCAAAACTAGATAAGTCATTGACATTGAAATATGCAAAACTAGATGTATGGCTAGTCTTTTCATCTAAGGTAGGAGGCTCATTTGCCTACCCACGCTTTAACCTCAAATGGTCAATCATATTGGGGCACCAACCCCTAGTGTTGAGGTCTAAGATGTAATTATTGATGTGAGGTCTACTTCATGCCCATGGTAATCAATAATTTTTTTCATTTAATGTGCTACACATCTCATATACCTTCATGCACTCTAGGCATGCTTAGGTGTACACATTATTGGTTGAACAATTTTGTGACTTTTTATATTTTTCTAGATTTGGTAAAGTGTGCAATTGTTGTCACACTATTAGCTTGAATGATGGTAGGCCCATCATTGAGCTCCAATGGAGGTTGTAGAAGAATTGGGGGCAATGTTGAAAAATTCTACCTAATTTTCTTAATAAGTCATAAGATCATGATGAAAACATTAGTTTAACCTACATTTTATATGCTTTACTTGACTATCAGTTTATCAATAAAAGCTTATTGAGAACTTAAGCTTGTGTCTAATTATGTCAAAAGTGTTGTCCAAAAGTGGCAATTAAATTATGCAAATGATTGATGATGATTTTTTGTATGGAGGAGTGGAACATCTTTAACTATAAAAACATTTCTATTAGTAGTTTCACAAACACAATGTACTTAGGGAAGCAATTGATGATGCCAATAACTAATTTGAGCCTCTTCACCTTTTGATAAGCTAATGATAAAATCTATTGAGATTTCATTGTGACTCTTATAGTCAATATAGAATGTATAGTGACTCTAATGTGCTAACTATCTTGGCACACGTGGTGAATATATCTATTTCTACATCTTTGTCCATATTAAGCTAATAATAATTGTGAGATAACATATGATCATGCACTCATATCTAGGGTGTCTAATTGAAGATGTGTTGTGTGCCTCTTGCAACAAGTGTCATGATGAGTCTTAGTTGTGTTATAAGACAATAAAATTTTATTAATTCATAACCTAAGTTTTAAGATATTTTAATCAATAAAATTTAATATAATTTGCTCATTTTTCACAAAGATGGAAGGTAAAAATATATCTTTAGTGTTCTCAAGATTGTAAGTCAAAAAACTAAGAAATAGAAAGGGGAAAGAGAAGGTCTCTTTTATTGTCAAATCACTGTAGTAGATCTTCTTTTTCCCATTTACTTATGAACTGAAGTGGTGAATATAGGTCCTTGTTTAGTTACACCTCCAATCTAGATCAGTTCAAAATCACCGTGAATCAGGCTGAGCTGTTGGATCCTAGATTGTCACATGGATGAACAAAAAAAAAAAAAGAAACAAAGGGGAGGAAGAGAAAGTCTTCATTTAGAGTGGATGGTGTGTAACTCAATGAGATCTTTAAAATGACACAATAGATGGTTATAAAGAATTATACTTGATCCTATCATGTGTCACCTCACACGATATAATTGAATAATGACTAAAATGAAACATAGAGGAAGTTGTATCGAAATAAGAGAGAAAATGCAAGGGAATCCTATTGCAACTCTATCTCCACATAGTGAAAGTTAAAAAAGAGAAAATAAACTAAAAAAATAAAACAAGAAGCAAATTAAAAATTCTAGAAATAGAAAATAGAAAATAGAAAATATTTATATAGAAAAGGGGACTTCTACTCCTCCATGCCATTATGGTGAAGAACGAGGCATCCCCAAAAGAAAGAAGAAGATGTCAACCATAAGATATCCATTTTTTTGTTGATCTTGCGTCAATTTAAAATGTGAAAGAAGTACAAACATGTTGCATGAATTAGTTCTAAAAAATGACATAAAAATTTAATGAAATAGTGGAAAGATTCAATCACAACAACTGATTTCTAATAGTTGGTGCTTGAGCTTGTTGACATGCCAAGATCGTTGATTTAATCATCCTTTTTGTGTTGATCTCATTGAGACCATTTGAAGTTTACTCATAGGGTCATGTCTTAATCAAATGGTCTCAATGGTCTTAATCAAATATTCTCCACCTCCATCGTGGATGCGGAGGAGACCCGTTGATTAAATGGTCTCATTGAGACCATTTAATCATCTATAATTACTTACGTATGAATCACCAGGCAGAACTCTATTTCCGCCCCATTCGCATTCACTAGGTGCTGATGTCATCTTGATGTCTGCACCCTTATTTTCCTTTTTCATGAATTTTAAATATATTTATTTTTCATTTACTAGTATAAAATTCATAAAAAATAGTATTATTTGAGAAAAATTCTAAATAATTACCAGATATATATTACATCCATATGATTGACTTAGAAAATTATCACTATTTTTGAAAGTTTTATTGAATTATAATTGATATATTTATTCAGAAATACTTCTAAATATTTAAAAATTTATATTTTCTAGTTTTATAAATTTTAAATTTACATGATTTACTATACAACGATTAAGTCATGTCAATGGTCTTTTTTATTCCTCTCATGTCGTAGACCCTAATGATTCTTGCTTCATCATCCTTTAGGAGTCGGCGGATCTCCAACAACGTCTCCTCCTCGTCCACCATTGAGAGTGAAGAGCTCAAGATTAGAATCACCACAGGCGGCGGTGCTTGGACGATTAAGTGGAGATTGCTCTTTTGGGTCTTCAACCTCTAGACTTTGAGACACTTGGCAACTTCACTTTTGGATAAGGATCTAAAAGAAGAGCCCTTAGAGGAGCCCGCCCTCTGTTGTGAGGGAACCTAGAATTTGTTCACCTAGGCCTCAATGTTCATCATCTCTTCAAGCCATTTCTTGGCCTGCTCAATCCCCTCCAAGTTCTCATGCTCACCTGATCTGGTGATTTAGGTCATCGTCTTAAAAGAGCCTTATGTTCTGAAGGTTCAAGAGGACATCACTATCTAGTTGGGCTACTCTCACCTTGACCAGGGCCAGACACTTCCAAGGCATCTAGTTGACCAAGGCTAGCACCCTATTGAAGGTTTTCTTCGACATGAAGTTCCTTCTACTACTGGATAAGCTTTGGGAGAAACTAGACCTCGGCATTGTAGGCATCTCCTTATCCTCCCTTGGTAAAGGAAGCAAGATACTCTTTACCACATGGATAGAGAAAGTGTGCAACCGGATGGACGTTGAGCAGAAAGTTAAGGTGCATGTGTTGAATCCATCAAACTTTTGGAAACTCTTTTGCCAAAAGCTGGGCAGGGGAGAAGATGGTGAGTCTTCACTCTACACGGAGTTCTTCACCAGGTTCTCCTGACCTCTTCTTCCCATGGCCGCTTGATCCCTCTTTATAACCAAAGTCCTAGTATTGCATGTCCTGCATGCTCCCACGCGTGTTTGTCCCCTTCAGCATGACTCCAACCAGCTTTGCCTCATTCCTAGGTTGGACCGCTTCTTCGGGACCTCTTTCCTATTGTGCCCATTTGAGTTGTTAGGGTCTCAATAGAAGATCAGTTGGATCCCTCTATGAGATCTCTGGCATAATTCATTGCTAAAAAATGTGGAGGCCTACCGATCAATGAAGAGGTAAATCAATTACACTTGTCTTTCTGCATTTAGAAAATTTCTATAGCTTAATATTCTTGAGCAATATTAAAATTTGTTTTTTTCACTCACAATATTTTTAAAAGTCAAAATTTAAAGCAAGCCTGACATGCATAACTTTCTCAGCCCTTGTAGATTGTAGATTATGACAATATAGAATGTCTTTTTTTTATGTGTTCACCTCTATTGGTGCTTTCTTTTTGAAGATTTTATTGATTTTGTCATGCTATCAGTCATCCATGCTTCTTCTTTTTTCTTGTATGTGAAATGGTTTTCCTATAGGATGTTCGATGTGACTTATTTCTTGATAAGATCATCAAAGTGCATTATTTTTATGATTGATTATGCTCAGTTCTATTTTTCATGTTTTATTGATAAAAATAGATGTACTTTCATACTTCATTGCTATTATTACTTTTTCTAGTTTTGTTATGGGAGTTTAGATGTCTCACAAGATCTACTGAATATCTGGTGGTTGCTTTTGAGGTGTTCTTCAAGTAGATGGTTAAAAGTGATGGTATTTTCTTTCTTTCCATTTTCTTATGCTTGAATTGAATTTTTTTAATGAACCATAATCATGCTTATTGGTGGGTTTGTTCTCATGAACATGAAATCAAGCATATGCAGATTGTTTTAACTAGAACTTATGATGTACAGATTGTTTGATGAGTATTAGGAATGGAATTTGCATCTATTTTTGGTTGATTTTGTAATCATTGGTGTTTCTCAAACACCTGTACTAAGATGTTTATTTTTACACCGTTCCTAATGAATGTATGTTGTCCTCCTTCTTGTTCTTACACCATGGTGGAGTTGTCAATGCATTTACTAGTATCAGAAAGAAAGCTTGTCTTGCCATATCTTCCCGAGTTTACTTCAGTTTCTATCTCACTATGTGTAATTCTTTGTCAAGTGGGATTTGAACATGAGCAACATATGATTATGAGGTTGTTGATTTTCTAAAAGTTTTTTATTTACACTGTTGTCTTTTAGTTTTATTAAAATGTTACTCATATGATGATTATTAATTTAACCATATAGTGCTTTTCAACAAATCTTTCAAGAGAATAAATAAGACAGTGATATAAACTCAATTAATAAACAAGAACGATATAATCTTACCTTGAACATCCAAAATCCTTGCAAATCTTTCATGTACAGTGTTATGGTATGAGAATGAAATCATGATAAGTGTAGCCCTTTTTAACAAATGATTGTCTACAATTTTTCTTTGACTTGGGATTTGTCAAACACAAATCAATATGTTGCATGAAAGATTAGTGAATCTATCATCAATAAATACTAATCTTAGATTATTTCTTAGACATTTCTATCTAGAACCCACATGAGACTATGTTTTGTAAACAACATCAAAAGGCAATTTATATGACTGAAATGTATGCAATTCATATTACATGTATCATTTTTGAGAGAGATGAACTATCAACACCGTGCTTGTTGTGCCCATTATGTTCTGTAATTTTCTAGTGATAAAAAATCTGTGAATACAAGACTAACTCATTGTTGACATCACCATAAAATATTTCAGCAAAAGTGTTGCTGCTACCTACCTATTAAAAACTTCAAGATACCAATCCTCTCTAGTTCGACCAAGGCCATGTGAGTAAGACTTGACATTGCATGATAAAATCATAATTAGGCTGGTTTCCTATTCTATGTAGCAAAAAGGCAAGGATTTAATCAAAGCCTGATTACAATCTTTCAATCATAGGTAGAAAAAAGAAAACATAATCCATTGATACTATAAAAGTAAAAAAATATAAACGTTGATAAGTTTTTCAATGGTGAGCTCTTCCCGATTGAAACATGGAGAGTACACACTCTCCATGTTGACAATCAGTCATGCCTCTTGGCCATCCATTAAAGATAATGTTCAACTGTGTGGTTAATAGAAGGTTACCCTCTAAACTTTCGTCCCCTCCAATCTAGTGCTATAATCATAAGTGCTTTATAAGTGATACTAGAGGCACAAGAAAATTTAAGTTGAAACCAACAATGAAGTTTAAATTTTCATCTACGTTAGTATGTTATGTAAAAAAGTATGATATGAATGAAATTAGGGCACAATTATAGCCCGTTTTAACTGATGATCATGTCTGCAAATATAGAAAATTTTCAAAAATGTACAATATAATTAGATTTGATAATATTCAATGACCATATTAGAGTATTTTTATCATTAAATTCAATCACAATTTTTCTTTGACCTAGGATGTATTAGGCACAAGTAAACCCTTTGCATGAAAAATTAGTGAATCAATCTATCATCAATAAACTCAAATATTATAGATTTCCATAGAAATTTGGAGATAGAATGCATGCGAATGAAAGTATGTTTAGTAAGCTACAGAGAAAGAACAATTTATGTGACTCAAGTGTACAGGGATGGTATGGGAATGAAATTAGGATAAGTATAGTCCTTTTAACTGATGATTCCGTTTGCAAGCACCAATTTTTTTCTAAAACGTAGAATATGATTGGATTTGATATAACCAACAACCATAGGAGTGTATTTTTCATCATTAAAATTCAATCATAATGTTTCCTTGACTTAAGATCTATCAAGCACATTTCAGCTGGTTGCATGAAAAATCAGTTAATCAAGCTATCATCCATAAGTGTACTAATATTATACATTTCCTCAGCTCAGACATTTGAAGATGGAACGCACATGAGAGAATGTTTTGCAAGCTGCAGCAGAAGACAATTTATGTGATTGAAGTGGATGCAATTCACATTCTTCACCAATCGAATTCCTTGGCTGCTTCATTTCAACCGCAAAAATAAATCTGCCGTGCTTCTTCCAAAAATCGTAATATTATCAAAGTAGACGACAAAAGGGCATAAACTTGGATCGGACGTCTTCATGCTCCCACTCTAATTGAAAGGTACTCCTTGGCGGATGTATCTTTCAATCGGTCGAAACTGAACTTGAGAAGAATTAGAACCTCTTTCATGTCTCCGAGCTCTGCGGGTATGCCCTTCAGCGCCATGAGAGCCTCTTTCCACTCGCCATGGGTGGTGGCATCCGCCATGGCGCGGCCTACGGTGATGAGGGTGATCGGAAGGCCTCCGCATTTTTGACAAACGGCTTCTGCGAGAGACCTTATAGAGAGATCATTCCACTGGTCTTCTCCTTTTCCCATCTTTTGGCAGAAGAGCGTCCAAGAGCTCTCTGAATTCAACAAGGGCACCTTAACTTTCCCTTGAGCATCCATATCGATGCACACTTTCAGTGAGCGAGTGGTGAAGACGATCTTGCTTCCGTTCCTGAGAGAGGAGAAGGGGACGCCTACAGCGCTGAGGTCTAGTTTCTCCCACAGGTCGTCCAGCAGCAGAAGGAAATTCTTCTTGGGGCAAGAGTAACCCAACCGGACGGCGATTTTTTTTCAATATCAAAACTACTTAAACACAGAAACCTGCCCTTCATTGATTCTCACTCCCAAATTTTTTCAGTCTAGGGGCATCATATTTCATAATAAGAGAACTGTTGCATAATTGGGGACACTCGGAACGATTTTATCCGGATCGAGTGGTCCTGAGAAAAAATCAAATCGGCGTAAAGGAATATGATGGTGACCAAAATTTCATGTTGATTGAAGCAATCGCGATATGCTTAATCTAAAGAAATTAAATAAGAACTGTGATTATGGTTTGAATGAATCTTATAGATATTAATATGTATGCATCTGGCATGCCTGTGTAAGCAAATCTTTAGCGATAAGTTGAATCTGTAAGAACAAGACTTGCCTTGTTCGGAGTTCAGTGGATGGATAGTTTTTCAGAACAGTTGAGTGGGAGCGGGCAGCCATGGCATCTGTAGACGGTTGCTGGCCTCCACGAATGGCCATGCGACCGTCTGCGAATGTGCTGTTCCCGCCGAACGTCCGCGCGCTCGGTTCGGCAGCTCGCCGTGGCGTACCGAGCCGAGCGCCGCCGGCATTCGGTAATGACTGCCGCGTTCCATCGCGAAAGGAGCTGAGCACGGTTGTGCGCTCGGCTCCGTTCGGGAATTCGCCGGTGCTCGTTTGATGCGGTTCTGGTCTTTGAGTTCAATGGCGGTGAAGTAAAGGGAGGTGGAGAGAGGAAGAGGGCGGACGCAGAGGATGGAGAGGGAGAGAGGACGAGTGAGAAGCAGAGGATGGAGAGACGGAAAGACAGCAGGAAGAGAGGAAGGGTCGGCGGAGAAGGAGGGCCACGCGGGGGAGAGGGATGGAGAGAGGAGCGCTGAGGGTGAGAGAACTAAAGACGAAGAAGAGGAAGATGGATAGGGAGAGAGTAAGGGGAGAATGAGGGTGGAGAGAGAGAAGAGGGGGAGTTGGAGGGAAGGAGGGTGAGAGAGAGAGAGAGAGAGAGAAGAAAGGGAGGGAGAGAGGAAACGTAAGAGGAAGGGAAGATGCAGGAGCATGCCAGGGCGAGAGGGAGGTAAATTAGAGTCAAATCCATTCTCTGAATCGCCATCGCCATGAGCATCCCAAAAACGTTGATAGATAAGAAGTTGCTGGTTCTTGAACTCCATCTGGTCATCAAAACAATACCATGGCGGTGAAGTTGATCAGATTAAACCTTCTTCTGTCTCATTCAGTTGCTGCAACGAGGATCCGGGCCTGGCGCAAGAAGCTCCCACGCCATTACGGTGGTCGGCAGCAGGGCCTACGCCTTTGGCGGAGAATTCACCCCCCGCGTCCCCGTGGACAACAAGATCCATGTCTTCGACCTGGAGACTCTCACCTGGTCCGTTCCAGAGGTCACCGGAGACATCCCGCCGCCGAGGGTCGGCGTCACCATGGCCACCGTCGGTAAGACCATCTACGTCTTCGGTGGTCGTGACGCAGAGCACAAGGAGCTGAACGAGCTCTACTCGTTCGACACAACCACGGACAACTGGACCCTTCTGTCCTCCGGCGAGCTCGGCCCGCCCAGCCGGAGCTACCACTCGACGGCCGCGGACGGCCACCATGTCTACATCTTTGGCGGGTGCGGAGTCGCCGGGAGGCTCAATGACCTCTGGGCTTACGATGTTTTGGACGGGAAGTGGGTCAAGTTCCCGGAGCCAGGGAAGAGCTGCCGTCCCCGGGGAGGAACTGGGCTCGCCGTGGCCGGAGAGAAGATCTGGATAGTTTATGGTTTCGCAGGTGAAGAGGTAGACGACGTCCACTGCTTCGACCCGGCCTCCGGGGAGTGGACGGAGGTGGAGACAACCGGGGACAAACCTTGCCCTCGGAGCGTCTTCTCCATAGCCGGCATTGGAAAGCGCGTGATCATATGCGGAGGCGAAGTTGATCCGAGCGATCTCGGCCATCTCGGCGCCGGGAGCTTCGCCGGCGATTCGTACGTGTTGGACACGGCGACGAAAGCATGGAAGAAGCTGGCGGAGGTGGCGGAGCCCGGGGAGCACCCCGGGCCTCGCGGCTGGTGCGCGTTCTCCGTGGGTCGCCGGGACGGGGAGGAAGGGCTGCTTGTCTACGGTGGGAATTCGCCCACCAATGACCGGCTGGACGACATCTTCTTCTTCACTCCTTCCTTTGGCAGGTGAGGAAATGCTATGAAGGTATCGGAGGCCATGGATCTATCCTGGAAGGTATCTGTGCTTTTTATGTTGTAAACTCTTCAAATGCCCGACTTGTGGGCAAGGTATGTATATCTGGGTTTACTCGGAGTCCAACGAAAGCTTATATTCAGAAACTATCGAGGTCCGACCGCCTGAGAACGTCTGGTTAATTCTGATGCCCAGGACTCTGTCTCCTCTCTGTCTCTCGCTACCTCGCTCGCTCGTCTTCAGGTTTCAAGGTGGCCTGTTCTTGTTTCTAGGTTTATTTTATGCTGAACGTAAGAACATAGGATCATGGATCATTTACTCCCTTAGCTTATCATAAATATCTTGGAACTTATGAATAAAAAAGGATTTAAGTGAACATAAATAGCGTTTCATGGCATGCATGAAAAAGTCAAAATGATTTAGTTAACTTAGATGATAAGTAATTTAAGAACATAGGATCATGGATCATTTGCTCCCTTAGTTATGATAAATCTCCTGGAACCTATGAATAAAAAAGGATATAAGTAAGCATAAATAGCGTTTCATGGCATGAATGAAAAAGTCAAAATGATTTGGTTAACCTAAATGATAAGTAATTTAAGAAGATAGGATCATGGATCATTTGCTCCCTTAGTTATTATAAATCTCTTGGAACTTATGAATAAAAAAAGATTTAAGTGAACATAAATAGCGTTTCATGGCATGAATGAAAAAGTCAAAATGATTTAGTCAACTTAAATGAAAAGTAATTTATGAAAAAGTCAATGTAGAGGAAGTAATGAACTATGAATGTGTTGCATATTGGAAACAAGTTCCCTTCTTTACTGTTATTCGAACCATATCATGTTCCGCAATTTTATTCTGGATGTAATTTCCTTTCATTAATGATATCCGTCAGTAAGAAATAACGACGATACAAAGTTTGAGATGTTGTTATCGTAGGTAACTTCATGCGCCGTTTATTTGCAAGGACCCCAGCTGGACAGGCGAACGTTGACCATCAACTGTTGGCTGCTGGAATATTTCAACCGTGCTAATAGTTCAATGTCAACCGTAAATTTCGGTGAAATCGGATAATCGGGAGAGAGAGGAGGAAAGGCGGTGGTGGACTACAGATGCGGATGTTGAATGGATCCTGTTCGTAGGTTATAAACAGTTATGTTGCATTTCTACATTGGTTGAAAATAAGGGGTAAACTTGGATCGGACGTCTTCATGCTCCCACTCTAATCCATTCCACCATTCTTGTTTACAGAAGATGCGTTGGATGTTCTTGGCAGTAGAGAGCCCAAAGGGCAGCTTTTTCAGCTCTGGACAGTCTCCTACACCGATACTCTCCAAGGCAGGAAACAACAATGGATGCCTACATATGCTCCTCAAATTCGGAAGATCTTTCAACCAAATCAACATTAATTTAGGGAAGAAAGAATCATTTTGATAATCCACGTTGTCCACCGTCACCTCTTCGACTACTATCACCTCTTCTATTCTCGAACATCCATGTAGTATTAACTCCTCAATGCAGGACAGTTGTCTGATCCATGTTATGTCCTCCAATGCTTCACATCTGATAATCCACAATCCCCGAAGGTTTTTGAAGATGGCAGCTGTGGTGAGCCCCCTCACAAACACGTTGCCATCTTTCCAAGAGATCGTTGCTCGGGGAAGTTCACCCAATGTCAGTTCCTCCAGCTCCGAGAACTGGCTCGTGTTGAAGACCAGCTCTTCCAAGCAAATAGAATTCCAAATCTCAAGCCTTCTCAGGCCCTTCATAATCTCAAGAAAAGCAGACAAATCTAAAGATCGGATTCCCACCTCTAGCACACATAGAAATCTGATCGACGCAGACAGTCTCTGAGAGTTCAGTACAGCCTCCAGGTCTTCATGCGTCATCCATGTTATAGAAATACCGAGCTCCGTCAGGTTCCACATGCCGTCCTCCAAGTCTTTCAGACAGAGTTGTCTCCCCTCATGGTCAATCACACCATCGCTACCACCGCCCTCCCATCCTGCTCTAAACTCATAGTTACTCCCATAAATGTTCAACGACTGCAGCCTTTCAAGCGATGAGACCGCTTCGCGTGGGATACTCTTAAGAGACCAGGTTTTCTCCAAACGCAGTTTTCTCAGCTTCGTCAAATTCCTGACCTCCATGGGTAATGATTTCAGGGCAGTCCTTGATAGATTGAGATACCGCAGTTCTACCAGTGACCCGATTTCCCGGGGGAGAACCCTTATTTTCGTAAAGGACAGATCTAAAACACGAAGGCTCGGCATGAACTGGAAAAACCCACCGGGGATTTCCTCCAGATGACGGCCTGGTTCGTTCAGCAACAGCGTCTGCAGATTGGGGCAACGAGGCTCCTCAGGGAGCAGGCGTATCTCATTATGCATCAGAGATATCCTTCTCGCCTCCGTCCATCTTTCCGGCGTCGGCACGTGCCTCAACTGCTCCCCGGAGTTCACCAAGAAGACATTCCCTCTCTTGTCGCCTTCGCCGCTGGTTATCCACAACGCCATCTCGAGGACCGTGTCATGGAGCTTCACGTGTCTTCCTTTGACCACCCCGTCTTCTAGCAGACAGGCAGCCTTGAGTGTGGTGATGACAACGAGGCCGCGGTTACGAGCTCTGTCAATGGAGTCGGGATAGGATCCCCTATCTAAGAGCCCTTCGCCCACCCAGTAATCAATGAGCTGAGGTATCTTGATGTTCTCATCCTCTGGGAAGAGGGCGCAGTAGAGAAGGCACTCCTTGGCGGATGTATCTTTCAGTCTGTCGAAACTGAACTTGAGAAGAATTAGAACCTCTTTCATGTCTCCGAGCTCCACGGGTATGCCCTTCAGCGCCATGAGAGCCTCTTTCCACTCGCCATGGGTGGTGGCATCCGCCATGGCGCGGCCTACGGTGATGAGGGTGATCGGAAGGCCTCCGCATTTTTGACAAACGGCTTTTGCGAGAGACCTTATGGAGAGATCATTCCACTGGTCTTCTCTTTTTCCCATCTTTTGGGAGAAGAGCGTCCAAGAGCTCTCTGGATTCAACAATGGCACCTTAACTTTCCCTTGAGCATCCATATCGATGCACACTTTCAGTGAGCGTGTGGTAAAGACTACCTTGTTTCCGTTCCTGAAAGAAGAGGAGGAGAAGGGGACGCCTATAACGCCGAGGTCTAGTTTCTCCCATAGGTCGTCCAGCAGCAGAAGGAACTTCCTCTTGGAGAAGACCATGTCGGTTGGATGCATTGGACAAGGCAAGGGTCACTATTATAATACAACTTATTTCGGAGAAAATATACCAAAATCCTATTGAAACAGTCAAAAATTGCTTCATTTTTCTTCATTCAACTACAAAGTGAATGACCTCAGTCGAGGATCAGAAATATACTCAATAAGTTATATTCTTCTTCATAAATAAGCAGCATGAGCAAGATAAAGAGGTTGCCATCTCCTCTAGCTGAGAGGTGCTATAAAGCAAGCCAATACTAAATTTAGTAGTAAAAATTATTAAATTTAGTAGTAAGTAATATAAGGTACTCACTAGCTAAATTTCTTAAATTTCCCTTGCTACGGAAGCGAGAAAATACTGAAATGATCAGGGAATAATGAACTCATCGAGGGTCTTTGCTAGAGATCATCAAAGTTTTTTTGAGGCCTCAACCATGTGATCTGAAGCTTTAGCTCTTGATTTTACAACCTATACATTACTGTGGCCGCCTCCTGCCTTCACCGATGACGCGTCCACCGCCACCGTTCACTCGCCGCCGCCCCGCCGCTGAAATGCCCGAATTAGGATTTCGGCAGAGACTCCCTTAAGGGGGATACTTATTGGGCCTCACCCACCTTACCCGCCGGCCCAGCCATCAGGCCCACCAAGCTAATCCACCGCGTTGTCCCGCATCAAATAGTCTCATGATTGAGGAAGATATATTCTTGAGGTAACTTCGGGGACAGTCGAATATTACATCTTTTGCGCACTACGCCTCCTCATCTCCCTTCTGTTTCTCCACCGCCGTCTGATCTCATCAAGAGTGAGGTCAGTAGTGGGTCAAGACTCCAGTCGATTCGATCTAGTGATTTGGGTCATCGTCTCCAAGGAGCTTGATGTTCTGAAGATTCAAGAGGACATCGGCGTCCGATTGGGCTACTGTCGCCCCGGCGAGGGCCAGGGCCCGACCCTTCCACGGCATCTACACGACAGGGCCACCACCCTACTGAGTGCCCTCTCCCAGAGGAGGTTCCTTCTTCTGCTGGACGATCTGTGGGAGAAACTAGACCTCGGTGCTGTAGGCGTCCCAGTCTCTCTCAGGAACGGAAGCAAGATAGTCTTCACCACACGGTCACTGAAAGTGTGCAACGAGATGGACGCTCAGGAGCGAGTCAAAGTGCCCCTTTTGAATCAGGCGAGTTCTTGGAAGCTGTTCTGCCAAAGGCTGGGAAGGGGAGAAGACCAGTGGGATCCCTCCATGAAATCTCTCGCATCGGCAGTTGCTGCAAAATGCGGTGGCCTGCCGCTCACACTCATCACCGTAGGCCGGGGCATGGCGGATGCCGCCACCCGCGGCGAGTGGGAAGAAGCTCTCAAGTCGCTTAAGGGTATTCCTGCGGAGCTCGGTGACATGAAGGAGGTTCTAACTCTGCTCAAGTTCAGCTTCGACAGACTGAAAGATACATCCGCCAGGGAGTGCCTTCTCTACTGCGCCCTCTTCCCAGAGGATCACAACATCGATATAAGTCAGCTCATTGAGTACTATGTAGGAGAAGGGCTCTTAGAAAGGGGACGCCATCCCGACTCTATTGATAGAGCTCGTAATCGCGGGCTCATCACCGTCACGAGTCTCAAAGCTGCCTGCCTGCTAGAAGACGGGAACAACAGAGGACGAGAGGTAAAGCTCCATGACACGGTCCGCGAGATGGCCTTGTGGATAACTAGAGGCGAAGAGGACGAAAAGAATGTCTTTTTGGTGAACTCCGGGGAGAGGTTGACCCGCGTGCGGATTCCGGAAAGATGGATGGAGTCAAGAAGGATATCGTTCATGCACAACGAGATAGGCGTGCTCCCTGAGGAGCCCAGCTGTCATAATCTGCAGACACTGTTGCTGAACAACAACCATCCTCTAAGGGAAATCCCCGGTGGGTTTTTCCAGTTCATGCCGAGACTTCTTGTTTTAGATCTGTCGAGAACAGGAATAAGCCTTCTCCCCCCGGGAATCGGGTCGCTGGTTGAACTGCAGCAGCTCAATCTATCAGAGACTTTCCTGGGATCATTGCCCGTGGAGGTAGGGAGGTTGACGAAGCTGAGACAACTGCGTTTGGAGGACGTCTATTGTCTGAAGAGTATCCCACGCGAGGCGGTCTCGTCGCTTTCAGGGCTGCAGTCGTTGAACATTTTTAAGAGTTACTATGAGTTGAGAGGAGGATGGAAGGACGGTGGTAGCGATTGTGTGAGTGATCATGAGGGGAGACAACTCTGTCTGAAAGACTTGGACTGCTTGGGGCAACTGACGGAGCTCGGTCTTTCTATAACAGGCATGACGCATGAAGACATGCAGGCTTTCCTGGACTCTCACGGGCTGTGCGCATCTATCAGATTTCTATGCCTGAAAGAGGTGGGAAGTTCGTCTTTTGATTTGTCTGCTTGTCTTCAGGTTATGAAAGGCCCTTTTCATTGAGCATTCTACCCACTTGGAAGAGCTGATCTTCAACACGAACCAGCCCTCGGAGTTGGAGGGTCTGACATTGTTGCAGCTTCACCGAGCAACGATATCTTGGAAAGATAGAAACGTGTTCGTGAGGGATCTCAGCACAGGTGTCATCTTCAAAAACCTTCTGCATCTAGAGATTCCCAAATGTGCAGCATTGGAGGACATAACATGGATCAGAGAACTGCCATGCATCGAGATCTTCAGACTAAGCCGATGCTTGAAAATAGTAGAGCTGATTTCTAATAGTTGGGGTTTGAGCTTGTTGACATGCCAAGATCGTTGATTTAATCATCCTTTTTGTGCTGATCTCATTGAGACCATTTGAAATTTACTCATAGGGTCATGTCTTAATTAACACTTCAACACCACTTTAGAAAATTATTAAGAAATTATCAAAAGTTATAACTTTGTAATTCTAATTCAAAATATAACCTCATGAATAAATTTTCGTCAAAAATAAAATGTATATCAAGGCTATAAACCTTAGATGATTGACTAACACAAATAAAAAAGATTGAAATAATTAAATATGATATAAATCATATAAATATATTTATAATCTAAAGTTTACTTTATACAACTTCAAACACATGCAAATGCATTGTAACATAAATAATGCACATTTTACATCAATTAATACAAAACTTAGATCAATTTTACCTTGTTTATCATATGGAAATAGAGCATTAACATGTTATTATAAGCATTACGTTTATATGCATGTATCTCCTTCAAGATCATGTCATTAGTCATCAAGACTACTACAAGATTCTTCTTGTTCTCCTTGTGACTGAGATTGCTATCCACCTACATCTAACTTGTACTTTAAGATAAAGCAATATTCTATAAAGAAATCTTGACATTGAGCCTATTTTGGTTAGACCTTTCATTACATTTCATTATGAGTAGTTAGCACATGATTGGTGCATATAATGAAGTGAATAAGTTGGAGATAATGATATCCCAATATAATGCACCACAACTATCATCTCTTTTTGTGTATATAGTAATATTATTCCATGAATATATAAAAATAATTGACCAAGTGAAGGAAAGACAAGCTTCTACGCCTGACTTGACTCTTGTTACTTGTTGATGGCATGTACATTCATTTATATTCTATCACATCACACAATATGGTCAAACAAATCCACTTCCTTTAACATAAAGTCACACATATTAGATTGAGAAATAATTAGTCCTCTCTCAACTTGCATTACACCACTTAGACATTGGTTGATGTAGCCTCAATTTTATACTCATAAGGGAGAAATAATTTTCAAGCTCATATCTATCTTTTAGGAGATCAAATTTAAAGAAGAGCTCCTCTATGTGGGCAACTCTTCAAGATCAATTCTCTAGCCCTCCTCACACTAAGGTGGAAGTCACACTAAGGCTTTTTACATCACATTTCAAATTCGTTTGAGAGAAAAAAATCTTCAAAGGACTTGTCCTACATTAATTAGTCTCCATTGTCATGTATGTTGCTGTCATGAAGTTGTCTATGGCATGCACATCCACATGAACTTGTAGTGGTGCAACATTGGCAAGTAGTCCACATGAATTCATAGTGGTGCCATTGTGCTCTGCATGCATGCTTGTTATGATGTTAGGTGCTCCATGCCCATTTCTTGTCTCAATATAGTCCTCTTATGTGAGTCAATTTTATTCCCATAAGGTCACAAGGAAGATTTCCTCGCCTTTCCTCTAGTCATCTTGTAGTTGGAAGGTTGATAGCATATGTTCTCCCTATTGTGTGCTCTTTTCTACCACAACACAATATGACCTTAATCTTCTTATCAAAAAGACGTTATAAAATAGGATTAAAGTCCTAACATGAGATAGAATAATGATGCTCATACTAAAGATGATGTTGAAATCATCTACTAGTAGAACTATGGAATATGTTGTAACCCTCCGCATTTCTATCTCTATGAGCTCCATGCATGGAACTAGTAGAAATCAACTTTCTTGTAGAAGAAGTATTGTGAATTATAATCATCAAGATAATTGGTCAAGTGTTGATGCTAACTTCTAAGTAGATGAAGCTAGACTCACTCGATTCGATAGGTTTTACTATAATAAGGCACTCAATAGTTGAAGAGAATTCAATGTGGATTTAATGTCCTCCAATGAGATTTCTTGTGACAATGTGTCAAATGCACCCTACTTGTAAGTGTGGTGTAGTCTTTAGTGTGTTGTGATGATATAAATGTTGCATTCACTCTTCAACAAAGTGTCCTAGTATACCACCACAATAGTTTTGGGTACTCCTTGATTATGAATCTAGCATGGTGCCTTAGTCTGTACTAGATTAACAACCATGCTTGGTGCCACCACAATACTTATCATAATCATTGCTCATTGTACTAGCATAAAGCATAATCATTGCTCATTGTACAAGCTTTTGATAGTCCAATAGTACATTAACCATTGTCATGGCCAATTACATTCTCTAGGTCCTACAGTCATTTTGCCTATGCCTAATTATAGAAACATGATAAAATTGATAAAATTGATAAAATTTTATTTGTTATATATATTCTTAGTGTAAAAAATAAGTGAATTAAATTACTTCACATACTCCCTCATAAAATCAATGTGTTACAACTGTTGGAGAGTGGAACTTACCAATCTACATGATGTTAATCATAAATAATCATTTCCTCCACAAAGTAATCTCAAGTTTGTTAAGGGGTCATACCCATCCTCTATCTTGACATTATATAATAGGTGCATGCACAATAGTATGATATTCTCTAATTTAATTAGACCAATAATTTAATTATGTGAAAATAATTTTCAAGACTAAATGGTTCGTCAATCAGACCAATATACTTACTAGTTATTTTACTCAATTAATTTTAAAAACACGTGTCATTTAAAAATTACACGGGACAAAATGAAGCCTGCTTCTTCACACATCTTATTTTAGCATTATCAATACAAATATTTTCTAGAATTATCCTCATCACATCTACATATTTAATCACATAATGATTAGAAATAAAATTGGAATCAGAAAGTTGTGTGATGTGACTTGCCCACCAATTAGAAATAAAATATAGTCACGCGGTCATAATATATTAAATTTGAACAAATACACATGATAAGAACCTCTTATATGTATGACCAATTTGCTCACCATTTATAACTAAAAATAATCATGGCATGTGCATGTTCGAGTCACATGAGAGCTCAAAATTAGTACTTTTGGATATAAAACAAGGTCAACAATGCCCACTTCATGAGAAACATTAAATTATGTGATCGCCATGATTACTCTTTATAAAAGAATACTTTTTTTCAGGGTGGTGGGAGGGATGACCGTGATTTCATGAGAAAAGTCAATGTCAAAAGAGCCTCCACCATATTCAGGTATTACGATTCAGCCATACTCTCTGATCGAAAACAGACGCGCGGCTGGTCGCGGAACTGAGAGGGGAGGGTTGGCAATGAATGTAAATAAATCGATAATTATGGCTCATTATTACTGTAAACGATCGCCCACAGTTTTCTCTTGCCGCGGTTTCCCGGTATGGAGAAGAATAAGAGCCAGAAGAGGCGGGAGGGGGGATACAGAGAGAGTGAGAGATAGAGAGAGTAGAGAGAGAGGAGCAACAGTCTAGCGATGGCGGAGGAACTCCAAGGGAAATGGATCAAGGTTGGTATCCATAGTTTCACGGAATTTCTCGACTTCAATTCTGTTCCTAGCCCCTGCAACCTTCGTCGTTCTCCCTTGTCTCTGTAATTCTCTTATATCAGCGTATCCCTCCATCCTCCGACAATCGGTTTTCCTTCCTTCCGTCGCGCGGGTCTTCTTGGTTTCTCGCTCTGCGGTCGATTTTCCGATCTTCGCTGGTTTTAATTCCAATTTAAATAAGAGAACTGTCGCGTAATTGGGGACACTCGGAACGATTTTATCCGGATCGAGTGGTCCTGAGAAAAAATCAAATCGGCGTAAAGGAATATGATGGTGACCAAAATTTCATGTTGATTGAAGCAATCGCGATATGCTTAATCTAAAGAAATTAAATAAGAATTGTGATTATGGTTTGAATGAATCTTATACATATTAATATGTATGCATCTGGCATGCCTGTGTAAGCAAATCTTTAGCGATAAGTTGAATCTGTAAGAAGTCCAGTGGATGGATAGTTTTTCAGAACAGTTGAGTGGGAGCGGGCAGCCATGGCATCTGTAGACGGTTGCTGGCCTCCACGAATGGCCATGCGACCGTCTGCGAATGTGCTGTTCCCGCCGAACGTCCGCGCGCTCGGTTCGGCAGCTCGCCGTGGCGTACCGAGCCGAGCGCCGCCGGCGTTCGCTAATGGCCGCCGCGTTCCATCGCGAAAGGAGCTGAGCACGGTTGTGCGCTCGGCTCCGTTCGGGAATTCGCCGGTGTTCGCTTGATGTGGTTCGGCGGAGGAGGGCCACGCGGGGGAGAGGGATGGAGAGAGGAGCGCTGAGGGTGAGAGAACTAAAGACGAAGAAGAGGAAGATGGATACGGAGAGAGTAAGGGGAGAATGAGGGTGGAGAGAGAGAAGAGGGGGAGTTGGAGGGAAGGAGGGTGAGAGAGAGAGAGAGAGAGAGAAGAAAGGGAGGGAGAGAGGAAACGTAAGAGGAAGGGAAGATGCAGGAGCATGCCAAGGCGAGAGGGAGGTAAATTAGAGAAAAATCCATTCGCTGAATCGCCATCGCCATGAGCATCCCAAAAACGTTGATAGATAAGAAGTTGCTGGTTCTTGAACTCCATCTGGTCATCAAAACAATACCATGGCGGTGAAGTTGATCAGATTAAACCTTCTTCTGTCTCATTCAGTTGCTGCAACGAGGATCCGGGCCTGGCGCAAGAAGCTCCCACGCCATTACGGTGGTCGGCAGCAGGGCCTACGCCTTTGGCGGAGAATTCACCCCCCGCGTCCCCGTGGACAACAAGATCCATGTCTTCGACCTGGAGACTCTCACCTGGTCCGTTCCAGAGGTCACCGGAGACATCCCGCCGCCGAGGGTCGGCGTCACCATGGCCACCGTCGGTAAGACCATCTACGTCTTCGGTGGTCGTGACGCAGAGTACAAGGAGCTGAACGAGCTCTACTCGTTCGACACAACCACGGACAACTGGACCCTTCTGTCCTCCGGCGAGCTCGGCCCGCCCAGCCGGAGCTACCACTCGACGGCCGCGGACGGCCACCATGTCTACATCTTTGGCGGGTGCGGAGTCGCCGGGAGGCTCAATGACCTCTGGGCTTACGATGTTTTGGACGGGAAGTGGGTCAAGTTCCCGGAGCCAGGGAAGAGCTGCCGTCCCCGGGGAGGAACTGGGCTCGCCGTGGCCGGAGAGAAGATCTGGATAGTTTATGGTTTCGCAGGTGAAGAGGTAGACGACGTCCACTGCTTCGACCCGGCCTCCGGGGAGTGGACGGAGGTGGAGACAACCGGGGACAAACCTTGCCCTCGGAGCGTCTTCTCCATAGCCAGCATTGGACAGCGCGTGATCATATGCGGAGGCGAAGTTGATCCGAGCGATCTCGGCCATCTCGGCGCCGGGAGCTTCGCCGGCGATTCGTACGTGTTGGACACGGCGACGAAAGCATGGAAGAAGCTGGCGGAGGTGGCGGAGCCCGGGGAGCACCCCGGGCCTCGCGGCTGGTGCGCGTTCTCCGTGGGTCGCCGGGACGGGGAGGAAGGGCTGCTTGTCTACGGTGGGAATTCGCCCACCAATGACCGGCTGGACGACATCTTCTTCTTCACTCCTTCCTTTGGCAGGTGAGGAAATGCTATGAAGGTATCGGAGGCCATGGATCTATCCTGGAAGGTATCTGTGCTTTTTATGTTGTAAACTCTTCAAATGCCCGACTTGTGGGCAAGGTATGTATATCTGTGTTTACTCGGAGTCCAACGAAAGCTTATATTCAGAAACTATCGAGGTCCGACCGCCTGAGAACGTCTGGTTAATTCTGATGCCCAGGACTCTGTCTCCTCTCTGTCTCTCGCTACCTCGCTCGCTCGTCTTCAGGTTTCAAGGTGGCCTGTTCTTGTTTCTAGGTTTATTTTATGCTGAACGTAAGAACATAGGATCATGGATCATTTACTCCCTTAGCTTATCATAAATATCTTGGAACTTATGAATAAAAAAGGATATAAGTAAGCATAAATAGCGTTTCATGGCATGCATGAAAAAGTCAAAATGATTTGGTTAACCTAAATGATAAGTAATTTAAGAACATAGGATCATGGATCATTTGCTCCCTTAGTTATTATAAATCTCTTGGAACTTATGAATAAAAAAAGATTTAAGTGAACATAAATAGCGTTTCATGGCATGAATGAAAAAGTCAAAATGATTTGGTTAACTTAAATGATAAGTAATTTAAGAAGATAGGATCATGGATTATTTGCTCCCTTAGTTATTATAAATCTCTTGGAACTTATGAATAGAAAACGATTTAAGTAAACATAAATAGCGTTTCATGGCATGAATGAAAAAGTCAAAATGATTTAGTCAACTTAAATGAAAAGTAATTTATGAAAAAGTCAATGTAGAGGGAGTAATGAACTATGAATGCGTTGAATATTGGAAACAAGTTCCCTTCTTTACTGTTATTGGAACCATATCATGTTCCGCAATTTTATTCTGGATGTAATTTCCTTTCATTAATGATATCCGTCAGTAAGAAATAACGACGATACAAAGTTTGAGATGTTGTTATCGTAGGTAACTTCATGCGCCGTTTATTTGCAAGGACCCCAGCTGGACAGGCGAACGTTGACCATCAACTGTTGGCTGCTGGAATATTTCAACCGTGCTAATAGTTCAATGTCAACCGTAAATTTCGGTGAAATCGGACGATCGGGAGAGAGAGGAGGAAAGGCGGTGGTGGACTACAGATGCGGATGTTGAATGGATCCTGTTCGTAGATTATAAACAGTTATGTTGCATTTCTACATTGGTTGAAAACAAGGGGTAAACTTGGATCGGACGTCTTCATGCTCCCACTCTAATCCATTCCACCATTCTTGTTTACCGAAGATGCGTTGGATGTTCTTGGCAGTAGAGAACCCAAAGGGCAGCTTCTTCAGCTCTGGACAGTTGACTACTTCGATTTCCTCCAAGGAAGGAAGCAACAACGGATGCTTACATATGCTCCTCAAATTCGGAAGATCATACAACCAAATCCACTTTAATTTAGGGAAGAAAGAATCATTTTGATAATCCACGTTGTCCACCGTCACCTCTTCGACTACTATCACCTCTTCTATTCTCGAACATCCATCTAGTCCTAACATCTCAATGCAGGGCAGTTGTCTGATCCACGTTATGTCCTCCAATGCTTCACATTCGGTAATCGACAATCCCCGAAGGTTTTTGAAGATGGCAGCTGTGGTGTAGCCATCTTTCCAAGAGATCGTTGCTCGGGGAAGTTCACCCAATGTCAGTTCCTCCAGCTCCGAGAGCTGGTTCGTGTTGAAGACCGGCTCTTCCAAGTCGGTAGAACTCCAAATCCCAAGCCTTCTCAGGCCCTTCATAATCTCAAGAAAAGCAGACAAATCTAAAGACCGGATTCCCACCTTTAGCAGACATAGTAATCTGATCGACGCAGACAGTCTCTGAGAGTTCAGTACAGCCTGCATGTCTTCATGGGTCATCCATGTTATAGAAATACCGAGCTCCGTCAGGTTCCACATGCCGTCCTCCAAGTCTTTCAGACAGAGTTGTCTCCCCTCACGGTCAATCACACCATCGCTACCACCGCCCTCCCATCCTGCTCTAAACTCATAGTTACTGTTAAAAATGTTCAACGACTGCAGCCTTTCAAGCGATGAGACCGCCTCGCGTGGGATACTCTTAAGAAGATTAGTGTACTCCAGACGCAGTTGTGTCAGCCTCGTCAAATTCCGGGAGCAGGCGTATCTCATTACGCATCAGAGATATCCTTCTCGCCTCCGTCCATCTTTCCGGCGTCGGCACGTGCCTCAACTGCTCCCCGGAGTTCACCAAGAAGACATTCCCTCTCTTGTCGCCTTCGCCGCTGGTTATCCACAACGCCATCTCGCGGACCGTGTCATGGAGCTTCACCTGTCTTCCTTTGACCTCCCCGTCTTCTAGCAGACAGGCAGCCTTGAGATTCTTGATGGCCAGGTGGCCGCGGTTACGTGCTCTCTCAATGGGGTCGGGATGGCGTCCCGTATCTAAGAGCCCTTCACCCACCCAGTAATCAATGAGCTCGCTTATAAGGATGTTGTGATCCTTCGGGTAGAGGGCGCAGTAGAGAAGGCACTCCTTGGCGGGTGTATCTTTCAATCGGTCGAAACTGAACTTGAGAAGAATTAGGACCTTTTTCATGTCTCCGAGCTCCGCGGGTATGCTCTTCAGCGCCATGAGAGCCACTTGCCACTCGTCACGGGTCGTGACGCCTGCCATGGCCCGGCCTACGGTAATGAGGGTGATCGGAAGGCCTCCGCATTTTTGACAAACGGCTTCTGCGAGAGACCTTATAGAGAGATCATTCCACTGGTCTTCTCCTTTTCCCATCTTTTGGCAGAAGAGCGTCCAAGAGCTCTCTGAATTCAACAAGGGCACCTTAACAACGGCTTCAGCGAGAGATCTCATAGATGGGTCCCACTGGTCTTCTTTCCTGCCCAGCTTTTGGCAGAAGAGCTTCCAAGAGCTCTTTCGATTCAAGAGGGGCACCTTAACTTTCCTCTGAGCGTCCATATCGTTGCACACTTTCTCTGATCGTGTGGTGAAGAATACCTTACTTCCGTTCCTGAAAGAGGAAGAGAAGGGGACTCCTACAGCTTCGAGATCTAGTTTCTCCCACAGGTCGTCCAGCAGCAGAAGGAAATTCCTCTTGGAGAGGGCGCTCAGTAGGGTATTGACCCTGTCGGTTGGATGCTCTGGGAGGGTCTGGCCCTGGCCTTTTCCGGGGCGAGAGTAGCCCAGCCGGACGGCGATGTCCTCTTGAACCTTCCGGACATCAAGCTCCTTGGAGACGGTGACCCAAATCACCAGATCGAAACCGCCGGATCCCCTCTGGAGGAACTCGTTGTTGATCGCCTTCAAGAGGGTCGTCTTCCCTATTCCTCCCAAGCCGTAGATCCCGACGACTAGCGCTTCATTGTCTTCCAGGAGGCTGCGGATCTCCGACAACGTCTTCTCCGCGTCCACGATGGAGGCTGAATAGATCGGCTGCGGAACCACCGCGGGCGGCGGCGCCTGGATGAGTAGGGGAGGAGATTGCCCCTCTGGGTCTTCAGCCTCTGGACTTCTTTCAGGCACTCGCCAGCTTCACAACCGAGCCGATAAGAGGATCGTAAAGAAGAGCCCTCAGAGGAGGCCCCCCTCTGCTGGAAGGAAACCCCGAAAACGGCCGCCCTGGACTCGATCTCCTGCACCTTCCTGAGCCAAGCCTGGACCTGGCGGGTCGGCCTCATGTCCTCAAGCTCTCGTTGTTTGATCTTCTCTTGTAGATCTTCTCTTACAACGATCAGATTTGTCATCTCCCTGTCCAGCTCCGCCGCTCTGGAGTCCAGCAGAATGAGAGTGACGATTCCACCGGCGGCCAGATTCCACACCCAGGAGACGGCTTCCCCCGTGCTGCTCTGCAGGAAATTTTGCATACCCTGCGATAACGGATCCCAGAAGAATCCCAGACAAACAAGGAAGGGATTCATGCCGGCAATCCCTACCAGTGAGGAAGGAAGGGATCGCGTAGAGCCGCACTGCTCACCGAACAGCTGGAAAGATAAGATGGATGAGGAGTCGTGGAGCTCAGAAAATGTAATTTTGTTTGTTGGGATCACCGCACGGGATCCTCATCTGAATATCTTCCACCGTCTTCTGCCGATTCTCCCTCATTGACTTAAACTGTTCAGCCCCTGTGAGATCATTTTCTTCCGATCAAGTGTTGACTTCTGGTTTATTTGTGCCATCAATCTCAGCCGTTCATTCAGGTGAAATCGGGCGATAGGGATCGATAGACCTTCGATGACGATGGGGATCGGGAGGAGAGAGGGGCTCCGGGCGGACCCCCTCACTCTCTCTCTCTCTATCTGTCTCGCTACAAGAGAAAGGCGTGGAGAGAGAGAAAGAGAGAGGAGGTGGTCTTCAACCTTCCTTCGTACTTCCAGAGGATTAGGTTTCAGGGAAGTTCAAAAGAAATCGCCGGGGGGGGGGTGGTTCATTTCTTCCTCACATCTCTCTAGTCCGGCGCGAGATTTCTTTTGAACGAGGACTCCCACGATCTCTACCAAGGACGTCAATGTGGGGGAGAATGATAGGTCTCCCTTTTCTCCGTGAGATGGATGGACCTTCCTGTTTACCGGAGGGAGTCCCGTGGGTGCGTCGGGCGAGGGCGTAGGGGGTAGTAGGAGGGAGGAGTAGACAGCGAACTAGTTAGGTGCGTAGACAAGGCATCTGGGAAAGGGGTCGTACCCTGCACTCTGCGTGGACAAACCTCCAAGGGGAAGAGGGAAAAGGACAATGGAACTGCGCAGAAGCCCGATAGTAGCCACTCCGAGGGGACAAACCTCCACACTCCACTAGGGGAATACTTGTTTGTCCCTCGCCTATCCTCCCTCCTTTGCGTGCCACGGATCCTTTGTGTCATGTGCGAGTCTTTCCTAGATACCTGTGGATCTGAAATGAGACGAAAGTGGCGGCGGCCTGATCCCTTCAGGTCTCCCTGCGGGGATGTGATGGGCCCGCCAGTAGACCATCAGAGAACTTCCTCGAGACGCCCCGCAGGAGCGAGGACGCGGGTTTCACCGGGGAGGCGGAGGTGGAGAAGAAGCCGGAGACATTGCTGCCACCGCCGCCGCCCCCACCGTTGCCGTTGCCGTCGCTGTTGCCGTTGCCGTTGCCTCAGAGACCTCCTTTTCTACCGGTGATGCATCAGCCTCCGCTCTTGCTGCCCCCTCCCCCGCTGCAGAAGAAGCGGCCTTCGGTTTTCCCCGAGCGGCCGACGTTGATCCCTGGCATCGGTGGGGATCGGGCGAGAGAGACATCGATGGATCGAGGGGGTTTCCTGATGTGGGATTCCAAGGGCCCAACGAGCCGGCAGCGGTGAGGTAGGCCAGCCTTCTGTAGGGCTCCCTCCAGTGCCCGGGCAGTATGGGTTACCAAACTTCCCTGGTGATGGTTTTCAGAGGCAACAAGCTGCAGCCGCGGTTGGTATTGATGCCAGTTTCCTGCTGATGCCGTTTATGGCGGCGTGCTGCTGGAGGAAATTGCAATGCCCTTGGAACGGGTAATGTTTAGCGACTGCAGGTCTGGAAGCGATGAGACCTCGTGTGGGATTCTCTCCAGAGGATTTACGTCCTCCAAATGCACTTCTTTCAGCTTCGTCGACCTCCCTAACGGGCAATGATCCAAGCCCAGTTCATGATAGATTGAAAAACCGCAGTTTCAAGCCGTGACCCGATTTCCGGTGGAAGAAGCCTTATTCCCGTGTTCGACAGATCCAAAACAAGAAGTCTCAGCATGAGCTGGAAAAACCCTCGGTCGATGTCCCTCAGACGATATTTTCCGTTCAGCAACAGCGTCTGCAGATTATGCACCTGAGCTGGCTCCTCAGGGAGCACACCAATCCTATTGTGCACGAGAGATATCCTCCTTGCCTCCGTCCATCTTTCTGGCGCCGGGACGTGCCTCAACCTCTCCCCGGAGTTCACCAAGAAGACATTCCCATTCTCGTGGCCTTCCCCGCTGGTTATCCACAAGGCCATCTCGGGGACCGTGTCATGGAGCTTCACCCGTCTTCCTTCAATATCGCCGCCTTTTAGCAGGCGGGCACTTTGAGATTGGTGATAGGGATGTCGCCGCGGTTACGAGATCTATCGATAGAGTCGGGATAGCGTCCCCTTTGTAAGAGGCCTTCGCCTACCCAGTAGTTAATTAGCTGTATTATATCGATGTCGTGATCCTCTGGGAAGAGGACGCATTAGAGAAGGCACTCCCTGGCAGATGTATCTTCCAATCTGTCGAAACTGAACTTGAGAAGAGTTCGAAACTTTTCATGTCTCCGAGCCTGTTCCCACTCACCACGAGTGGTGGCATCTTCCATGGCCCGGCATACGGTGATAAGGGTGATCGGCAGGCCACCGCATTTCGCGGCAACGACTTCAGCGAGGGTTCCCACTGGTCTTCTTCCCTTGACTTCCCTCTGAGCATCCATCCCAGTGCACACACTATCAGTGACCGTATGGTGATGACTATCTTGCTTCCGTTCCTGAAGGAAGAGAAGGAGAAGGGGACGCCTACAGAGCCGAGGACTAGTTTCTCCCACAAGTCGTCAGTAGAAGGAACTGAAGGAAAATAATGGGAGAGAAACTTGGAGATAATATATTGATTTTGTGGAAAGAATGGTCGAAGGAGGAAGAGAGAAGAAAATGGATTTCTCGCACACTGAAACCCCCAGAAAGCACGAAGTTAGTAATTTAAACTTGTGAGGAGAGAGAGAGAGAGAGTATTCTTTGAAAAAAAAAAGAGATATTATCAGATAGTATATTACATCTCTGTGATCAACTTAAAAATTTATTAATATTTTAAAAACCTTTTATCTAATTATAATTTATTTATTTATTATAAACTATTTTAAAGTTTTAAATATTAATATTTAAAAAAATTTAAAATATTAAATTTATGCTATTTATTATACAATAGTTAGGTCATATTAAAAATTATTCAGAAGTCTAAACAATGGGATTCGATAATGGAAAAGTTAATAAATCAATGGTATGAGTCTTTGCAAAATATGATTTATGACAATATGGTACTCTGTTGATCAAATTATGACCAAATATTACATTTCCAAAATAAATGGATGAAAATAAGGATGTGAAGTATAGGCACCTCAAATAAATTGAGACATGCATTGGGCACTTCAAGCTAACAAGATGCTCAAAAATAAAAGATTTGAGAGTAGTTGAAGAGGTGATGGATGATGAGGATTTTGAAAATGGATATATTTTTTTTCCAAACTAAGGTTTATTTACCTACAAAGTGCACCGAATGTGAGGAGGAGCATGTGCATATATCTCTTGTTGTTTCTTTCCTTAGTGCTACTCCAAGTGGATGACTGTCCATAGCTAAAGAAGCTGCTCTTTGGGCTTTTTGGTGCTAAGAACATCAAAATGATCAGTGGAAATAAAGAATGGTGGAATCGATTAGAGTGGGACAATGAAGACAGCTAAATATATTTGATTGAGTGACTAGGTAGAATTTAACATCTATTGGACATAGTTCCCTTGTTCATTGGCAGCCATACAAAGAGTGGTGTGTATCAGAGTAGTTATTTTACCCTCCTTCTAGCTGATTATGCATCTCTCTCTATCATTATGGCTTGATTTAAATTATTCCTACTTACCTTCTTATACCTTGATAGATTTAATGAAATGTCTTGGTCTACTAAGTTAGTTATAAAAAAATTGGGTGATGTTATCATCACTTCTCATGATCTATTCAAGATCTTTGTTATGTGACTACATGTCTACACTACATCAAGGCCACATGTTTAGTTGAATTTGATCTCACAATTCAATTGACCATGTGTTTGAATTTGATCTGAATTTTGTTCTTGGGTTTTGAATTTAAACTAGATAATTTCAAGAGAAGAATTAGTGTTTTATCAATAGACAACTATTTGTGTTAGATTGGAAGAAGTCATTGGTTTAACTTTTGAAAAAAAAAGAAAGTGGTTACTCTCTTGGCTGAATGTAGGATCTCGAGACAAATAGTCTTTGACTAAATTGTCTGCCAAATTGACTTGCAAAATCTGATCAAAAGAGAATTGATAAATTAGAGGAACACGTGAATTATTGTTTTATCCGACCAAATGAATTAAGTAGTGAGATTTCAAAAGGAAATACTTATCTTGTCTAATTTACATCTTGGCTATGCCTCCGCCTATTATGCCTTAGAAGCAAAGTCAATGATTGCTCTCTCTCTCTCTCTCACGTGCATGCACGCCCATCCCTTCCTTCTTGTGTAGAGATTATCAACATGAATTTCTTCTTTGTTCATTTGAATTTTTTTTGGAATCACATACCACAATCTGCATGATTTCTTGTAGAGCAGAACGGGGAAGCCCTCTCCTAGGTATGAAATCTCCGCCTATCATTGCCGGCCATTGTGATTGATCAGCCGACCTCTTCACTCTACGACAACATGAGCGTGGAGGAGACATTGTCGGAGATCCGCCATCTCTTGGAAGATGATGAAGTGAGAATCATTAGGAACTACAACATAGGAGCAATTGGGAAGACCACCCTTTTGAAGGCAATCGACGATGAGCTCCTCGGAGACGGTGACCCAAATCACCAGATCGAATCGGCCTTCGTCTTTAAGAGGGTGGTCTTCTCTATTCCTCCCATGTAGTAGACCCCCATGATTCTTGCTTCATCGTCCTCCAAGAGTTGCGGATCTCTAACAACGTCTCCTCCTCATCCGCCATCGAGAGTGAAGAGCTCAAGATCAGAATCACCGCGGGCGGTGGTGCTTGAACGATTAGGTGGAGATTGCTCTTCTGGGTCTTTAGCCTCTAGACTTTGAGACACTCGGCAGCTTCACTCTTGGATAAGGATCCAAAAGAAGAGCCCTCAAAGGAGCCCACCATCTACTGTGAGGGAACATGGAATTTGTTCACCTAGGCCTCGATGTTCATCACCTCTTCGAGCCATTTCTCAGCCTACTCGATCCCCTCCAAGTACTCACGCTCGCCTGATCTGGTGACTTGGGTCACCGTCTTAAAAGAGCCTTATGTTCTGAAGGTTCAAGAAGACATCGCTGTCTAGTTAGGCTACTCTCACCCCAACCAAGGCCAGACGCTTCCAAGGCATCCAATTGACTAGGGCCAGCACCCTATTGAAGGTCTTCTTTGACATGAAGTTCCTTCTACTGCTGGATAATCTTTGGGAAAAACTAGACCTCGACGTTGTAGGCATCTCCTTATCCTCCCTTGGGAAAGGAAACAAGATACTCTTTACCATATGGATACAGAAAGTGTGCAACCGGATGGACGTTGAGCGGAAAGTTAAGGTGCCCGTGTTGAATCCAGCAAACTCTTGGAAACTCTTTAGCCAAAAGCTGAGTAGGGGAGAAGATGGTGAGTCTCCACTCTGCACGGAGTTCTTCACCAGGTTCTCCCGACCTCCTCTTTTCGTGGCCACTCGATCCCTCTTTATAACCAAAGTCTTAGTATTGCATGTCCTACATGCTCCCACGTGCGTTTGTCCCCTTCAGCGTGCGACTCCAGCCAACCTTGCCTCGGTCCTAGCTGGGCCGACTTCTTCGGGACCTCTTTCCTATTGAGCCCATTTGAGTTGTTAGGGTCTCAACAAAAGACTAGTTGGATCCTCTATTCTGCCAGAATATGTTGCTAAAAAATGTGGAGGCCTATCGATCAAGTAGCAATGAAAAGGTAAACCAATTACATTTGTCTTTCTGCATTCAAAAGATTTCCATAGCTTAATATTCTCGAGCAATATCAAAATTTAATTTTTTTGCTCACAATATTTTTAAAAGTCAAAATTTAAAGCAAGCCTAACATGCATAACTTTCCCAACCTTTGTAGATTGTAGATTATGACAATATAGAATGTCTTTTTTTTATGTGTTCACCTCTATTGGTACTTTCTTTTAGAAACTTTTACTGATTTTTATCATGCTATCAGCCATCCATGCTTCTTTTTTTTCTTGTCTATGGAACGGTTTTCTTGTAGAATGTTCTATGTGACTTGCTCCTTGATAAGATCATCAAAGTGCATTATTTTTATGATGGATCATGCTCAATTCTATTTTGCATGTTTTATCGATAAAAATAGATGTACTTTCATACTTCACTATTATTATTACTTTTTTCAGTTTTTTCTGTGGGAGTTTAGATGTCTCACAAGATTTGTTGAATATATGGTGGTTGCTTTTGAGGTGTTCTTCTTGAAGTAGATGGTTAAAGTGATGGTATTTTATTTCTCTCCATTTTTTTATGCTTGAATTGAATTTTTTTGATGAACCAGAATCATGCTTATTGGTAGGTTCATTCTTGTGAACATGAAATCAAGTATATGCAGATTGTTTTAACTAGAACTTATAACATATAGCTTGTTTGACTGGTATCAAGAAATGGAATTCACATCTACTTCTGGTTGATTTTGTAATCCTCAATGTTTCTCAGACACCCGTATCAAGATGTCTATTTTTACACCATTCCTAATGAATGTATGTTGTCCTCTTTCTTGTTCTTACATCATGGTGGAGTTGTCAATACATTTACTAGTATCATAGAGAGAGCTCACCTTGCCATATCTTCTTGAGTTTACTTTAGTTTCTATCTCACTATGTAATTCTTTGTCAAGTGGGATTTGAACGTGGGCAACCTACGATTATGAAGTTGTTGATTTTCTAAAGGTTTTTTTATTTACACCATCATCTTTTAGTTTTATTAAAATGTTACTCATACGATGATCATTAATTTAACTGCATAATATTTTTCAGTAAATCTTTCAAGAGAATAAATAGATAGGCAGTGATATAAACTCAATTAATAAACAAGAACGATATAATCTTACCTTGAACATCTAAAATTCTTGCAAATCTTTCATGTATAGAGTCATAGTATGGGAATGAAATCATGACAAGTGTAGCCCTTTTTAACAGATGGTTGCATCTATAATTTTTCTTTGACTTGGGATTTGTCAGACACAAATCAATATGTTGCATGAAAGATCAGTGAATCTATCATCAATAGATACTAATCTTAGATTATTTTTTAGACATTTCAATCTAGAACCCACATGAGACTATGTTTTGTAAACAATATCAAAAGACAATTTATATGACTGAAATGTACGCAATGCATATTACATGTATCATTCTTGAGATAGATGAACTATTGACACCTTGCTTGTTGTGCTCATTATGTTCTATAATTTCCTAGTGATAAAAAATCTGTGAGTACAAGACTAACTCATTGTTGACATCACTATAAACTATTTCAGCAAAAGTGCTGCTGTTACTTGCCTAATAAGAAACTTCAAGATACCAGTCCTCTCCAGTTCGATCAAGGCCATGCGAGTAAGACTTGGCATTGCATGATAAAATCATAATTAGGTTGGTTTCCTATTCTATGTAGCAAAAAGGCAAGGATTTAGTCAACGCCTGATTTCAATCTTTCCATCATAAGTAGAAAAAAAAAAGCATAATCCATTGATACTATAAAAAGTAAAAAAGCATATATGTTGATAAGTTCTTCAATGGTGAGCTCTTCTTGATTGGAATATGGAGAGTACACACTCTCCATGTTGACAATCAATCATGCCTCTTGACCATCCATTAAAGATAATGTTCAATTGTGTGGTTAATAGAAGGTTACCCTCTAAACTTTCGTCCCCTCTAATCTGGTGTTATAATCATAAATAGTTTACAAGTGATACTAAAGGCACAAGAAAACTTAAGTTGAAACCAACAATGAAGTTTAAATTTTCATCTACGTTAGTATGTTATGTAAGAAACTATGATATAAATGAAATTAGGGCACAATTATAACCCGTTTTAACTAATGATCATGTCTGTAAGCATAAAATAATTTCAAAAATGTACAATATAATTGGATTTGATAATATTCAATGACCATATTAGAGTATTTTTTATCATTAAATTCAATCACAATTTTTCTTTGACCTTAGGATGTATCAAGCACAAGTAAACCCTTTGCATGAAAAATTAGTGAATCAATCTATCATCAATAAACTCAAATATTATAGATTTCCACAAACATTTGGAGATAGAATGCATGCGAATGAGGGTAAGTTTAGTAAGCTGCAGAGAAAGAACAATTTATGTGACTCAAGTATATAGGGCTATGGTATGGGAATGAAATTAGGATAAGTATAGCCCTTTTAACTGATGATTCCGTTTGCAAGCACTAATTTTTTCTAAAACGTAGAACATAATTGGATTTGATATAACCAACCACCATAGGATAGTATTTTTCATCATTAAAATTCAATCATAATATTTCCTTGACTTAAGATCTATCAAGCACATTTCAGCTGGTTGCATGAAAAATCAGTTAATCAAGCTATCATCCATAAGTGTACTAATATTATACATTTCCTCAGCTCAAACATTTGAAGATGGAACGCAAATGAGAGAATGTTCTGCAAGCTGCAGCAGAAGACAATTTATGTGATTGAAGTGGATGCAATTCACATTCTTCACCAATCGAATTCCTTGGCTGTTTCATTTCAACCGCAAAAATAAAGCTGCCATGCTTCTTCCAAGAATCGTAATATTACCAAAGTAGACGATAAAAGGGGATAAAACTTGGATCGGACGTCTTCATGCTCCCACTATAATTGAAAGGCACTCCTTGGCGGATGTATCTTTCAATCTGTCGAAACTGAACACGAGAAGAATTAGAACCTCTTTCATGTCTTCGAGCTCCACGGGTATGCCCTTCAGCGCCATGAGAGTCACTTTCCACTCGCCATGGGTGGTGGCATCCACCATGGCCCAGCCTACGGTGATGAGGGTGATCAGAAGGCCTCCGCATTTTTGACAAACGGCTTCTGCGAGAAAACCCACCGGGGATTTCCTCCAGATGACGTCTGTTGTACTTCAGCAACAGCGTCTGCAGATTGGGGCAACGAGGCTCCTCAGGGAGCAGGCGTATCTCATTACGCATCAGAGATATCCTTCTCGCCTCCGTCCATCTTTCCGGCGTCGGCACGTGCTTCAACTGCTCCCCGGAATTCACCAAGAAGATATTCCCTCTCTCGTCGCCTTCGCCGCTGGTTATCCACAACGCCATCTCGCGGACCGTGTCATGGAGCTTCACGTCTCTTCCTTTGACCTCCCCATCTTCTAGCAGGCAGGCAGCCTCGAGAGTGGTGATGACAACGAGGCCGCGGTTACGAGCTCTCTCAATGGGGTCGGGATGGCGTCCCGTATCTAAGAGCCCTTCACCCACCCAGTAATCAATGAGCTCGCTTATAAGGATGTTGCGATCCTCTGGGAAGAGGGCGCAGTAGAAAAGGCACTCCTTGGCGGATCTATCTTTCAATCTGTCGAAACTGAACTCGAGAAGAATTAGAACCTCTTTCATGTCTCCGAGCTCCGCGGGTATGCTCTTCAGCGCCATGAGAGCCACTTGCCACTCGTCACGGGTCGTGACGCCTGCCATGGCCCGGCCTACGGTAATGAGGGTGGTCGATTGGCAGGCCTACGCATTTTGGGGCAACGGCTTCAGCGAGAGATCTCATAGAGGGATCCCACTGGTCTTCTTCCCTGCCCCGCTTTTGGCAGAAGAGCTTCCAAGAGCTCTTTCGATTCAAGAGGGAGTCTCTAAAGAAAAAATCAAATCGGCGTAAAGGAATATGATGGTGACCAAAATTTCATGTTGATTGAAGCAATCGCGATATGCTTAATCTAAAGAAATTAAGTAAGAATTGTGATTATGGTTTGAATGAATCTTATAGATATTAATATGTATGCATCTGGCATGCCTGTGTAAGCAAATCTTTAGCGATAAGTTGAATCTGTAAGAACAAGACTTGCCTTGTTCGGAGTCCAGTGGATGGATAGTTTTTCAGAACTGTTGAGTGGGAGCGGGCAGCCATGGCATCTGTAGACGATTGCTGGCCTCCACGAATGGCCATGCGACCGTCTGCGAATGTGCTGTTGCCGCCGAACGTCCGCGCGCTCGGTTCGGCAGCTCGCCGTGGCGTACCGAACCGAGCGCCTCCGGCGTTCGCTAATGGCCGCTGCGTTCCATCGCGAAAGGAGCTGAGTACGGTGGTGCGCTCGGCTCCGTTCGGGAATTCGCCGGTGCTCGCTTGATGTGGTTCTGGTCTTTGAGTTCAATGGCGGTGAAGTAGAGGGAGGTGGAGAGAGGGAGAGGGCGGACGCAGAGGATGGAGAGAGAGAGAGGACGAGTGGGAAGCAGAGGATGGAGAGACGGAAAGACAGCAGGAAGAGAGGAAGGGTCGGCGGAGAAGGAGGGCCACGCGGGGGAGAGGGATGGAGAGAGGAGCGCAGAGGGCGAGAGAACTAAAGACGAAGAAGAGGAAGATGGATACGGAGAGAGTAAGGGGAGAATGAGGGTGGATAGAGAGAAGAGGGGGAGTTGGAGGGAAGGAGGGTGAGAGAGAGAGAGAGAGAGAGAGAGAGAGAGAGAGAGAGTAAGAGAGAGAGAGAAGAAAGGGAGGGAGAGAGGAAACGTAAGAGGAAGGGAAGATGCAGGAGCATGCCAGGGCGAGAGGGAGGTAAATTAGAGTCAAATCCATTCTCTGAATCGCCATCGCCATGACCATCCCAAAAACGTTGATAGATAAGAAGTTGCTGGTTCTTGAACTCCATCTGGTCATCAAAACAATACCATGGCGGTGAAGTTGATCAGATTAAACCTTCTTCTGTCTCATTCAGTTGCTGCAACGAGGATCCGGGCCTGGCGCAAGAAGCTCCCACGCCATTACGGTGGTCGGCAGCAGGGCCTACGCCTTTGGCGGAGAATTCACCCCCCGCGTCCCCGTGGACAACAAGATCCATGTCTTCGACCTGGAGACTCTCACCTGGTCCGTTCCAGAGGTCACCGGAGACATCCCGCCGCCGAGGGTCGGCGTCACCAGGGCCACCGTCGGTAAGACCATCTACGTCTTCGGTGGTCGTGACGCAGAGCACAAGGAGCTGAACGAGCTCTACTCGTTCGACACAACCACGGACAACTGGACCCTTCTGTCCTCCGGCGAGCTCGGCCCCCCCAGCCGGAGCTACCACTCGAGGGCCGCGGACGGCCACCATGTCTACATCTTTGGCGGGTGCGGAGTCGCCGGGAGGCTCAATGACCTCTGGGCTTACGATGTTTTGGACGGGAAGTGGGTCAAGTTCCCGGAGCCAGGGAAGAGCTGCCGTCCCCGGGGAGGAACTGAGCTCGCCGTGGCCGGAGAGAAGATCTGGATAGTTTATGGTTTCGCAGGTGAAGAGGTAGACGACGTCCACTGCTTCGACCCGGCCTCCGGGGAGTGGACGGAGGTGGAGACAACCGGGGACAAACCTTGCCCTCGGAGCGTCTTCTCCATAGCCAGCATTGGACTGCGCGTGATCATATGCGGAGGCGAAGTTGATCCGAGCGATCTCGGCCATCTCGGCGCCGGGAGCTTCGCCGGCGATTCGTACGTGTTGGACACGGCGACGAAAGCATGGAAGAAGCTGGCGGAGGTGGCGGAGCCCGGGGAGCACCCCGGGCCTCGCGGCTGGTGCGCGTTCTCCGTGGGTCGCCGGGACGGGGAGGAAGGGCTGCTTGTCTACGGTGGGAATTCGCCCACCAATGACCGGCTGGATGACATCTTCTTCTTCACTCCTTCCTTTGGCAGGTGAGCATAAATAGCGTTTCATGGCATGAATGAAAAAGTCAAAATGATTTGGTTAACTTAAATGATAAGTAATTTAAGAACATAGGATCATGGATCATTTGCTCCCTTAGTTATTATAAATCTCTTGGAACTTATGAATAAAAAAGATTTAAGTGAACATAAATAGCGTTTCATAGCATGAATGAAAAAGTCAAAATGATTTGGTTAACTTAAAAGGATAAGTAATTTAAGAACATAGGATCATGGATCATTTACTCCCTTAGCTTATCATAAATATCTTGGAACTTCTGAATAAAAAAAGATTTAAGTAAACATAAATAGCGTTTCATGGCATGAATGAAAAAGTCAAAATGATTTAGTTAACTTAAATGAAAAGTGATTTATGAAAAAGTTAATGTAGAGGGAGTAATGAACTATGAATGCGTTGCATATTGGAAACAAGTTCCCTTCTTTACTGTTATTGGAACCATATCATGTTCCGTAATTTTATTCTGGATGTAATTTCCTTTCATTAATGATATCCGTCAGTAAGAAATAACGACGATACAAAGTTTGAGATGTTGTTATCGTAGGTAACTTCATGCGCCGTTTATTTGCAAGGACCCCAGCTGGACAGGCGAACGTTGACCATCAACTGTTGGCTGCTGGAATATTTCAACCGTGCTAATAGTTCAATGTCAACCGTAAATTTCGGTGAAATCGGACGATCGGGAGAGAGAGGAGGAAAGGCGGTGGTGGACTACAGATGCGGATGTTGAATGGATCCTGTTCGTAGGTTATAAAAAGTTATGTTGCATTTCTACATTGGTTGAAAATAAGGGGTAAACTTGGACCGGACGTCTTCATGCTCCAACTCTAATCCATTCCACCATTCTTGTTTACCGAAGATGCGTTGGATGTTCTTGGCAGTAGAGAACCCAAAGGGCAGCTTCTTCAGCTCTGGACAGTTGACCACTTCGATTTCCTCCAAGGAAGGGAGCAACAACGGATGCCTACATATGCTCCTCAAATTCGGAAGATCATTCAACGAAATGAACTTTAATTTAGGGAAGAAAGAATAATTTTCATAATCCACGTTGTCCACCGTCACCTCTTCGACTACTATCACCTCTTCTATTCTCGAACATCCATCTAGTCCTAACATCTCAATGCAGGGCAGTTGTCTGATCCACGTTATGTCCTCCAATGCTTCACATTCGGTAATCGACAATCCCCGAAGGTTTTTGAAGATGGCAGCTGTGGTGTAGCCATCTTTCCAAGAGATCGTTGCTCGGGGAAGTGTAACCAGTACCAGTTCCTCCAGCTCCGAGAGCTGGTTCGTGTTGAAGACCAGCTCTTTCAAGTCGGTAGAATCCCAAATCTCAAGCCTTCTCGCCCTTCATAATCTCAAGAAAAGCAGACAAATCTAAAGGCTGGATTCCCACCTCTGGCAGACATAGAAATCTGATCGACGCAGACAGTCTCTGAGAGTTTAGTACAGCCTGCATGTCTTCATGCGTCATGCCTGTTGTAGAAATACCGAGCTCCGTCAGGTTCCACATGCCGTCCTCCAAGTCTTTTAGACAGAGTTGTCTCCCCTCATGGTCAATCACACCATCGCTACCACCGCCCTCCCCTCCTGCTCTAAACTCATAGTTACTGTTAAAAATGTTCAACGACTGCAGCCTTTCAAGCGATGAGACCGCCTCGCGTGGGATACTCTTAAGAAGATTCGTGTACTCCAGATGCAGTTGTCTCAGCTTCGTCAAATTCCTGACCTCCATGGGTAATGATTCCAGGGAAGTGAATGATAGATCGAGATACCGCAGTTCTACCAGTGACCCGACTTCCGGGGGGAGAACCCTTATTCCCGTCCACGACAGATCTAAAACACGAAGGCTCGGCATGAACGGGAAAAACCCACCGGGGATTTCCTCCAAATGACGTCCGTTGTCGTTCAGCAACAGCGTCTGCAGATTGGGGCAACGAGGCTCCTCAGGGAGCAGGCGTATCTCATTACGCATCAGAGATATCCTTCTCGCCTCCGTCCATCTTTCCGGCGTCGGCACGTGCCTCAACTGCTCCCCGGAGTTCACCAAGAAGATATTCCCTCTCTCGTAGCCTTCGCCGCTGGTTATCCACAAAGTCATCTCGCGGACCGTGTCATGGAGCTTCACCTGTCTTCCTTTCCAGAACCCGTCTTCTAGCAGGCAGGCAGCCTTCAGATTGGTGATGACACCGAGGCCGCGGTTACGAGCTCTGTCAATGGGGTCGGGATAGGATCCCCTATCTAAGAGCCCTTCGCCCACCCAGTAATCAATGAGCTCGCTTATAAGGATGTTGTGATCCTCTGGGAAGAGGGCGCAGTAGAGAAGGCACTCCTTGGCGGATGTATCTTTCAATCGGTCGAAACTGAACTGGAGAAGAATTAGAACCTTTTTCATGTCTCCGAGCTCCACGGGTATGCTCTTCAGCGCCATGAGAGCCACTTGCCACTCGTCACGGGTCGTGACGCCTGCCATGGCCCGGCCTACGGTAATGAGGGTGATCGGCAGGCCGCATTTTGGGGCAACGGCTTCAGCGAGAGATCTCATAGATGGGTCCCACTGGTCTTCTTTCCTGCCCAGCTTTTGGCAGAAGAGCTTCCAAGAGCTCTTTCGATTCAAGAGGGGCACCTTAACTTTCCTCTGAGCGTCCATATCGTTGCACACTTTCTCTGATCGTGTGGTGAAGAATACCTTACTTCCGTTCCTGAAAGAGGAAGAGAAGGGGACTCCTACAGCTTCGAGATCTAGTTTCTCCCACAGGTCGTCCAGCAGCAGAAGGAAATTCCTCTTGGAGAGGGCGCTCAGTAGGGTGTTGACCCTGTCGGTTAGATGCTCTGGGAGGGTCTGGCCCTGGCCTTTTCCGGGGCGAGAGTAGCCCAGCCGGACGGCGATGTCCTCTTGAACCTTCCGGACATCAAGCTCCTTGGAGACGGTGACCCAAATCACCAGATCGAAACCGCCGGATCCCCTCTGGAGGAACTCGTTGTTGATCGCCTTCAAGAGGGTCGTCTTCCCTATTCCTCCCATGCCGTAGATCCTGATGACTGGCGCTTCATTGTCTTCCAGGAGGCTGCAGATCTCCGACAACGTCTTCTCCGCGTCCACGATGGAGGCTGAAGAGATCGGCTGCGGAACCACCGCGGGCGGCGGCGCCGGGATGAGTAGGGGGAGGAGATTATTCTTTTGGGTCTTCAGCCTCTGGACTTCTTTCAGGCACTCGGCAGCTTCACAACCGAGCTTATAGGAGGACCGCCAAGAAGAGCCCTCAGAGGAGGCCCCCCTCTGCTGGAAGGAAACCCGGAAAACGGCCGCCCTGGACTCGATCTCCTGCACCGCCCTGAGCCAAGCCTGGGCTTGGTGGGTCGGCCCCATGTCCTCAAGCTCCCCTTGTTTGATCTTCTCTTGTAGATCTGCTCTTACAACGATCAGATCTGTCATCTCCTGTCCAGCTCCTCCGCTCTGGAGTCCAGCAGAATGAGAGTGACGATTCCACCGGCGGCCAGATTCCACACCCAGGAGACGGCTTCCCCCGTGCTGCTCTGCAGGAAATTTTGCACACCCTGCGATAACGGATCCCAGAAGAATCCCAGACAAACAAGGAAGGGATTCATGCCGATAATCCTTACGCAGTGAGGAAGGAAGGGATCCGGGGGAGAGAGAGAGAGAGAGAGAGCAACGGCTGCCTTTCTGCCGAGAGATAACAGGCGAGGGGGAATTACATAGCCAGTATACACCAGCCATTTCTTAGCTTCACCTCGAAGCTTGTCGGGTAGAGGCGCACTGCTCATCGAACGGCTGGAAAGATAAGATGGATGAGGAATCGTGGAGCTCAGAAGATGTAATTTTGTTTCTTGGGGTCACCGCGTAGGATCCTCAGCTGAATATCTTCCACCGTCTTCCACCGTTTCTCCTTCATTGACCTAACTGTTCGTATCATGTGCGATCATTTTCTTCCGACTAGTCTGCAATATCTTCTGCTTCATCCTTTCGCAGAAGAGCTTCCAAGAGCTCTCTGAATTCAACAAGGGCACCTTAACTTTCCGCTGAGTGTCCATCCTGCTGCAAACTTTCAATGACCGTGTTGTGAAGACAATCTTGCTTCCGTGGCTGAGCGACGAGGAGGAGGAGAAGGGGACGCCCACCGTGCCGAGGTCTAGCGTCTCCCACAGGTCGTCCAGCAACAGAAGGAAGTTCCTCTGGGAGAGGGCTCTGAGTAGGGTGCTGGCCCTGTTGGGTGGCTGCCCTGGAAGGGTCGGGCCCTGGCCCTCTCCGGGACCAGAGTAGCCCAACCGGGCAGCGATTTCCTCTTGAATCTTCAGGACATCACGCTCCTTGGAGACGGTGACGCAAATCACCAGATCGAATCGGTCAGGTCCCCTACGTAAAAGCTCGTCGTTGATCGCCTTCAAGGGGGTGGTCTTCCCTATTCCCCCCATGCCGTATATCCCGATGATTCCCCCTGCGTCGTCCTCCAGGAGACGGAGGATCTCTGACAACGTGTCCTCCTCATATACCATCGAGATTGAAGAGCCCGGCAGCGGAACCACCGCGGGCGGCAGCGCCTGGATGAAGAGGGGGAGATTGTTCTTTTGGGTCTTCAGCCTCTGGACTTCTTTCAGACAGTCGGCAGCTTCACAACCGAGCCGTTAGGAGGATCGCAAAGAAGAGCCTTCAGATGATGCCCCCCTCAGCTCGAAGGAAACCTGGAAATTAGCAGCCCTGGCCTCGATCTCCTGCACCTCCCTGAGCCAACCCTGGGCCTGGTGGGTCGGCCCCATGTTCTCAAGCTCCCCTTTTTTTATCTCAACCAGTAGATCTGCTCTTACAGCGATCAGATCTGTCTTCCTCCCGTGCAGCTCCTCTGCCCTGGAGTCCAGAAGGAAGAGAGTGACGATTCCAGCTTCGCCTGATTCCACGCCAAGGAGACGACTTGCCCGGTGCTGGTCTCCAGGAAACTAACCAGAGCGTTCGATATGGGTTCCCAGATGAATCCCAGACAATGCGAGAAGCGATCCATGCTGATAATCGCTACGCAGGAAGGAAGAGATCGGCGAGAGGTGGAGAGAGCAGTGGTTAACTTTGCTGCCAAGGTGTAACAGGCGGGGGGAGTTGCGTGGCCAAGATATATATATCTATATCAGCCATTTTCAAGCTGGCAGCTCGAAGTCTGTCGGGTAGAAGCTCACTGCTGACCTCGCCGTTGGAGAGATCGCACGGCGCAGGAGAGAAACACAGAGGAGAAGAGGTGGCATGGAGGTTACAAGAGACTATTTTCTGTCCCAGTCATGGCATGGAACCCCGATCTGAATGTCTTCCATTGCCTCCTGCCGGTTCACCTAATCCTTCATTCCCACAATCTCAAGGTTTCCAGCTCCGAGAGCTGGTTCGGGGTCGAAGATCAGATCTTCCAAGTGGGTTGAATCCCAAGTAATAACCCTATCCTTATCAGGCCTCACATGACCTCAAGAAAAGCAGAATAATTAAGAAGGCAAGGGAGAGACAGAGTCTTAATTTGCTTGGCACGACTCTCTAGCCTCCTGGTTTAAGATATGGTTACCTCAGGTCACTGCACACGCCATTCATTTACAGGGACCCGGCCGCCAGTTCCACCGCCAGCAGTGAGGGGGGTAAGTTAACCGTCAAGCGTTAACGACTGGGATACTCCGACCGCGTACATTTCGGTGGAATCGGGCGATGGGATTCGATACACCGTTTGGCGACGGTGGATTGAGAGGAGAGATCGCCTCCGGCCGGTTCCCCGGATCTTTCGTGAGAGGGCAAGCGGCAAACCTGCGGAGGGGCCATCTTTTCTCACATCTTTCTTACATCTTTCTTGCGCGGCACGAGATTCGCCATGGATGATGATGCCGGCGAGGACGTTGGGAGTGCCCCGGCTCAGTTACACCGCAGCGGAAGGCCATCTCCGCCGTCCAGGACGACGAGGACGCCTATTTTGGAGAGGACTAGGACAACCTGTACAATGTTGGGGAGAGCTTCCTCCAGACGCTCCGCAGGGGTGTAGGCGGAGCTGGAGAAGAAACCGGGGACGTTGACGGAGCATTGATGGAGCTGGTGGCTTTGGGAGCGTGCTGAATCCGTTTCACCAAAGGGAGGCCATTGTTGTGAACGGGAGCCTTGCACGTGCCCCCCCACCCTGTTCGCATAACGGCATAGTGCGGTTATGCGAGAAGTGCTCTAATGTATACACATCAGAGCACATGGTGAGGTAATGCGGAATTTGGTAATGCGGAATTTCCTGCATAACGCACGTTACTGGACAGTTTTGGCCAGCTAGTTATTTCTTACGGTTATTCCTTTCCCCCTCTTTGTTTTCTTATTTAAAGAGGACTGTAAGAGTTTTTCAACAGCGAGAAAGTTTTCCTTGTTCCTCCTGCTGTTTTTCCTGTGACTCGTGAGGTGATCTCGCCGGCGACGTCTTAACTGCCGTCGTCTCTCCGGCGAGTTTCTGACAAGTGGTATCAGAGCTCCTAGGTTGCGGGCCGGGACTCGATCGCGGCAAGGTACAGCCGTTGGAATCGAGAACGCGCAATCGAGACGCGCTATGGCAGGAGGAAAGGACGGCGTGGTCCAGAGGGTGATTCGTGAGGTGAGCGCCGGGACCGGGTTCCCAATGCTCACCAAGACCAACTACTCCGACTGGGCACCGCTCGACGCGCTCTGTAGCGCCGTGCCGCCAGAAATGTGGCCGGTGATCGCGAACAAGGAGACGGCCAAGGAGGCCTGGGAGGCTATCGCCACCATGCGGATCGGCGATGACCGCGTAAAGAAGACGTCGGCTCAGAACTTGCGGCGGCAGTTCGACTCGGCGACGTTCAAGGAGGGAGAGTCTGTTGAGGACTACGTGCTGCGTCTCAACAGCATGGCGTCGACTCTCACCACCCTCGGCGACAAGGTCGAAGAGACGCAGGTAGTGGAGAAGATAATCCGCAGTGTTCCCCAGCATTTCAGGCAGATCGTGGTCGCGATCACGATGCTGGTCGACGTGTCGACGCTCACCGTCGCGGATTTGACGGGTCGGCTCAAGGCGGCGGAGGATGCCTTCGAGGAACCGCCGTCGGCTATGCACCACGACGGCAAGCTGTACCTGACCGAGGAAGAGTGGGACGCACGGCGGAGGAAGCGTGATGCTGAGAAAACTGGTGGTGGAGGTAGCAGCAGCGTGACGCACCGTGGCAGACATGGGCGCGGGCGCGGGCGCGGCCGTGGCAGCGACAAGGGCTCGTCATCAGGCGGCCTGACGGGCAACTCAGGCCGGCCCAGCGGTGATGAGTGCAGGAGATGCGGGAAGCTGGGCCACTGGGCCCGCGAGTGCCGCTCCAAGCCCAAGAAAGAGCAGGTCCACGTCGTCCAGAATGAGGAGGAGGCCTCGCTCCTTCTCGTGAAGTCAACAACGGCCATATCGACGGCGCCGCCACCAACCTCCACTCCACCACGTTTTGCTGCGACTCCGCAAGTAGAGGATCGGCTCCGGCGTGCAAGCCCACCGCCGCCGGGAGCAAAAGGGGTCCCCGTCAATGGAGGGGCTGCCAAAGAAGAGAAAAAGCCAGGCGCCCAGACCCAGATCCATCTGCGGGAAGAGGTGTTCTCCCACCTTGAAGAGGAGGAGCTGCATGATGAGGAGGCGTGGGTCGTGGACACAGGCGCCATGAACCACATGTCGGGTTACCGTACGGCTTTCACCGAGCTAGACACGGAGGTACTTGGGACGATGCGGTTCGGCGATGACTCGATGGCGTGGATCGAAGGCTGGGGGGCAATTGCGTTCCAGTGCAAGAACGGCGAGCACCGGTCCTTCGCGGGGGTGTATTACATTCCCCAACTGACGACGAACATCGTCAGCGTCGGCCAACTCGATGAGGCCGGGTACCATATTGACATCGAGAAAGGGGCGATGAAGATCCATGAGCCAGGCGGACGGCTCCTAGCGAAGGCCATGCGCGGAGAGAACAGGCTGTACATTCTCCACGCCAAGCTGGTTCGGCAGGTGTGCCTGGAGGCGCGGGCAGTCGAAGAAGCTTGGAAATGGCACGCGCGCCTCGGCCATGTCAATATGACCGCACTGCAGAAGATGGCTCGGGAGGAGCTGGTGCGCGGGTTGCCGGCAGTTGGTCAGGTGGACCAGCTGTGTGAGGCGTGTCTCGCTGGCAAGCAGAAGCGGTCGCCATTCCCCCAGCAAGGAGAGTACCGGGCGCGGCATGTTCTGGAGCTGGTGCACAGTGACCTCTGTGGTCCGATTGCGCCGGAAACGCCAAACGGCAGCAAGTATTTCCTGCTGTTCGTGGATGATCGAAGCCGGTACATGTGGGTGGCCATGCTGCGTTCAAAGGACCGTGCTGCGGTGGCCATCAAGGAGATCAAGGCTCGGGTAGAAGGCGAGTCAGGACTGAAGCTGGGAGCGCTCCGTACTGATCGGGGAGGCGAATTCACCTCACATGAGTTCGTAGAGTACTGCGTGGGAGAAGGTATTCATCGTCAACACACGGCACCATATAGCCCGCAACAGAATGGCATCGTCGAGCGTAGGAATGGCACGGTGGTAGCAACCGCGAGGAGCATGCTCAAGGCAAAGGGGCTACCGGGCTGGTTTTGGGGTGAGGCAGTGGCAACTGCTGTATACATCCTGAACCGGTGTCCGACGAAGAGCATGGACGGCATGACGCCTTTCGAGGTATGGCATGAGAAGAAGCCGGCGATGCACCATCTGAAGGTGTTCGGATGCATCGCCTACGTCCTGAACATGACACTGCATCTCAAGAAGCTGGAGGACCGCGGGCGCAAGATGATTTTCATCGGCTACGAGTGCGGATCAAAGGCCTACTGTGCCTACGATCCCACCATGAGGCGTGTCCATGTGACATGGGACGTGGTGTTCGACGAAAATGCCCAGTGGGACTAGAGCAGTGGCGCAGAGCAAGGGGATGCGGGCAGTCACGACGACATGTTCACATTGGAGTATGCCGTCGGGAACCAGGTACCTCCGGAGCTCGATGGCGCCATCGAGGTACTTGAGAATGATGCGCCGGGACCGGAGCCGATGTCGCCACCGTCTGTGCACTACAGTGGGGGAGCGGCGCCGATTGAAAATGGAGGAGAGGAGGTGGAGTTCGCCACTCCACTTAGTGTCCACATCGACCACCTGGATGCTAATCACGATGATGCGCCACTCTGGTTATGCAAGATCGACAACATAGTTGGGCTGGCCTCGCCGCATGGTCTCGCGCCGTGGGCATTAATTGTAGAGGAGCTGCATGTTGTAAGTTCTGATGAGTCGGTCTCTTTTGTTGAAGCAGAGGGCCACCCGAGCTGGAGGAAGGCTATGGAGGAGGAGATGGCGTCAATTGAGGAGAACTGCACCTGGTCCCTAGTAGACCTCCCACATGGTCGCTGGGAGATTGAGTTGAAGTGGGTGTACAAAGTGAAGCGGGATGAAAACGGAGCCGTGGCGAAGTACAAGGCGCGCCTGGTGGTGAAGGGCTATGTGCAATGCCAAGGGATCGACTACGACGAGGTGTTCGCACCTGTGGCGTGGCTGGACACAGTGCGCCTTCTCATTGCTCTCGTGGCGCATGAGGGGTGGGAGGTGCACCATGGATGTCAAGTCGGCGTTCTTGAATGGCGATCTCAAGGAAGAGGTGTACATGGAGCAGCTGGCTAGTTTAATCAGCACGGGCAACGAGCACAAGGTGTTCAAGCTGAAGAAGTCACTCTACGGCTTACATCAGGCGCCTAGGGCCTAGAACGCGAAGCTGGACGAAACGCTACTATCGTTTAGATTTAGGAGGAGTCCGTCGGAACATGCCATCTACACCAGGCGAAACGAGGAGGCACAGCTGATGGTCAGGGTGTACGTCGATGACCTGGTGATCATCGGCGCCAACTGCGACGACATCAAGCAGTTCAAAAAAGAGATGGCTAACGCATTCAAGATGAGCGACCTCGACCTGCTTTGCTACTATCTTGACATTGAAGTTAGGCAGAGTGCGAGGGGCACCTCGATCAGCCAAGGAGCCTATGTCGCCAAGATTCTGGAGAGGAGCGGGATGGCAGGGTGCAATCCCTGTCAAGTACCAATGGCAACACGTTTGAAACTGAGCAAGAGGAGCACGGAGCCGCTGGTGGATGCAACAGCATACAGAAACATCATGGGGAGTCTCAGGTACCTGGTCAATACTCGTCCAGATTTGGCATTTGCTGTTGGCTATGTGAGTCATCTTCTAGAGGAGCCACGGAAGGATCACTTGGCTGCTGTGAAGCAAATTCTCCGCTATGTGAGGGGAACCAAGAGCTGGGGTCTCAAGTATGAAAGAAAGGAGGAGCAAGTCCAACTGACAGGGTTCAGCGATAGTGATTTTGCTGGTGATGTTGATGCTCGGAAGAGCACGACTGGAGTTATTTTCTTCTTGGCCAACAGCCCAATTACTTGACAGTCGATGAAACAGAAGGTGGTGGCTCAGTCTAGCTGCGAGGCAGAGTATATTGCGGCCGCCAATGCTGCCTGCCAGGGTGTGTGGCTCACTCGGGTGTTAGCAGAGGTGCATGGCTCAATACCAAGCGTGCCGATGCTGAAGGTGGACAACAAGTCTGCCATAGCGTTAATCAAGAATCTAGTTCTCTATGGACACAGCAAACACATTGAAGTGAAGTATCATCTTGTTCGAGAATCCGTAGAAAAGGGTCAGATCAACGTGGAGTTCATCAAGAGCGAAGAACAGTTAAGAGACATTCTGACGAAGCCACTTAGAAAAGTTAAGTTCCATGAGTTTCGCACTAAGATTGGCCTCGTTGATGTTCGTGCTAAGTACAGCAAGGCTCAGGAGTAGATTGTTGTGAACGGGAGCCTTGCACGTGCCCCCCCACCCTGTTCGCATAACGGCATAGTACAGTTATGCGAGAAGTGCTCTAATGTATACACATCAGAGCACATGGTGAGGTAATGCGGAATTTGGTAATGCGGAATTTCCTGCATAACGCACGTTACTGGCCAGTTTTGGCCAGCTAGTTATTTCTTACGGTTATTCCTTTCCCCCTCTTTGTTTTCTTATTTAAAGAGGACTGTAAGAGTTTTTCAACAGCGAGAAAGTTTTCCTTGTTCCTCCTGCTGTTTTTCTTGTGACTCGTGAGGTGATCTCGCCGGCGACGTCTTAACTGCCGTCGTCTCTCCGGTGAGTTTCTGACAGCCATCTCCGCCGTCGAGGACGACGAGGATACCTACGTTGGAGAGGAGGACGGGGACTACGATGACCCGTACAACGTAGGGGAGAACTTCCTCCACAGGCTCTGAAGGGGTGAGGAAGCGGGTTTCCCTCGGGAGGCGGAGGTGGATAAGAAGCCAGAGACATTGCAGCCACAGCCGGTGCCCCGTCATTGGCGTTGCCTCAGAGGCCTCCTTTCTCTGCCGGAGATGCAGCAGCCGCCTCCGCTCTTGCTTCCCCCTCCACCCCCCCCGGCTGCCCAAGCAGCCGCCTTGGGTTCTCCCAGAGCGGCCTTCGTTTGATCCCTGACATCGGTTGGGATCCGGTACACACATGAGTATATGTTTAGTAAGCTACATGAAAAGACAATTTATGTGATTGAACTGTATACAATTCACATTACATGTATCGTTTTCGCCATTAGAGAAATTAACTATGAACACCTTGCATATTGGAAGCAGCTTCCTTGCACATTACTCTTATCTAGAACCCCATTGTGTTCTGTAGCTTTTCATGGTTAAAAATCTGTGAATACGAGACTGACGCAGTGTGGATATCGTCAGTGACTTTTTCAAACTACTTTAGATCTGTCGAGAACAGAAAGCTATTATTATCTTTCAGAGCCTTGTGAGTCATCGAACATTGATTGGTATGACAACAGGCACATTGGTAGCATCTCTCTGGTGGAGCCCGAGATTCGCCAAGGGGGACGACGCCGGCGAGGGCTTTGGGAGCGTGTCCGACCAGTTTCACCGCAGCGAGGCATCTCCGCCGTCCAGGACGAGGACGCCTACCTTGGAGAGGAGGACGAGGACTACGATGACCTCTACAACGACCTGTACAATGTAGAGGGCTTCCTCCAGACTCTCCGCAGGGGCGAGGACGCGGGTTTCCACCCCCGAGAGGCGGAGATCTGCAAGTATGCGAGGAGGGCCGGTGGAGTTAAAAAAGTCCAGTTCCTTGATGAGAGGGACCGGGTGAGTTCTTCGAGATTGAGCATATCATCATTATCTCCGTGTCGTGGCAGGTTGACTTCTCCACACAGATAGCCAGAGCCCTGTTATTCAATGACGACATTCTTCAACTTCCCTTCACCACCATCGAATTACTAACGTGGGAGAAAATAAGGGGTAAACTTGGATCGGACGTCTTCATGCTCCCACTGTAATCCATCCCACCATTCTTGTTCAGCATAGATTTCTTGGATATTCTTGGCACTAGAGAGCCCAAAGGGTAGCTTCTTCAGCTCTGGGCAGCCTGATACTGTGATTGTCACCAAGGAACGAAACAGCAACGGATGCCTACATATGCTCCTCAAATTCGGAAGATCATGCAACCAAATCCACTTTAATTTAGGGAAGAAGGAATCATTTTCATAATCCACGTTGTCCACCGTCACCTCTTCGACTACTATCACCTCTTCTATTTTCGAACATCCAGTTAGTTCTAAGGTCTCAATGCAGGGCAGTTGTCTGATCCACGTTATGTCCTCCAATGCTTCACATTTGCTAATCCACAATTTCCGAAGGTTTCTGAAGATGGCAGCTGTCGTGGGCCCCCTCGCAAACACGTTGCCATCTTTCCAAGAGATCGTTGCTCGGGGAAGTGTAGCCAATGTCAGTCCCTCCAGCTCCGAGAGCTGGTTCGTGTTGAAGACCAGCTCTTCCAAGTCGGTAGAATCCATAATCTCAAGCCTTCTCACGCCCTTCATAATCTCAAGAAAAGCAGACAAATCTATAGATCGGATTCCCACCTCTAGCACACATAGAAATCTGATCGACGCAGACAGTCTCTGAGAGTTCAGTACAGCCTGCATGTCTTCATGCGTCATCCATGTTATAGAAATACCGAGCTCCGTCAGGTTCCACATGCCGTCCTCCAAGTCTTTCAGACAGAGTTGTCTCCCCTCATGGTCAATCACACCATCGCTACCACCGCCCTCCCATCCTGCTCTAAAGTTACTCATAAAAATGTTCAACGACTGCAGCCTTTCAAGCGATGAGACCGCCTCGCGTGGGATACTCTTAAGAGTCCAGGTTCCCTCCAAACGCACATGTCTCAGCTTCGTCAAATTCCTGACCTCCATGGGTAATGATTCCAGGGGAGTCCATGATAGATTGAGATACCGCAGTTCTACCAGTGACCCGATTTCCGGGGGGAGAACCCTTATTCCCGTCGCCGACAGATCTAAAACACGAAGGCTCGGCATGAACTGGAAAAACCCACCGGGGATTTCCTCCAGATGATGCTCGTTGTTGTTCAGCAACAGCGTCTGCAGATTGGGGCAACGAGGCTCCTCAGGGAGCAGGCGTATCTCATTACGCATCAGAGATATCCTTCTCGCCTCCGTCCATCTTTCCGGCGTCGGCACGTGCCTCAACTGCTCCCCGGAGTTCACCAAGAAGACATTCCCTCTCTTGTCGCCTTCGCCGCTGGTTATCCACAACGCCATCTCCCGGACCGTGTCATGGAGCTTCACCTGTCTTCCTTTGACCTCCCCGTCTTCTAGCAGACAAGCAGCCTTGAGATTCTTGATGGCCAGGTGGCCGCGGTACCGAGCTCTCTCAATGGGGTCGGGATGGCGTCCCGTATCTAAGAGCCCTTCACCCACCCAGCACTCAATGAGCCGAGGTATCTTGATGTTGTGATCCTCCGGGTAGAGGGCGCAGTAGAGAAGACACTCCCTGGCAGATGTATCTTTCAATCGGTCGAAACTGAACTTGAGAAGAATTAGAACCTCTTTCATGTCTCCGAGCTCTGCGGGTATGCTCTTCAGCGCCATGAGAGCCACTTGCCACTCGTCACGGGTCGTGACGCCTGCCATGGCCCGGCCTACGGTAATGAGGGTGATCGGAAGGCCTCCGCATTTTTGACAAACGGCTTCTGCGAGAGACCTTATAGAGAGATCATTCCACTGGTCTTCTCCTTTTCCCATCTTTTGGCAGAAGAGCGTCCAAGAGCTCTTTCGATTCAAGAGGGGCACCTTAACTTTCCTCTGAGCGTCCATATCGTTGCACACTTTCTCTGATCGTGTGGTGAAGAATACCTTACTTCCGTTCCTGAAAGAGGAAGAGAAGGGGACTCCTACAGCTTCGAGATCTAGTTTCTCCCACAGGTCGTCAAGCAGCAGAAGGAACTTCGTCTGGGAGAGAGCCCTCAGCAGGGTATTGACCCTGTTGTATGGATGCTCTGGGAGGGTCGGGCCCTGGCCCTCGCCGGGGCGAGAGTAGCCTAACCGGACGGCGATGTCCTCTTGAACCTTCAGGATATCAAGTTCCTTGGAGACGGTTACCCAAATCACTAGATCGAATCGACTGGAGGGCTCGTTGTTGATCGCCTTCAAGAGGGTCGTCTTCCCTATTCCTCCCAAGCCGTAGATCCCGACGACTGGCGCTTCATTGTCTTCCAGGAGGCTGCGGATCTCCGACAACGTCTTCTCCGCGTCCACGATGGAGGCTGAAGA